TTTTACATTGCGATACTTTGTAAGATGTAAAATCGATTGTAAAATCAACAACGTACCTAACACTATACGCAATATCATAACAGTGATAAATATCTTATTAATATTTTGATCGAAGTTCATTACTCGTGTGTTGATCTACACGCACCTAGGTCAGGGACACTTGCATATTTATCATTAAAATTTCGGGCTCAACTTAATAACCTATGAACAACGCACGACACATACATGTGTCTATACGTGTATCGTTTTTGTATTTAACATACAAGTAGGCCAACCACTAGTCGCGTGTGTACCAAGTCGTATTTATAATAATAAAAAATAAATAAAAGCATTGCACAAAACGTCTTAAGCGTGAGGTATAATGAAACACCGAACGAATCGTTTTTTTTTAAACAAGCCGATTTACGTTTTCAAAATACTACCATTAAGGTGGTTGGCTAATCTAATTAAGACCGAACTAATAACACTGCAACACAAAACACACACACACACACACACTCATATACATGTATCTGTGATAAGACTTGAATAGTCGAATATTCACTATGCAGCCAGTTCATATTAGATATATTAACTACCGAAAATAAGTGTCAAAAGGATAGTGCCTATAAGCATATTGTTCGGCCATAAAAATGCCATATAAAAGCTAATAAAATAGTTATAAAAACCTATATTAATATATTTTCTTCTCGTTTATATTGGTCCTACAATCAGGGGCGGCTCCAGAGCCTTGTTAAGGGGGAGGGGGGGGGGCAAGTTATAATTTTACAAAATAATTTAACAAAAAAAAAACAACAATTCAGTCCGTACAGAAATATGTGCTACGCAATTCATGTTTTGAACATCATAAAATAATAATATCATAGTATCATACCATAGTATATTTTATATTATTATAGTTTATTTATAGCTTTATTGGTTCTTCGTAATATAGATAGGCAGGTACATCGTATACACCGCCATACCTCTATGGCCGTATCTACATACTTGTGCGTGTCGTATAACAGTCCATATTATAATATGCATTTTTTGTTAAAAATATACATTTTTTTATAAATACGGTACGGGCTTGACGGGGCCGCTGTCCCTAGCCCCCATCCCCTGGAGCCGCATCTGCCAACAGCGTTTAGTGTTCGTCCCATTTACACGGAAAATACAAACCAATCACGTATAGTTATACAATTACGAATCCGATAGTTACGTTTAATGTTGCCGAACGATGAAAGCCTAAAAAAAGTGTCCTCGAGGACGGAGTGCTGCGTGCGCTCAAAAAAGTGTACTCTTGCACTACCGATTGAATTCAACGCCGAGGTTCGATTTTCGGTCCATAATTTTGCGCAATAAAACGGTTAATAGTGTTTCATTGTACGCGTACCATTATTCTTTGTGCGGACACACGCGCGCGCGCACGGGACCGCTCGTTTGTACACCCGATAATAGTGTAAGAAAATCCAATCGGCGCGTGTACCCGCGCGGCCGTACTTCCATCGCGGCCACAACTTAACCGCTGCTCAATAATAATGAATACCGCGGTATTGTGTGTCGTTATTAAATAATCACCGTGTGCACGTGTACTTACTGATTACTTACTGGTGCAGTGCAACGCCGTAGCACGGGCGCGCGTGCGTGCGCGAACAACGGTCGTATTCGTCTGTACGTAGTGGGAGGCGGAGGCCGATGAAAAGAGAATGGTGTGTGCGGTGTCCGGATGAAAGTAAAACTCGCGTCGGCCGTGCAGAGTAAATAGAAGAGACCCGACCGATCGCAAAACGTTTTATTTTGACTGCAACGGTCCACGTCGTCAACGTGCTCGACCGGATCGCTAGCGTCAGTCAGTCCACCGACAGCCGTCTTCACGTCCGCAACGGAACACCCGGAGAACGCTGCGCAGACCGTTAACCCCGAACATACACGTACACGCACACACGTGAGTACAGCTTATACGTATAGCGATCCGGAGGCGGCCCTAGTAAGCACTTACTTGGTGCCCCGGTAAAAACATTTTATTTTATTTTTTTTTGTACGTTTTGGTTAAATAGATTAAAATTGAACAGGCGTACCGGTATTTTTTTGAACATGTTCGGGTATACGGTACATGATTTACGTTTTAGCGTTTGAGTAGTTCAAATGTGATACGAGCCAAGCCAGAACGATTTTTTTTTTTTTTTTTTGCGGTGGTTCAAATTATACCGCCCCGGTAAGACGTGAACGTTCAAACCGTTTCTGGTATTTTATGCGTATGTGTGCACACGCACGCTTGTGTCGAAACGTTTTCGCCTACCCGTGTTTACCGTGATTTCGTGCCGTTTGTTTTTAACGTTATTGTTATGCCGAACGCAGGGCCGGCTCGAGGCGAACTATGCACATTCCTAGAGCAGCACTTTAGTGGGGGCGGCGTTTTCAAAATTGACTCGAACATTTTTTTTTTTTATTGTTCTATCGGTGTTTTTATAAGAAAAATATTTAAATTAATTCATTCGTGAAAACCACTTACCGGTACAATAAAATAATATTGTCTCAATTTATTACATTGCTATATATTACGACCTACGCTGAGCGTTTTCAATTACTCCAAAAATATAAATAACCATACAAATCACTTCCGCGCTTTCTGATAGCCGCGATAGTGATGGGTTTTGAGTAATAACTATAGAAATCATTTTTAAGTCTTTTTACGTATAATTCTATACATAAAATTAAAAATTAAATTAATTTTATACAGATATGTCACATAAATCATAGGGGAAGATGATAAATTAAGATAAGAGCTCAATTATTTTTTTTTTTTAGAGGCAGCAAAATTTAATTTTGCTTATTGCACTATTTTTGCTTGGGCCGAATCTGGTCGTACGGCCGAAAAAATATCAATGGCCAATAGTGTAATCGCGTGAGCTTCGACTGTTATAATTATTTAATAGCTGCAAGCGAGCACATTTAACGCGTCACGGAATCTTATGGGAAATTTAACGATAAAACTCGCCTAAAAATTCTGTATATGTGGAAGTATCGTTGGTTTTGTTTGACCTTCTAATTATCATTTTGAGATTCAAAAGATAAATTAATAAAATTTAAAGAAAAATCTCAACCCCATATTATAAATAATCGATTTTCCAATTAATATCATATTATTTCCGTATTAGTTTATTTATTTATGGTTAGATCCACTAGCCGCATAAAATTCGAATAAACAAATCGTAATACGTTGATTTCTTATGAATCCTATATTTGAATTAATGATACAAGCTCATCACCAAAATCTACTAAGATCATTAATTAAGATATTGAAATAATTATTCAACATTACGTATATCACATTATTAGTCAGTTTAAACAAATTTTTTTAATAAATAATTTAGTTATAGCTTACTGTAATTACATTTTATAAATAAATATTACATTTATTATGAACTATACTTTAAATTTAATTTAATGTATAGTCCATAATAAATTAAACTGTTCGAATTTTAATTATTGAGAATTTTTTTTAATAATTTAATCGACTTAAAGTATTTTAATAATAATTTATATAAAAAGGAATAAATTATGGGTATGTGTAGCATATACATACAAAATCTTCCAACAATATTTATTTTGATTAAATATGTTATAAATTACACATTTTTATAAGAACTTGATACTTCACTGAATTTTTGTAGAACTTTCATAAAAAAATAGTTAAAATATACTTTATATTATTATATTGATTCATGTAGTCTTATGATTACAGAATTTTACTAAATGAGACTTTATAGTGATTAAAATAATTACATAAATGAGAGATAACAAATAAAATCATCTTTAAGTATCATATATCATAATTTATTAATAAGTTACATAACATTTAAAAAATACATACATATCTTTAGTATAAAAGTTATTAACGAAAAACTTTTTTCAGTGTTAAAATCATTTTAATGCATTTCCTTGATAAAATGTACATTCAAAATAAGTCTTCATAAAAAAAAAATTAATATAAGGAATATATTTAAACACACCTAAAATAAAATAAATTGATATTTCGGAAAACGATTACTATCTCTATATTTTAACTATAGATTTATATACATATATATATAATTTTATTTAGAGTTAAAACTTAGTAAGATTATTCAATAATTATATGTAAATATAAGTAAAATTTTATTATAATACATTTTTACGAACAATTAAATACACTGAAATATTGTGAAACTATTATGACAAGGAGATATTTTTCAACTTTTAAATTGAAAATTTCACATTTCAATAATAATACATAAAAAATTTAAACTAGTAACTTTTTTTAAATGTAAGAAAGAACAGGAAAAAAAATTGGAAATAGATAATATTGTACAATTTTATTCCCCAGTAATTTGTATTTTTATTTGTATAGTTAGCAATTTTATTTTCTATGATTTAAAAATTAAAAGAAATGCTTAATCTAAAACTAAGTTATATTGAAAATCATAAAATTGATGAGTTATTCTTTTTTTTTTTTTTTTTGGTGCTTATTATCTCGAAAATTAAACATAATTTACGATTTTTTTTTTTTTAGATGTTTGATATTCAGATAAAATTTAATTTATGTTATTTATATTTCAATGTTTTCAATTTGCATCGTAAATTGTCATTTGTTCACCTTGTAAGCCACTATATTATTTAAAACTGTTTTCAATTAAATTAATTTCCAAAACTGAAAACAGAAAAAACTTGATTTTAACTATAACTGGTTTTTTTTTCTATTGAATAATGTCTTCAAACGTAAAATGTCGTGCAAAAAAAACTAGTATTTGTATGATGTAGTATACGTATACCTACACATATTATGTATGTATGATGTAATTAAATTAAATTAAATTTTCTCAACTTTTTTTATTCTTGCCTACAACTCGCTTTCTCTAACGACGCATGGTTATAAACATGACCGCAACCTTGGTGTAACGGTGCATTAAACGTAAAAGAAAACAGATCACAATAGAATACACTATTTAACCAATGATTTGATCGCATACATTTAATAACAACTAATGATCAAGTCCAGTACCCGTGTTTAATGATATTTCGTACAGCGCATAATATATGTATCGTTTGTTGGTCCTAAACCACATTCTTACAAACTCTCACTGCAACGCGCCACTGGTTTTCAGAACTGTTTCCTTTCCACAGTGTGCGCATGTTATCAAGAAGAACTGCTCACAATGCATCGTTAATTTCAATCTGAGCTGTATACATTTATACTATACAGACTGGTATATCTCGCAGAGCATTTAGAATGATTCAGAATATTTGATTTTAAATGTATATATAAGTTTTGTCGATCTGCGCTATTATATATACGAGTATTAAAATAACACAGCCACGTACAAGAATATCATCGGAGTAAACAAAGCGATCGTTAGGTTTCTGCGATACGGAGACGTTCTCTTTTGCAAAAACAATTAATTTTATAACCATTCCTCCTCTTTTTTTCGGGGTGTCTGCAAATTATGCGCGTGCACTGCACACCCACTGCAATCTGTAATGTATGAATACATACGTGTGCATAATATGTTTTTAGCTCTTACACATTTATATACTCGTATAATATGCATGTATTTTTTTTTTTTTTTTTTGATTGATCGCTACATTACCGCTCGTGAGTGCCTAATTGAGTTATATACGTTTATGCCCGAAGATGGTTGCAACACACACACACCGCGTATAGTCGCATCATCGAATGAAATAAATAATCGTCATCGGCCCTTTACACGAATGTGCCACGGTTGTAGTTCGTGACTGTAGGGTCCACCGGCAGCGTACAGCCGCGCTATGTCAATTATTATATAATAGTTTTCTCATGCCCTAACGATGACCCACAAAATGAGAATAAAAAATTGCTCATCGAATGAAATTCAACTCGTTAATTTACGCGCCTCTGCGATGCAAAATCACGAGGCTCATGATACAACGGAATTATGCATAATATTGTTATAATACCGTTTATAATAGTATTTATCGGTTTTTACGAACACTTTGCTTTATTTGTGCTATAGATATAAAGCGTATAGATATAAAACCGTCAAAGATACGATTTAGTTCCATGAACCATAATTGAACTTAATCGATTGGTACATTTATTTTTAAAAACAAATTTTATGAAGTTCAAATTGATATTTCTGTTATACGCCGCTCGCAATCGGTTTATTTTATTTTTCCGTTTATTCGTATTCATTTCAAATCAATGTTCCCCGTTTTTTTCCGATACACATCTGTTCTTTTCACAGTTACCCAGACCGATAAGGTACTTTTATATACTTTATTCTTGTCGATCCCTGCACCACACGATGACCATTTTTTTTCTTACATTTTAAGTTAAAATATCTAAGGTAATATAATCTGTAACTTTAAAAAAAAAATCTGCTTCGAAAATCAAACTAGAAGAGTATCTACAACGCAGTGAGTACTCGTACTATATGCATGCGGTGATGTTGAACTTGTGACGGTCCGTGATCGCATATCGCATGCGTATCACATGAGAGATTTTCTTCCGCAGGAAACTAATGATCGGAGAAAGCACTGCGCTGTTGTCGAGATCGACACGAAGAAAACAATCACGACACAGAGATAAAACATCTAAGATATCGCGCATTAGTTTTCCAACGGATGCGTGTGCATGCGCGCGGCGGAATCTCCGAATCGCGTACCATATAATATATAGGTACCTCTAATGTACGATCGAAAAAAACTCGTTACCCGTTTATTCGACCGATCGTTTCATAGACGTGAACACATTTAGCACGCAGTAATCGCACGCATAATTAATCTGATTGTTCGAACGCGATGAAACGAAATAAAACGCCATCATCGTGTTCTACAACTACAGGTAGGTACAGTAATGTGTTGCGCTGAACGACATTCGCATTCGTCACGCAGTTATCTCTCACGGACCGAGTACTGCAGAGTGCCGAAGAACGAAATGACCGGCGTGCATCATAACAATAACAACGTTGTCCGCAGTTGTTCGGGACATAATCGTCAAATACGATCTCGGCGACGACGCATTGTGTTCTTATAATTTTTGTCGTCAACTACATGCAGGCTTATTGTAGAGTTAGTTATGTATTCTTGCACGTGTTGTTCCATAACGCCCGGTTTTGTTTAAATATATATATTACATACATGCGCGTGCTCGTGTAAAAAATACGATACGAACGTTGGCGAAATGAAATTTTACAACCCGAATCGGCGTTCAGAATGTAAATTATATAATGATATTCTATACCATTGGCTCTCTCTCTCTTTCTTACTCTCTTCTGTACGCGTTATAACGTTATCGAAACAGTGTTTAATTTTCTTAAACGAATCTTGGAAAAAAGTGACTGAAAAAAAAGATTCACAGCTAATCGAATGAACGAGGACATAATTTGAATTATGTATTACGTGACGGTATAATTTTATGAAAATGAGTATAAATATTAATACTCGTGGTGGGAAATACAAATCTGATTCATAAAACTGCAGCAATATACTCGTAATAAATAATATACGTTTAGACGAACCACTACAAAAGTCGATACTAAAACCTGCAGCATTGTATTTTGTTCGTTGAGAACGCGTACAATAGACAGTGACCCGAGTGTTCGTTAGCAATGGCGATATTAAAACCTGTGGTATAATTATATAGATTTATAATCAACAAGAATTTCACGCGTACAAATAATTATTGTACATGTATATGGTTTGGGATTTACTACCAATAACGGGGAATCGATTGTTTCTAAATCTGCCAACAGTTGGTCCAACATTGTATCCGACAAAACGTTGTTCATGGATAAACATCAAGCTAGTATTGTTGTATTTATCTAGAAACGCGACACGAATATTCTAACGGGTCACGTAGTGCACATTTCATCCCGCGCGTACATCCCTGGCAACATTGTACAACACCACGTCGTGATGTATACAACAATATGTAAATTTGTATGAATAATCTTATTTGAAACCTCCCGGACTCGTTTGGACGTGATTCGATCGTATAATGTTCATGTCGTAGTATACGAGTACACATAATATAATATATACGTCTATGATATGAATAAATTGGCGAACGCGTGTCACGAGTGCCAAGTACAATACAAATGCGAGTGGATCCAATTTGAAAATGCGAAAATTTAAATTTTTTTTTCTAAATGCGTTGTAAGATGTCGAGTGATAACGCACAATGCAATAATATGAGTACGTGAGAGAAAAATGTATCTTAACATTAGCAGTCCAAAATAAAGAATTACGTAGGATCAAATTTAAACCCTCCGTTTAAAACGATATAACGTCATATTATTATACTTAACACGCAGCTGTTCTGTATCTGCATTTATATAGTTGAATATCGTTGTGACATGACCACTTTGGATTCTTGTCAGAGATAAACGTTTTGTTTCAGTATTTCAAATCTAGGTACGTTTCAAACTGTCGCAGGTTTCGCTATCAACGTATAATACTTAATATACACAGTTTCTCATCGTACTCGTTTCAGTCCATCAATCATTTTTTCCTGGATATTGTTTAGATCATTACGTTTTTCTAGGACAAACTGAAAGATATTTTTCAATACATTTCTAAGTGCATAAACTCGGTTTAAAAAAATGTCAATTCGTTTTCCAAGTAACCGATTCACTAACGTGGTTTTTCCAAAAAAAATTTATCAGTAAAGTTATTGACTTTCAACGGTGAAACCGGTCTAAAACGGAATGTGGTCTACGTCCCGTGTGATCCTGGTACATATTGTTTTCGCTGTAGCTACGCATTTTAGACATTTCGATAAAATATCTAACAACTCGTACTATTGTTACTATTACTGTTTGCATGAGAAATTGTATGTCTTATCGATTCTTTGAAAATTCATTGTAGTATGATACGAATACTCGACGAAAGTTAATAAATGTAACATAACTTTATTCGGGAAGACCGTGTGATTACGATCAGGTCGTTTCGGGGTTAAAGGGTTATTGTAAGGAGCGAAGGTGGGGTGGTATGGTATACGCGACGCACTTATACCATATATACCACATAAGTAATGACTAGAGCTCACGGAATTCACGTGTCACGTGTAAAATCCAAAATAAAAACGTATATCCTTAACTTAATACTGTACTATTAATATTTTATTAAAACTTCAAGTGTATAACATGAAATTACTAATTTTACCATTGTAAAAATGGATATATATTTTGGATAAACATGTATTTCACGTGTACACGTGAATTCCGTGACACGTGTTTTAAGAGCTCTAGTAATGACTATCTGCGCGTCTGCGAACGCAAAACCTCTACATGGTGTGTCATAACTGTGCACTGACCAAACAACGTGTTGCGCACTAACTAACGGTACGGTAATTTGTGCGTGTTGACAGGATGAAGACAGCCACGGTGTTGTGCGCGACAGCTGTCGTGTTGATGCAAGCGTTGTGCATCACGGCGGCCGGTGGCGAACGTCAACAGCAGTTGCCGCTGTTCTTCCAGGCGGGACGGCCGTTCAACGCGCCAGGTGCGCCGTTGCCCAAGTTCGTGGGCATCGCCGGCAACCAGCAGCCGCAAGCATTCCGTACACTGCCGCCTCAGGTAGACGAGGAACAGGAGGACGAGGAACAACAACGTAACGACGAGGAACCGCACCAGCGCAACGTGATCGCTCCCACGCCGTTGCCTTTCAGGCCGCAGCCGACACAACAGGTGGGTCGGTTTGGAAAGTTTATAAGAATGTTAAGTCCGGTCGAACCCAAATGGTGGTTGGCCAACCAGCGAACACTTCGGGAATGTGAGATAAAAAACAGACAGAGAAAAAAAATTGGCCCCCTACAACGATTGTATAAGTTTTTTGCCCTCCAAAAAAAAAAAAAAAAAAAAATAAAATAAAAAATATTGTAAGTCCGTCGATGTGAAAGTGTCGTAGCAATCACAAACGTGTTGTTCTGCCACGACCATTTTACGTAGCATCGGAATTTCCGCGAGACACTCATCGAGCTGCAGTACTCTTATAGGATTACAAGAGGTTTCCCAACAGAGTTCCTAAAATATTAACAATACAGTCATGTCCTTCAATCAGAGAAAGGATTTCATTAGCCATATCGACCTAGTCACTCAGCAGTTCTGCTAATTAGGCGTCTAACTTAAAATGCGAGCATTAAGACAACGGTCAAATAATTCTTATACACACAAAACATTTATAAGATAATCACGTCCAAATCGTTCTCACCAACCCGTTGTTCTCATTTACCCATAATATTTTTACTCGTCGTACCGGTCAGATGATTTACGATATTCAACTTAGTTGTATGCGCGTACTCTTGTAAATTGGCGCTCAGTCAAGTGGATTAATATGTGGAAAGATATGACTGGAAAATGGGTTCTTCGAGGTCATGCAACGCAGGTAACCATAAATAACCACGGCAATAATGTGCTTGATCATACGCACTAACGAGGCGGCATTACAATCGAAATAAACGGATGCCCGGCAATGCGAGTTATTTTTTCCGACGAATTTCGTCGTGGAGTAGAACGTTAAATCGTACGGCACAGTTCGACGCTGTACACGGCCATGATGTTTTGACGCGTGCGAATTGAAATATAAATCGAAACATGGCGTGATGGGTAGCTGAAAAAGTTCTGGGAGCTACGGAGGAAGGTCACGATCTCGTTCAATCGCGTGTAGATGGCAGATCGCGGACTGTTAAAAAGCGAGCCGGTGACCCGTGAGTTTTCGCGAGACCATGCGGTTTCGCAACGTGCCGACCTATTTGTACTAAATACGTATACTCATCCGACGTCCTCTTTTCGACCAAATACCTAATGTCATGATACATAGCATCTCATTAATCATGAACAGTTTAACGTCAAACATACCGCCGCGGCGCTAACGACTGTTGCAAAGTCGCATGATCTTAATGTTTCTCCGACCGACCGATCGGTCTACCTCTATACGCGCGTGAAGGATACTCGATAAATTCACCGTCTGGACAATTATTGAATAAAAAATATTTACTGTACGATACTTGTCGAACGTTAAATGTACACCGATCACTCGGTTATCCATTCCAGTGGCTACACTATTACACAATAATTGTGTAATACTGTGGCCACTGTTATTCATTTATACATAATTATGTATAATTTATCCAACATATAGAGCGTACGGCCATTCGCAGTTGAATATTTTTGCATATAGATCAAAAGTGTTAACATTGACCGTTAATTTTGTTCTCAGTTCAACCAATTCCACGCATCTCCATCGCCATCCCCGCAGACCTTGCAACCAATTCGTATCAACAGACCCACAGATACTCCGATCAGAAGACCACCTCCTCCGCCATCGTCTCAGTTCAAACCGCTGTCCAGTCAGCCGTTGTCAGTAAGTTTAAAATATATTTTAGCTTTTGTATACGCCATGCAAACACACATCGTATAGAGAAGACATAGTGCAGAGAAGTTCCCGGCGTCCATTAAATTGTATGGCACGATTTGGGTAAAGCTCCACCTATATTTTTAATAAGCAATATTATAAATATTTTAATTTTTTCAAGCATGATATAAATTTCGTATATTCAACGACAAAAGAGGGATAGTTTTTTTAACACATATTATATGTTAAAGCAACCGTGATTTAATTTCATATTATAATAACGTTATCCGAAAGAGTTAATGTCCCCCTTCAAGACTTGACATACACAATGTTATCGGCCACACATTTATATAACAGTTTCAGTGAATCAATTAAAACAATAGGGATTTCGGGATGAAGCGTAATCGTATCGTCGCCATAGGTATAGCAGTGCCGCAAATAAAACGATAGGACGTCCGCCGGAAAATAACGGTTTTTTTTTTGTTTTTTATACTACGGACGTCCTGTTTTGACAGATTTAAACTGAACGCCGTCACTGCGGTGATACAGATTTATTAATACCGTACTTTTCTATCAATATGTACCATACACCTACCGCATATCGTACGAACCGTTCTAGCGTAAAATAATCGCGTTAGAAACGACCGCGCGAACGCGTCTATTGTTCGCAACGAAAATTGACATTTATAAAAAAAAAATATAAATAATAAAAAATCTTTAATGATATAACTCATTTATAATACGCTGTTATATCACTTTAGTCCGAAATATTTTCAGTTAGATACCATGTCTAAATTCATGTTAACACAACATTACTTCAATAATTTTAGATTCTATAAACATAAAACCTGAAAATGGCGGATACTCGTACATTGTTAAAAAAACTAAACGGAATGTTTTTATGTATTATAATCAGCATGACAACTGCAAGGTAAAAAAAAAAACTTGATGTTATGATCGTTTTTATACTATCAGTTATTATTTAACAATATTTCAATTTAAATTGCTAATTTGTTCTTTCTTCATAAAAATAATTTAACGAATACAAGTTATAGCCAAAATGGAATAGTAATAAAATTCAATACTCTATACCGTAAATAATTAATAGGTATATTGTTCATTGTTCAAATTTTTTTTAAAAAAAAGGCAGCATTTTATTATTTTTATCTAAGTATAAACTAAATAAAATATTACTGTTCTAATTATTATTATATATTTTTTTAAGTAATTAATTTGAACAAAATAAAAATCGATTATTATTATTTACTCAACAGATCATAAATACATAAAAGACATTTTTTAAATAAAATATATTTAAGCTCATTTTTAAATTGAGCATTTAAATGTTTAAAGTCTTATAGTTATTACCAAAATATGAATTACATTTTTTTTTACATTTATTTCACTAGATATTTCATAAAGTTGTAAGAATGAAGTCGTACGATATTTTATTATATCTATGTTACAACCACACGGCGTAAAGGATAGGCAATTTTGATGATCTTGTGTATTCGAGGTTTGACGTAATAATTTCATATCATACTTTTTTAAAATACAAAAGACAGTAAAAAATTATTTACTTCCCTTATAATTATTGCCCATTAAGTTTGTTATGCATAATCAAAATCACACTGTATTTCAATAAAAGCAGCTTAGTCAAACTGTTCGAAATTATTTTATCGATAAAATGTCCGCTCATGTTGTCATATATTTTACTTGTCCACTCGACTGTATTTAAACACGCTTAACTCGAGGATAATTATTCTGATGCAGGAAGAAGCTCAAGAATTAGAAGAAGAAAAAGAAGAACCCGACCGTCTTACGCAACTGTTGCCCCAGTCCAAATTTACTTGCGGCGGCAAAAAAACCGGTTATTACGCTGACGAAGGTCTGGACTGCGAAGTGTTCCATTACTGCCAAGACAGCGCCAGACACTCTTGGATATGTCCAGAAGGTTTTGTTTTCCACCAGGTTGGTACAGAGTTTCGTGCATTTATTTGTGCATCAGGAATATCTAAATCGATTGCATTTTAAATTCGGTGAATGCGTTAGTAAAAAAAAAAAATAAAACAACGTGCCGCCCACGATACGCCGACGTTTACTTGTTGGATCCCGAAGACCCTTATTTAAACTAGTTGGATCTCATTAGTTTTCAGGTAGCACACAAGTTGGATCCCACTATCCTACAAGTACTACTCTAGTTAGGTCCATGCAAAAAAGAAACAACCTTTCTTTTCTTATTTTTACAGACCTAGGACTGTCAGTTATACATATATATTTTTAAAAATATTCTTATATATGGTATATATAATTATTAATTGGAAATTAGAATGCTGGTGTATATGGTAATACGACGAGTTAAACGATTGAAAAAAAATTGATTTCCGTCTCCGTGGCCACAGGTGCACCTGATCTGCATGCCGCCCAGCAGCGAGAACATTTGCAAGCAGTCCACGCAGTACCACTTCGTGAACGACTTCCTGTACCGGCCGGTGAACACGGAGGAGGCGAACAGCAGACCGAACGTGACGCTGCGCTACGGCGACCGGTACTACCCGGGCAGCAGCTTCGAGGCCGGCGAGGAGTACGACCGCGAGGAGGAGGAACCGACGCAGCTGAGGCAGCAACAGCAGCAGCAGCACCAGCAGCAGCAACAGTTCCGGCAGCAACCGGTGCTTAGGCAACGGGCCCAGCCGCAGCCGCAGCCCACGCACCAGCACGTGCTGTCCACGCCCCGGCCGGTAGTGTTGCAGCAACACCAGCAACAGCAACAACAGCAGCAGCAGCAGCAGCAGCCTCAGTTCGGCAGGCAACAGTCGCCCAACCAGGTGTTCCACTCGTCCGAAGAGATCAACATACCGCTGCAGCAGAGGAGACCGGTCGCGCCGCAGCCGCAGAGGCCTAGCTTCCTGCAGCAGCAGCAGCAGCAGCAGCAGCAGCAAAACGAGTTCGATTTCAGGAGGAAGTAGGGCACCGACGAAGGTGTCTTCCCGGACCGGCGGCGCGCGCCGTACGTGGAACACGATGACTTCCGCGGTTCCGTGCGCACGGCGAACCGGAACGGGACGGTTTAGTGCACGTTAAGGAACAATATTTATAACCCCCCCCCACCCGATGTATCCTCTCTCACTCACTCTTTCTCACCCTCTCTCATTCTCTCTTTCGCTCCATCTTCATCTTTCCATGATGCTTTACGGCACAACACCGTGGAGACATCGTCGATCTGTATTGTTATTATAATTATTATGTACATACGACGTTTTATATTATTATTTTATTTTTACGTATTTAAAACGAAAGTCCGAAAACGTAACCGACACTGTTTTCGGAGAGCGATGGGCATGTGGGCATGGATATGGCAAGGTCTGGGAAAAAAACTAACTGAACTGCACCCGAACGTTTTTCAGTGACGGTTAATGTTTAAATACACGTCCTTAAACATAAAGAGTACCTTTGATTACCGTTCGAATCGACAACAGGTGTTTTAAAGAAGGAACGCTGTCCATCAACCCGTCATCCGCGAAAAAATGTTTCGAAACAATCCATCTTTAAAAATAATTACTCTCCACCACACACCGTTGCAACCGTCGTGTTTTGTGTGCCAGTCCACATCGCGTCACTCTGCCGACGATTACACACTTGATATATTTTTCAAACTATGTCATCTTGCGTTTTGTAATATCGCGTAGTGTTCCGTTAAACCCATTATTTAAAAATCATCGTTGTGCAAACCGCAAGCAAAATATATTTATAACACGAATCGCTCGCGGCAACGCGTACGTATTAATTGCAAGTCATCGTAAGAATTATACGTTTACGACAACCGTTTTTTCTCCCCCTTTGATCGACATAATTTTTAAATTTCAAAAATTGTAATACAAATCATACTTTCATACTTGCACTACACATGCCATTGTTCGAAAACCATTATGTATATTTAATTTACTGTTTATTTATAATATTCTCCATTATATTCGTAGTTTACGAAAAAAAAAAAATATCGTATTGTTATTGCGGTCATTGTAATATTATATTATACATTATTATATACCCAATTATTTAAAATTTTTATTAAGTATCAATCGCTTAATTGTAGTCAGGTTAACGTATCGAAAACCTGTGAATAAATCGGCGAACGTCGTAAAATAATAATATCCAAGCGTTTTTTAAATTATATTCAATAATATAAGCACGAAGAGTGTCAAATTGCTTGTATAATAAATAATAATTGAGTGTACTATACGGTAAATACTTAATAAGGAGTATAATAGTACATCTAATGAATCAACTATTGTCATTTTACTAAATCATTTATTATATACTGCCAATGTTGTTCTTCGAAAAAAAAATAATAACAATAATGTAACCATAATTAGTGGTAATTATAATTATTATGTAGACGTGAATAAAACGTTTGTGATTTAAATTTAAAAAAAAAACTGTTGGACACATTTTAATCCGTCTAAATCACAGTCCATATTATGTAATCAAACTTCTTATATGGCGATAATAAGACTTAGTAAAGCAGCTGAATGTTTTTCATGTTCACTCGATTTAAAAAAAAAAAAAAAAATATCACGTTTCCGTCATTATCGGTTTTTCTTTGATGAACTTTAAAACAAATTGTATACATGCAAACACGCATATTGCATATGAAAAATATTACCATTTGTAATGAAGATCTCCTTGGTAATCAACTGAATACTGATCACGTTGCATTGATACACAAGTACAATTTACTGTCTTGACCTTTTACATTATTAATAATACCAATACTATATATGAATAAATAAATAATACAAAAACTACTTTTAAGCCCTAAAAACTGTTTAAATATTCGTATGGCTGAAATTTGGATTAGTTATGTAATTTTAATAATACAACAAGTTGAAAACAATGGGAATCGACATTATAATGCGACACAAATTTTTTTTTTTTGTAAAAACTAAATATATAAATATATGTATATACTATTTACATGGGTCCCTGAATTACTAGAATGTGTCGTCAATATTTGTCTAAAGAATGACCATTAAATCCACCCCCGTACCCTCCATCCACTTCATACACCTGTACACAAAAGCGTACATAACGGGGCATAGTGGGTCTATCAAAACCCCTCAGCATTAATGCTAAGAATTTGTATTGGTATAATTTTATAATAAGGTCAAATGTACGAATATTATAAATAATTCTATACGCTTTTATTCATAAAAGAAATATTTGCGTTACCTACTGCTATAAATAATAGCAACAACTAGCCTACAAATATTTTCCTCAACTTTTATCTCGGTCACCGGTAAACTAAAATTATGAACAGACAACTTTTCGAGAAAAAAAAAAGAAAATTATTTTTAATATTCTTATTACCTACTCAAACACTGCGAATTATTAAGAATCAAAGCTGAATTCACGTGGCACGTAGTTAAAAATCTGTCGATATTTAATTGCGATACTTCTATGGCCAGTTCTCGCACTGGGACTTATTTAAATTCTATTATCAGTGAAAAAAAAATAACAATAACACAGTTGTATATATATATGTGTGCAATAATTACATCTGTTTAGCTAAAAAAATATTTCCCCCTCCATAAATACGTCCCTGCATCGTGTGATAACTATGATATTACAGTATCCTGAGAAACGAGCGTTCATTAATCGCAATCTTTCGATCAGAATCACAATTATTGGTTTTTCATTTTTATTTATAAGCTATGAAAAGTTCCATTCAATCATTATAATTTAAAAAATGGCTTGGTTCGTAATGCAACAACAACCGTTATCAAACGTTAAATTTTTATCTCCGATTGTAGTGATAAATTTTCTTTGTTTGCTTATCACAGTGATAGAAGTTAACTGTGGCCTTAATTTTTTTTAATGTGAGACTACTAATACTCTAAAATAATACACTTTTATTATTCTGTGCTACTAATTGTTTTGTTATTGTGATAGCCAAATTAAAAATACCTAATATTATTGCAACAGTAATTCTGTAGTATTATGTTTAGTTGTGGTTGCTATTGTTATGGTTATTATACTTTATCGAATTTTCATTAATGACACTGAATAGGCATTTTTTCGACTAAATTCATACGAACACAATTTCTATTAAGTAAGTCAAAACAATTTTTCTTCTATGTACTATTTGTTACATTTAGAATGACTTGATGATGATTCATTACAACCTACTACGATTTTGATACTAATTTTGATTTATTTTGATATTCTTAGTTCTCTGACCATTTAATGTATTATCAATACAATATTTAGAATTCATAAACATTATATAATTATAAATTATACTATATAAAAATAAACCTATACAGTTGTTTACTACAACTATAGGTTAATTTGTTGGCTCTTATATTTCAACTTATAAATATAACATTATATATAAACAGTTTCAAAAACCTTGATAATTTTTTATTTATTTTACTTCGTAATCTTTGATTTGTTATAACTTTACTTATTGTATTGTAGAGTAAATGCTGATAATGTCTCTTCAATCGCTAGACTTTCTACTCCAGCAAGCAGAAGAATCAGAAAAAACAAATGTACCTAAAAAATCTGGTAAAATAGATTTGCATACACCATTTGGTCTAAATGATTTAATGTTTGATGACAATGAGTTATATTCCTGTGATCAAAATATTACCTCTTCAATGTCAAGACTACATCTTGATAACCAAGTGACTGATAAATGTTCAAATATAAATGATTATATTAGCAAACATTTATCATTGTTATCTACTGATGAATCTAAACTATCAATTGTTGAAAATGTTAATGACATAAAACAAAAACTTCCACTTGTTGACAAAAACAATGAAAATTGTGAAAATATAATGAAATGTAAAGATAAAACAGCACTAAAACCACTAACACAAAACAAAGGTGGTCATACAAAAAATTATAAGATTTTTCGTACTAAATTATGGTCAAAGGTTCGGAAATCACCTTTGGAGAAATCAGATACTGGACTGAGCTTAACTATTGGACGAAAGTACCCCAAATCAAATTCTAATTTGATGAATGATTATCTCTGCAAGGTATTATTTGAAACACGAAGCCGTGGATTCAGGTTTAATACACCTTCTCCAGATGAATTGGTACTGTCTTGGATGGATATTGTTCGACAAATGCCAAATAAATGACCATGTTATATTTATTAAGAAAAATAAATTGAATATTTATATGATACTCTTAGACTAAACATACTAACTATTCTAGTTAATGGAAAAAATGTACAATTAATTATTAAATTTTATACTTAAATATGTTTAAATTAGATAAGATAAATTAATAAACACAATACGTGTGTTATAAAATTTTATACAGCATTTATCCATTTTGAAAATGGAATTTTTACAAGAAATTTAAGTTAAACACATCCAATACCACCAGGGTGCAAAAAAAAAAAATTACGCAATATTTATAATAAATTTCATCCATTGTTTTTAAACCCTAACCCATTAAGAAAACCAGTTAAATTTAAATTTTGTTTTCTACTATTAGAAAACTTATAAAATTTATCTGGGTACCATAGCACTTTAAATATAGATTAATTTAACTCATTTAACATAAGTTATTTAAAATTTAAATTCTAAATCATAATATTTATCAACTACTATAAAATATTGTAAAACTATAGAGTAGTACAAATTAAGGAAGGATTACATCAATAATTAAAAATTTAAACCACCTAAACTTCTTTGGGTATTTTTTTTTTATGAGTTATATTATATATTATTTTATTTTTTAATTATTTAAATAGGAAATTATAAAATAAACAAAACATTAACAAAAAATATAGGTATGAAAATTCTCCAATAATTGTACCTATACTCCTCAGTTACCATTTATGTATTATATATCTTGTATATTTAGTTTTATTCATTCTGTCTAGAAAATGATACAAATGATATGTAATAAATAAATATGTATCATATTATTCTATAAACAATTGTATAATAAATATAATTATAAACATGAATTAAATGCAATATTTTTTTATAATACACACATATTTTCTTGTTTATTTTTTTTCAATTTTATACAACTTTTACTAGGTTATTTTCTTACAGTACTTTTACAAAAATAATTAATGATTTAATTTATACTTTCAACTGTTAATTTAGGTGATTCATTGTCAGCTTCTTTTGATTTATTTTCCCCATCAAATTTTGTACCATTTAAATCAATTGCATAATTATAACTTACAATGTTATTTAAAGCATTTTCTATAGCTTCATCGATATTTTCTTCTGTAATATAATAACGCGACTTTTCCTGAAAAAAACATGTTAATAAAACCATTGTTATATGTCTATATATATATATATACTGGCTTTTATATTGGATGGAGAGAATGATAGATGACAAGCTTTTTGTTTAGCAATGTGGTTTTAAAGGCCAGAACCAAGATAAAAAATAAAAAATTAAATCTATTGGTGTCATGATAGAATAAAATATAGTAAGTAGGTAGTTAGATAAAAAAAAGTCACCTTTTCTATTCTAACTTGTTCTTCGATCATTTCCATCATCTTTCGTTTCTCTTCTTCACTATTAATTAAATTTTCTAAAATTGTTTGGCGTTCAATCTCTTTTTCTTTAGCGATTCTTTCATCTCTATCTGATGCAACTTCTGCATTCCAATCATTATTAATAGCTAAACATTGTTGCCATTCTTTTTCTTCTTTTTGTATGATTTCGTTCAAAACTTCTTCACCCGTAGATGACTTTTCTAACTCTTCTTCCATTTGCTTACTAAAATTAAAATTTTACAATATTTTAATTGATACTAGAAATAAAAATTAAATCAATAGCTTTTTTATTTTAAATGAATACAAAAACATGATTCTATTAATTTACCTAATTCTTATTAGATAGGTATATCAGCCTAGATAGTTGAAAAGTGTGCAAATCAGTTAGTTAACCATGTAGTAGGATTTTAATATCTAAATTGAGAACATATAATTGTTTTTGTAAAATACCACAAAATCCAATAATTGTATATGTGCAATTAAAATTCACTTTATAATTAAAGAATATTTATATCAATAATTGGTAAAACTCAAACAAATAATATTCTTTATACTAAAAATATTATTTTACATAAATAAAAATTGATAATTTTATTATAAGGACGTCTTTAATTTTTACAAAAATCATATTCTTATCACTGTAATACTTCCATGTATATTCAAAAATATATTCATGTAGGTACTTACTAAATTGCTTTCATACATGTTCTATAGTTGGTAAACAGATGAAACAATTCATTTCTTTCCTCAACGGAAATTTGAGGTCTTATTGGTACTCTAAACATTTTGCTAGGGGCTTTTGGCAACCATCGTGGCTTACGTGTGTACCTCACTGGTTGCAGGAAAATCTGAGTGCTAATTTCTAGAAATTTAGTAGATACAACAGTATTTTTACCTACGTATTGCATTTTTATTTTAAACTACAAAGCAATAAGATTGTTAAAAATATTAAAAAAAAAAAAAATTATAATCGTGAAATATAAATATGTATTATATATTTATAAAATAAGAATAATTATCGAGAAATGAAAACAATTTTAAAAAATATGAAAATGTATAAAATATAATAAAAGTAAACTTTTATGCTTCATGCTTAGTACATGAGGGATTTAATATCATTCAGATCTACCAAAAAATGATAAGCTTGATAATGCTTAATTTGATTCGGGATATATTACCAACTAAAGGAAAATTTAACGTATTCCTATTGAAAATTGAGATGCCGTAAATAAACCGCATGTAACGAATTGTAAACTTCAAATTCATTCGCGATAATTTATGGTGTACAACTTTGTCTTTATTCGTTTACAAACGACTACTGTTTATTGGATCCGAATGTTTGGAATTCCTTCAAACTGTTTAAAATATCATCAACTGTAATATCCAATCGGCATTAACAACAAATAACGTCGTCAAAAATGGCTTTCGTAAGGTTTTATCGCAGTTTACTACACGTGTAGCTTTAAAAGGCGCGGAATATTTTAACACATTTGTACCGCAAATTTACCGTAACAAACAAATCGTTAAGGAAACGGTTGTTTATAATCGTTTATTATTTGCGTAAATTGTGCATAGTTATATTTTTATGCCTGTTTCACTGCCGCTTGCGGATAATCTTTCTGTTGTACACTCGCTTAGTTACGAATACTTGCATAGTTAACTTTCTCGTTTGAAACGCTTTCCGCGATATTACGTTGCTCTCACTGTGACATCGCATTGGCGTCACTGTCACGTGTCACAACCATACGAAAATATTCCGTTCATGTTGTTTACATGATTTTTTTTTTTTTTTGATTATCTTTTTTTTTTTCTTCATATTTACCGACTGAATTTTTACTATCGTTTGTCTACGTAAATATGTCACTTGTTTCTCTAGATATTTTCCCATGATAGCTTTACGGCCTGGATACACGTCGTCTGATCGCCAACGGACTTCGCACGTCGTCAAACCCTTCAACCCGGCCGGCCGATTGAGACAAACCGGGAGCTGCTCCGCATCGGCGTCCACTGTCAATCGGCTTTTCACCTATAGGTGAGTTGATTGTTATTGTCGACGACGTTCTTATCGTTCATGATAATAATAACTGTCCTCGTCACCGTGTTGATTCGGTGAACGCGTTCTTCGCAGATGCTTTTGAAAACCCGACACTGAAGGCTTGAACACACGCGCTACAATCGACCATGTCGGTCCATTACAAGTTCAAGTCGGCAATCTCGTACGACACGATCACCTTTGACGGTCTTCACATATCCGTCAAGGATCTGAAAAAAGCAATACTTCATCAGAAACAGATTGGCAAGAATACAGATTTCGATCTGCAGGTCATCAATGCACAAACAAATGAAGGTATGAACAGTGAGATAATATCTTGATTGTACTCATGTATGTTACTTTGTCATATATATGTCATGACTGATGTATTTATGTGTGTGTATATCTCATTTTTCCTAGACAATAAATACTGAACTTAACATATTACATGTTATTTTATTTATAAGTTTTTATCATATAAATTAATATTTTTTTGCCATTTTGATGCTACACTAAGAATTAGTTTATATCTAATATTTTAATAGAAATTAACATTAATTTGACAGTTAAATTTAAAATGTGTTCTCATATTTCTTTAGTATGATATAAGTATTGATTTTTTTTTTCAATTAGGCGATTGGTTTTTAATAAATGTTTTCTCTATCTTTCCCTATCATTCATCATATATTTGAGCTCCCTGTAATAAGCAACTTTTGTATCTTTCATTATTTGGTTGATGCATTTCATTCTAAGTCTATCCTATTTCTATTGATCATCCCTTAAATTCTTAATTTATATAATTCATCCCCATGCCTCTACGTGTACCATATAATTTGCCATTTTCTTCTTTTTAGAGTACCTTGATAGGTACATTTTTCATAAACTGTCTTATTTTTTCTTCTTTCAGTCCAACTTATTCTTTGTATATTTTTTAACACTTATTTCTTCTTTCTTTTTATTTACTTCCACATAATATTACAATCTAAACATTTGTTTATATTAGCATTTTCTTGGTAGTTATGTTCATTTTTTTTGATTTTGTAATTTCTTCATTTTAAGGAATTTAATTTTTGCTTGACCAATTCTGCTTCCAATTTCTTTTGATGTAAATTAAATAAATACATTTATTTACATCATCAATATTTATTATTAATATGCTCTTCTACAGATATCAAGTTCTGATCTACCAACATAAATCTATATTAGCTTATCACAGTGTTTTATGTTTGAGAAACATTTCATTGCATTTTTCTGTTGGATATAGTATTGATTGTTATGAAATAGATTTTGAAAAAGTCTTAATTACTATTAAACATAAATTAACAATAAATTTCCTGCAATTTTCTTATAAATAGAAAAAATGTTAGCACAAATGTTTTAAAATGATTCTGTGAAAATATTATATTAACATTTTATAATGGCCATATTAATATATACTTGTGTACTCTGTCCCTACTTATCAACTTGCCAATACCTCTTATATTTTGTAATCTTAGATCTACTGTAATATTTTTGTCATTAAATTTATTTAGTTTTCTAAGGTTAATATATAAAATTAAACTATGATAAACTTGAAAAGTTACTTATTATATGTGAAATAAAAATTTTCAAAAAAATTTATGTTATGAATTATTATATTTATATATACAATTCATTTTTAAATCCATTAAAATATTACAATTGAATACTGTTTTTTGACATGAAAATTAACTTACAGTTCAATAACTAACCAATATTTTCTAATAAAAATCATGTTATTTTTATTTTTAGAATACACAAATGACCAAACGTTAATCCCAAAAAATACATCATTAATTGTATCAAGAATACCACTTACAACCCAACAAAAAAAAGCATGGTATGTATATTTTACTGTAATTTGTTTGCAAAATTCAAGTTTTATATTTATAAAATTGACTAGCAATTCACATAATATAAATGCTTATCTTATTTCAAGTTTAAACGCTAGAGTTTTTTTGTTAAATATATTATTTTAGCTTCCTTTATTAAAAATTTAGTGTTTGAAATTATTAAAAACATGCTTGTTTTCATTCTTAAAATTCCTAAAACCTCAAATCTATTAATATTCTAAAATACAATCAATGTTAAATTTTTATCTACAAGTATACTCCATAAGTCTTAGAATTTCTTTTCGGATTTTAATAATTAGCAATAGTTGAATCTCTTGATTAAATGCGATTTTTCTATTTTAAAATATGCATGTATTTTTAAATTATTTTTTATTCAGTTTAAAGTAACTGTGACTGTAAACTAACTTTTTCTTATATAAACATAAAATATCTTAAAAATTAAAGTTTGAAGGGTTGAAATTTATATGGTAACTTAAAATTTTGTTACAAATTTATTTGGTAAATACTGGTTGTTGTGTGTATTAATTTATTTTAATCAATAATTTAATCATCAATTATGTAGGTAAATATATATTAAAATTAAATTAAGCAAGATTTTTTTTCTAGGGAAAGAGCTGAACAAAATAATCAACTTGTTCTTTCAAAACAGGTATGATTTCAGTATTTCATTTTTCTAAAGTTTAATTTATCTGTATCTTATATCATTTATTGATTTATTTTGTATTTTTAATTTAATAGATATTAAATTTAGATTCACATGAACCAGATTCTATTAAACTTAAGGTAAAGTAATTTATTAATTTTATTATACTTTTATATATCGTCGTTGATACGAAAATACCTCTTATGTGCCAAATTTTCAATTTTGAGATATTGGTATCCCTGGATTCAGAAAAAATAGGCGGTCATTTTGATAAAAACTCCTATGTACTATCTCCATCATAGAATTAATGAAAAATAATATACAATTCCTCCTATGTGTTACCAACAATAAATCGTTTATAAAATACCTCCTATGTGATTAAAAATTTGGTCAAAATTACATTGGAGATATTGGCATGCATAGTAGATGTAGTGTCGTGTATGAAATATGCACATGGGAGATTTGTCTATGTTCATAAATGATAATAACAATTTAATATATTAATATCAATATCAATAATTGATAATAATATTATTACATTAAAAATGTAATAATGTATGTAAAATTCGTAAAATATTTTGAAGTTGGCCTTTCAACATTTTACCAACAAAAAGGTTTGAATATTTTGTAAGTAAACTTTTATAATAATATAATAGAACATTATAATTACATGAAAAAAGTCTCAAATGAGTAGGAACATTATATTTTGTCATGAATTTGTGTATTTTATTGTAGATATTTTACTATGCTTAATTTATGTTGTTGATTATTAGCAGTACTATATTATAATAAATTGTAATATGCACATTTTTTGATCACTATGAATCGTGGAAAAAAATTAGTTGGAATGGTTGAAAAAAAGTCCAATACCACACCAAAAAATTGTATACTCATCAAGCACAAAAAAAATGAAAATGTAGAAAATTGATCAAGCACAAGAAATGACATAGGGGTGGACCTAAACAGGTTAAATGGAGTAGATATAGATGACTTTATAATAGAATTTGCAGATAATAATAAAACAAATAACAATATAGAAGAGAGTGACAACATTCTTGAAAACAATTCGTTGAATTTAGTTTATGAACAAACTGTAGATAATATTGTTATATTAGATACTCAAAATGTTGAAGAAAGTTCTGGTTTGAAAATAAATACTATCGATACTTTTGAAGTACTTGAAAACAATTTATGCAGTGAAATAACTAAAGATATAGCAATATTAGACTCTCAACTTTATGAAAAAAATGATGAAAATGAACAATTTGAAGAAAAAAATGATGATGAAAACCAAGATGTATCTTCAAGCTCAGTGAGTTATATAGTAAGAAGTGCCAAACAAAAGATTGAATCAAAAAAAAAAAAAGAGTTGCAGATTTAGCATATATAGGCTATTCACAAAATGATAAAAAAAATTTCAAAACAAACCAAGAAATAAAAGAAAAATTGGAGAAAGTTGTAGTCATACACTTGAAGGGCCAAAGAGCATTAAAAGCTTTATGTGTGGTGCATTCTCTGAAAATGATTGACAGGATGTGTACAACAAATTTTGGAAAATGAAGACTTGGGATGAGAAACGTGGTTTTATTCAAGGTATGGTAACTAATAGACCAATAGTAAAAAGAAGAAAAATAAATGAACAAAATAAATATGTGAAGTCAGATAGTCGAGATGTAAAGTTGCAGACATTGAATGGACAATGTTTAAAAGTATGTAGACATTTTTTTTAAACACATTAAACATTGGTGAAGATAGTTTCAAAAGATGGACAAAAAAAAGTACTGAATTTACAAAACCTGATATAGAAGCTGAACCATCTCCCTCATCAAGAAAATTAAAAAAATGTATTGATATACTTCATATAAAAGAATGGTTACATTTACTTCCTAAAGTACTTAACCATTATTGTAGACAGTCTACCTCTAAGATCTATGTTGAATCTACCTTTGTATCTCTATCTAGTATGTATAAAGTGTTTCAAGAATGGTGCCAAGAAAAAAACATAACCTATGCTACCAAAATATTATATATTTTACTATATATATAGTTATATATTATATACTACTATATTTTGCAAAACATTAAACACAGAAAATATTAAAATCCATCAGCCCCGTAAGGACCAATGTGACATATGTGTTGGATATAAATTAGGTTCTGTTTCAAAAACTGTTTATAATAGACATGTAAACAGAAAAACTATGTCTAGAGAAGAAAAAATAAATTTAAAGCTGCGGTTTCAAGTACCAAAGTTGTAATAACTATGGATTTACAAAGTGTTTTAATTTGCCCAACAACAGATGCATCTGCTATGTTTTATAAACAAAAAATACAACTGCATAACTTTATCATCTACAGACTCAATGACAAAGATGTTACTTTATATGTCTGGCATGAGGGAAATGGTAATGTAAGTGCCAATGAGTTTACCAGTTGTATCATTCAGTATATTGACACACTTCCAAATGAAGTGACTGAAGTTATCTTGATCTCAGATGGTTGTAATTACCAAAATCGTAATAAAACACTGGCATGTGCTTTAAGTACCTTGGCTAAAACTAAAAGTATAACTATTGAACAGTTATTTCTGACAAAGGGTCATACTATGATGGAAGCTGACAATGTCCATTCTACTCAGGAGCACTACTTTAAATCGCCAATATATTCTCCTGGTGATTATATTAGTAGAATGAGATTGGCAAGGCATAATCAACCATATAAAATCAACGTTTTGGACTACTCATTTTTTAAAAATTATGATGATGTTTGCTCTTTAACTTCCTTGTGTCCAAGAAAGAAAACAGGGGATACAGTTGTGACTGATATTTGTAAAATTCAGTACACTCATGAAAGAGAAATACTATACAAAACTGAGTTTGAAGATGGTTGGACAAAATTACCAGAACAAAAAAAAGTTAAAATAACTAGAAGAACAGTAATTGAATCTCAAAAACTAACAAATTTGTACAATGCACCATTGCCCATCTCTGATACAAAATTTAAGGATTTGCAATCATTAAAGCCAGTCATAGATAAAGAGTATCACCCTTTTTATGACAATTTGCCACATTCTAAAGATCCAAAAAATAATAAAATATAAGACTTCAATAAATATACTTAAATATAAAGTTCTATTTAAAGTAAATATGATAATATTTTGTTATTTATGACTGAAAAAGTGATAACTATTTTTATTATTATATATTTTGTATTATAATTTTCTATAATTATTTACCTATAAAACAGAAAAGTGAGAAACTATGTTTTTTTTTCAACTATGATAAGAAATCCAAAGACTGGTTACTATTACATTACTATTTTTAACTTTTACCTTATTTGTTATAATTCTAAAAAGTATATTTTAAGTATTTTGAGTAAATATAATTTGTTATTTATTTTATTACCAGGACTGAAAAAGTGGTTAACTATTTTTTATTGTTTTTTTTTTGTTGTGATGTTTTACATTTTATAATTAGTTATAAATTATAAAAGTTAGCAATTGTGTTTGGTTAGTACATTAATAATTTACTGTTTGGCAAAAAAGATTGATTAACATAACCTCCTATGTGATGAAATATTGACAATTTGTTCAATAAATACATATATATTAAGTTTTTTACTTCAATTTTTTCAGAATAAAAATGTATATTTTATTACGTTTTTTAAATGTATTTTCATTAATCATTGATGATTTGTGATTTTTTAAAACGTTTTTCGTCTCTCCTGAAAAATTAGGTTTAAGCACATGAGAGATTTTTTCGTGTCAATGACGATATATATATATATATATATTTACATAAGTGCTTTGGAATTTTTAGGGTGCAGATTTACTTGGTTCAAATGCTAGCGAAGAAGAAAAAATCAATGCTATGATGGCACAATCTACGCAAGAATATGATCCTTCCAAGTAAATACATTTTTGAGATTATAATTGTTAATTAAAGTAATTAATTTTTTTTTTTTTTTTTTTAATAAGTGGTTGATTCTTATGCACATAACATATTGTATGTAATGTTTGTAAATATTAAAATTTTATTTTGTTAAATTTATGTATGGAGATAAATATATGCAATATTTTTATTACAAAATAAAAGGTTAATAACTAAGTACAGGTTATTTTTTTCATTTCAGTTTTGTTAAAATTCGAGGAGGCAACCAGTATGGTGAGGTACCTCCAAATTATGTTTGTCATAGGTGTCATAATCCTGGCCATTGGATTAAAAATTGTCCAAACAATAATACAACTTCGGTAAAAATATGAAATTAACTATTTTTAATATCTTAAAAGCTCCTATATCTTATCTTTATATAAAATTATATTTTTTCTGAAGGATCCCGTTGATATTAAAAAAGCTACAGGCATTCCCAGAGGTTTTTTAGTTCCTGTTGATGGTCCATCTGTACCTGGAGCAATGTTAACTGGGTTGGGTACATTTGCTGTTCCTAGTATTGATCAGTATGTATTTTTACTGTTATGTATATATTTAATATTAATTATTATTTAATAACTTTAGGGAAGCATACAAACAAAGTATGAAACCACAAAAAAAACAAGAAACCCAATTGGAAAAAGTGATAATTCCTGAAGATTTATTGTGCAATTTGTGTTCTGATTTACTAACAGATGCAATTATGATGCCATGTTGTGGGACTTCATTTTGTGATGAATGTGAGATTATTATTTTATGAATTTAAACTTAAATTTTTATATTGGTATCAATCCTAGGTATTCGAAATGCTCTATTAGAATCAGAGGAAAATGAATGTCCAGACTGCCATGGAAAGGAAATTTCACCAGAAACTTTAATACCAAATAGATATTTAAGGAATGCTGTAAATGGATTCAAAGATAAAACAGGTTATAGTAAACGTATTGAAGCTGCGAAAGTAAAAGTATCCCCTATTAAAGATCAGCCAATCATCCCTGAGATAAATATTGATCCACCACCAAAAGAAGGTATTTTACATTAGATAGTTTAAATTAATATATGTTTTACTTATTTATCCATTATCATTTGTATTCTTAATCATTTCCTTGCTATTTTCCGCTGTAAAAGTATAAATAAAAATTGTAAATACTGTATCTTATTCCAAATACAATAGAGACAGTTATTTATTGGATTATTAATTTTTATTTATAAGATTATGGTCTTTTTTTTATGAAATTATAATATCATTACATTATAACATTACTTTTATACCAAAATAATTAAATCAGATTTTATAAAGATATTTGATTTACATATTTTCTAAGTTCTATTTAAATTCTTCTTGAAGTTCCTATCGGTTTCGGATGTTGGAAATCATATTGAACATTGCTATTTAAATGAAGTAATTATTTTTTAATTTAATTAATTTTGAAACTATAATTATTATTTATTCATTTCTTACTAAAGTTAATGGGTTATTTTGAATTGATCAGTTTTATGAAAATGTTATGTGATTGAACAATTTAAACTTCATTAATAAATAATTTTTATTTAAAGACAAGTATATAATTGGGTTACCTAAATTTTGATTGTGCCTACTATTCGTTTAATTTAAAAACTATATATATATGTTGTTTTTTTTCATGATAATATTTTACTTTTTTTTTCTTAGTTTAAAAGTATTTTCCAGAGCCATATGTTAATTTTATATGTTATTACTCGCAAAAGGAATCTCAAGTATATTACTCAATTTTTTATCCTAGGTCCTTTTCTTTTTGGTCCTATAAATTCTTATTCCACACCAAATTAATTTACAGCTAAATCAATTAGAATTTACCTTTCAGAAATGATTATATCAGTTAGTGCTCAATCACTGCCGTCTGATTCTTCAACTCAAGTATCTAAAGTTGATATTTATCAAAAAATTGCTGCTGTTGGTGACCCCATTGATAAAAATCAACGAAACTACTCTGCAATTGGCACTATCAATAATAATAATAATAATACTACATCTCACAACCATTCAACTTTTAAGCCCCAAGGTCAATCTCAAGTTCAATCCCAAGCCCCACCAGTGTCTGTAAGCAATAATAGTCGTCCTAATAATACTAATGTTCATATACCAGGGAATAATTCTTACCAAAATACTCGACATACATCAAAATCAACTGAAAGTCGTGTATCACATATCTCTCGATATAATTCTCAGTCTTTATCTATCCCCCCTCACCCTCACTTGCGCACTTGTTTGCCCTTAGGACCCGCAGATATCTCAATACCACCACCTCCTTTTGCCCATCCGCCTCCTTCGATTCAACCTGATGTTGCTTACAATCAAATGCAACCGTAAGTTTTTCTATTCTATAATCATTTATTGTTAAGTTATTTATCAAACTATGACTATTAGAATTCATAATCCACCACCACCTGGATTAGATAGAAATAGTAGTCCAGCTAATGCTTCATCAGATGAAGGAATGCATCCACCTGAATCAACTCATCATCATCAAATGGATAAATTTGAGAACCAAACTGGAACACTTCAATCTATGATAAGAGGAGGTTATGCTACAGGTAACATACATTTTTAATGTAATGTATCCTTGACTTTTTAATTTAATATTAATACAATAAATATGTTTTTATAGGTTACTATCCACCACCTATGTCCAATTATGATCATTATAACATGCCTATGGATATGAGAAGTCGAGGTTTCCATCGTGGATATAGTCGAAGACCTACTCGTGGACAACAAATAGAATCGAGTTATCGTCCTGATTTCCGTAATGGTGGAAATTATATAAAGTAATAATATATTTTAAAATGGTGTCAAGTATTTTTTTTATTTTTTACTTTGAAAAATATTTAATTGTACATTTTTTTTTTTTTTTACAGTAATAAAAGAACTATAGATGATCCATTAGCAGTATTTCAGCGAATACTTCGAGAACGAGATAATAAGCGTCGTGATATGAGAAATCGTCATTCTATATCTAGATCTAGATCTCGATCCTTGTCTCGTTCACGATCTAGAGAACGTTCTCGAAGTATTAGTCGATCACCTTCAAGAATCATGAAACATAGAACTCGTTCAATATCACGGTAATTAAAAAAAATAATCATATTATTACTAGTTTCCATTATTAATTTTTAACAATTATTTATTAGATCACCTTTACCACGTAATAGGTCAATAACTCCAAGACGTCGTAGTCGTACGCGATCTCGTAGTCCAGTTAGGAAACGCAAGAAAAGTTTATCACCTGTGAAACGTTTGCCAATGAAAACTAGAAGAAGAACTCGTAGTCCAAGTCGAGATATTTCAGGACGTAGATCCCGGTCATTATCTCTTCATCGGAGGTATGTTTGAGAAATTAATAATTTTATTGTTATTTAATATAAAATAATTATTTTTAGAACTCGTTCAAGATCTCGAAGTCCAATTCACAGAAATCGAATATCACCATCACTTCGTTTTAGATCAAGATCTCCTACTTTTTACTCCTCACCTGCTAGGTAACTATTAAACATTTTAATATTCTTCATCAAAGCCATTTTTTAATTATTTAATATTTCTTATGTTTTCAATAGTTATACTTACTATTCATGTATTTATTTTAGATTTAGCAACTATCATAGAGAAGATGACAATTTTGGGCCTAAAGGAGGCAATTGGCGAGGTCGAGGCACTTGGAACAAAGGAACCCAACCATACCATCAATCACACAGGTATAGTTTTGTTGTAAATGTTTTTGCAGTATCTAGTTCCGATAGTGAGTTCATATTCGAACACTGTAGATTACCACCAGAAGGAAACCCAGTTAGTCATTATTACCATCATGAATTTATTTAATTCATAATTTTATTAGTTTTCAATGATCTGATCTCTAGTTATTATCATATATATTTAATTAGGTTTAACTTATTATTTATTTCGTTTTATTATAAATTGTATACGAAAATGTGTTATTCAATCTATTAATTCTGTGATAAAATACTGTGATATACTAATATATTTGTTATTATAATAATGAAATATTAAAAATAGTTCAAATAAATACTTGTTGTATTGTTAAAGTTTAGTCAATTATTAGATAAGTAATTCTATGAAATACATTTTTTTTATTATTATTATTATTATTATTATTCCATTTTTCATTTAAAATTTGTATTGAACATTTTTAATAAAATTAATTATAGAGTTAGTGAAATAATTTATGCTGTTATAAAAATAAACAAATAAATGTCTGTATAACTATATGTAGTTACTTTACAGTACATACAAATAAATTTAACATGTCATGACATATATTTAATTATGAGTATATATCAATTACATTTATTTAAGGCATATTTTTTTTTAATCAATAACATGAAATGTTCAAATTATATTTTTACGAAATATATTAAGTTCCTATTACATTTTAATTAGTTTTTTAATTTTTATTATAAAACTATGAATTTATCATAAATTCATATCATATTAAATTATTTATAACTTTTGAAATAAATCTAGTCATTATTATTATGCATAAAAATATTTCCATACTACCGAAAAGTAACCAATAATAACATTTTTAAACAAAATGGTTCTTAAACCAATACATTTTAAATTAAAAATATATTAAGTTCTTTATCATTTTAGTAGTAGATTAAAGTTATTGAGGTTTTACTTCATCTTTATTTTAAATTGTTCATTAAAATAACCAGCTCGATTAAAATTTCACATAACTTAAAATAAAATAATTAAATACATTTTCAAAATACACAGACATATATTATTAATTTTAATATAATATTTTTTTTCGATGATTACAAAAAATCAAAAGTTATTACAAACATTTAACATATTCAATTTAAAACAAACTTTAATCTGAGTTTCAATATTATATTTTTATAATTTAGTTATTATTAAATTGTTATTTTATTGTATTGATACATTTATTTAATTTGTTAAACTTGTGGTTTTACTTTCAAAGAATAAAATGTTTTTGTACTATTATTTAATATTAATAATATTTGTAATAATAATAATAATGTGTAAAATTATAAGAATTATTTCATTTTTTAGTTTTTTATGATTTTTTTTTTATTTACATTATGATTGATTTGAAGGCATTAATGTACCCTTTGATTACTTATAAGTATTTATTTTTTTAATAATATTTTATAGTTTTATCTATTAATATAATTGTTTATCAATCTGTGATATATAAGTCTGTAATTTTTATAAACAAAATATTTTGTGATGTTTATTAGGGTTTTTATTGTATTTATTTAGTGAAATGAAAAATATTATTTTATTATTAAAAGTATCTACTTTATTTTGCGTATAAATATGTATTTTTTATTATATTTTATGATGTTTATTGGATATTTTGTTATAATAATTACATTTGTTTGAATAAGGAGTTATCTGATAACAATTATTTTCATTATTATTTAATAAATATTTAATATATTTTTCACATAATTAGTATATTTATTAGACTCCTTAACTAAATTGTATTTTATTGACCGCTCTAAATAATATACTCAAAAATATTTTTTTTTTGTTATCTCATGTATATTAAAACTTATTACTTAACAACATTTAAGTACTGGATGCTAAAGTTATTATATTATTTTCAACATACAAAACAATGTATTGTAATTTATATTTTGCTACATAATGATATTTAATATGAAATCATACATTCAATTATACAGTATACATTTTTATCATTAGTTTATAATTTTTTCATTGTTTTGATAAAATATGACAATATGATATTTTGATTGTTAAAATGATTCTTTGGAAATTAAGTTGTTTTTTTTTTAGTAAATTTTATATAAATTTAATCAATGATATTGTTTTTTAATTAATACAATTCATTTTTGTTATTTTTACCTTTCATTATTGATTAACCAAATATTTATATTTTAAAAAAATTATACAGTTGTGTTTTTATTACAATGTTGTAATTATTATATCAAAAAAATGTACTAATTACTGAATAGATATATTTTACTGTTATATTTAAAATTATCTTATTTAAAATAAATGTTAATTAAATTACAATTTGTAATTAGGTAAATTAATATTTTGATTTATATTCGTTCTAAGCTATACATTGAATGTTATGACTGTTATAAGCAATCTCCATAATGATATATTGATCTTATCTGTACAATTCTTGTATTATATGCATAGATGGCAGTTAAGAAAGTATTAAAAATTATTATACTTAAAGATATAGTTTCTTTTAAATATTTTAGTGTTACTATTAAATTTAAAACGGTTACATCTGTTTATAATGATATTGGGTGTAATTACCTCATTAATGGAAAAATCTATATTTTTAATATTAATTGATTTATTTAATTGTAACTAAATATTTTTTATTTTATATCACCAACTATCATTATAAACAATGATACTGAAATTGTTTTCCTTACACATTGTTATGACAGTTTAAAGTGTCCATTGCTAATTAAATATAATTAAATAAAAATTATTATATTAATATTTATAAAATTTCAATTGATTTTTATTTATTTTATTCTGTTGTATATATTTTACATACATACATATTATTGAAGTTTTTAACATTGGACACTTTAAAGTATTTCTTCAGTTTAAGTGTTATCCTTTTATTTCTTACTTTTAATACAATTTTGTTTAAAGTAGAATTTGAGATAAACATACAAATTTTTGGTTTGTGATTACTAAATATTCACTTTATACCGAAAATATTTTTTCCATCATCGAATATCCTTATTTTATTTATTTACATTTCCTATCCAATTTATACTCGTTTTATCCTATGAAAATAATGCAGATGTTCCAGCCAATTATGGAATCATTTTAGGACAAAAGGTAATTCTAATAAACATTTTGCTTTTCTAGCCATTTAGAAATATAGTTAAGACTTTTGTTAATTTTTATATTGGCCTAAAAAATCATAGAAGTTTACAGGTATGAAAGTTATTACAATTATGCAGCATTTTACTTCGAACATTATTCTACATCTATAACACCAAACATATTATCAACGCTCATTTGCATATATACACCAAAATAAATTCCAGAAAGGTCATCGTATTAAGTATTGGACTTTTATTAGTATACTAAGGGAATATTAAAATATTTATAATCATAATTTTCAGAGTTCTGCATTAGACTTGGCTTAATATTATATGAAAATTTTAAGCTCTTAAATTTCAATTGAAGTTTTATACATTAATGATTAAAATGTGTTTAGCTCAATGTTACTAATATTTTATATTAATAAAATCACTTTTATTTTGTTTTGTTTTAAATAGGTATCGAGGACAATTTGAAGGACACTATGATGTGGGAATTGATCGCCCAACAGAATACGCAGCTAATTACGCTCAGTTTGATCCACATTATGCAATGGATCCAAATTTAGTGCGTGATTGGGATGAAATCCGTGATAAAGAAATTCGAGAAAGAGAAAAAGAAAAGAAATTAGAAGAAGATAAATTGAAGAAGAAGTCCAAAAGTCATTCGCCCTTTAAACACCATAAAGTGGAAAAACTAAGACAAGAACATAAACCATCCCCTGAAAAGAACCATAAAGATTCGGATAAAAAAGATAAAGGAAAACGAAAAAAGAAGAAAGACACAGATGTAGATAAGAAAAAGAAAAAGAAGAGTAGAGATAAAAAAGAAAAGGATGATACCAAAAAAAGTGATGAAAAAGAAGAAGAAAGTAACGAAGGAGAAATAAAGCTTGAAGTCCAAGAGATTAATCAAGACAACCAAGAACCTGCTGCTCCAGGCACTTCTGAATCTCCTCCTCCCTTTGAATCTGTCGCCATCAAAGAAACTGTTCAAATTAAAGATAATATCACAGATGAGCTTTATGGAGGTTTAGATGAAGGTGCACCAGTGGATACCAGTTGGGGTAGTTACAAGAGTCCTGAGATAAGTGAACCTCAAACAAAATCTATAGCTGTTGAACCTGTTGAAGAAAAACCCAAAGAACCCGAAGTCTTGGCAGAACTACCCGAGCGGTCTAAATGGGAAGTAGAAGACGATGTTGGTACTTCAGATGATAAATTTGATGCGAGCAAATCAAAAGAAGACCGCATACCAGACAATTCAGAATTCCACTACGATAGTCAAGTTTCTGTAACAAATGAAGTATTAAAACGAGCAGAGAACGCTATATTCCAAAAAACAATTAGATCATTAGATGTATCAGGTAAAAAGACTGTTTCCGATAAGTTTGACAGTATTAAAGATAAAAAGCCAGACGTAGTTAAAGATAAAAAAATTGAAACTGAAAAATATTTGGGTAAAGATAAAAAACCTGATATTGTAAAGGAAAAGAAGTTCGATGTTTCCAAAGAGAAGAAATTAGAAAATGGGAAAGAAAAGAAAATTGAGGGAAGTAGAGATAAAAAAATAGAAATCATCAAAGATAAAAAACAAGAAGTGTTCAAGGAGAAAAAACCTGACATCTCCAAAGATTTTAAAGATAAAAAGCTTGATGTCGACAAAGACAAAAAAAATGACGTGAAAGATAAAAAACTTGATAATCTTAAAGATAAAAAGTTTGAACGAGAACGGAGATTTAATGACAAATCTGAAACGAAAACTAGTATCGAAAAGTCATCTAGAAAAGACGATTACACTTCAAGAAACAAAGATAAAAAACATTTGGAATCCGACGCTTCATTGGATTCATTATCTATACAGAGAGAAGCTAGAAAATCGGGTAACTCTATACAAATAACCATACCGACGGATTCATTGGATGATAAAAAATCTAAGGAAGGTATCAAACGAATATCAGCCAAAGAAAGACTAGGTGAAAAAGTCGAAGACAAAGACGATAAACACTACAAGCCGAGAAATGAAAAGCGAAAGGCATCTCGATCTCCAGTCCGTGTGCACTCTACACTAATTGTCCCTGAGCCATTACCGAGAAAAATCAGAGCCACGTCCAAGACTCGTAGAGATTCGCTGAAAAAAGATCGGAATTCTAAAAACGAGAGAATCTCCAATTCCGTTCATCGGCCTTCTCGGCGCGATGATGACAAAATATCTGATAATCAGCGAAAGAAATCTGAAACGGGCAGAGTAACGAAGATGGATGATAAACATGGTCGTGTGACAGAACAAAAGAGTGTTGTATCTAAAAAAGACGTCCGACAAGATAAAAAAGAGGAAAAGAAAAAAGAAGAAAAACGTGAGGAAGTGATCGTAAAGAAACCCAAACCGAAAGAAAAAGAACCAGAGAAAAAGGAACGTAAAAACCGTCGCCTTGAACCTGATCGTAAAATATATGATGATGAGATAGCGTTAGAACATCACGAAGATGATGACGATGACAAAAAGTTGTCCAAAGAATCGGACGATTCGGCAAGCAGTTCCAGCAGTTCGAGTTCATCGTCAGACTCGTCGCCAGTTCGGTCTAAAAAGAAGAAGAAGACGAAGAAACGGAAGAAGAAACACGTCAAAAAGAAGAAATTGGCCAGTAGCTCAGACTCTGATGATTCGGATTCATCCTCGGAGTCGGATGAAGCTAACAATAACAGACATAAGAAAAAGAAGAAAAAGGAGCAGCGTAAACATAAAGTACATAAAAAATCGATAAAAAAAAAGAAGAAGTCCAAACACAAGTAGAAGAGCGAAAAGCCAACGACCAATGTTCAAATACTACATTTTTATGGTTATTGATTGTACAAAAAAGTTATAACTGATTTACTTCTACTCTTTATTTATTTTTTTTTTTTAATAAAAACTGCTTGTTTAGTACATCTAATTTTAATTTTGTGTTTGTCCGAATATGTATGTGTACACATTGTGAATGTAATATGACGTTATTACATTTATATGTATGTATTTCAATACATACCTCTTTATATTTGTATATATATACCATTTTTATTATTGTTGTTATAAATATGGACGATGACATAATTGTGAGAAATTTTAAAATAAATTAATGTACTAGACATGAATTTTTTTTGCTCGTTATTAGTTAATACTACATCTCCTCCGTATATATTGAAGGTAGAAAAAATGAACGGACATTTTTATTTGTAAACCAAAGTCGTTACAAGACTTCAAAAGTATAATAATAATTATTATATTAATGACGTAGTACTAACGCCGATTAAAATTATATATAATATAAAAATATTATAAAAAATATTACTCTTAAAATTATAATACAATTATAAATATACATTTTAAATAATCGTATAATAACAAGGATCACGTGGTCTCGGTTGTTCGGGCAACTAAGCTTTTTTTTTCTTCAATTTAATATACATTTTTATAAATTCGAAAACTTATAATTGAATTTATTTGCAAACGTAATAATGTTACGAAAAATCCGTATCGAATCATCCGAAGGATGCTATGCTTTGGTCTCCGATAGACTTTCGGAACGTTGAAAACATCGGCCATGATGGGTCGAGTTAACGACTCTCACGGGGACTTGGAATCGTCTGTCGCATAGCACTTGAGTTCGGGTTTCTTTTTCACGGTGCCCGAGAAATATTTGTACCCCCACCCCCTCCTCATCACTGATAATTTTACTGTTTTTATGAATAAAAAAAAATCGTAAATTGAATACAAGGTAAAAATAGTAAACAAAAAAAAACTTATACAAAATTCGTCAAATGTAAATTATTTTTTCGTCGTAAGATTTCCACCCAATGATAAACTTATCGCTGATTATTGTATTTTTCCAACTCTATCTCGATTATTTTGCTAATCTTGTTTTTTTTTTATCATTTGATGTACCGTTAATTCTATGACGCAGCCTAGTCGCTTTTAAACATTGTTTACGATTAAAGTTTAAAGAAAAAAATACCGGAATAACTTATTTCGTTTGGTGGAAAAGTGAATTGGCGTAAAACGGAAAGGTGTACACTTTTGACGGAAACCGGCCATGCATGGCCGAAAACCATTCGGTTTATCGACTCAGTGGCGTATGCATAACTTTCGTAAAATTTGCGAACAAATCATTTTTTTTTTTTTTTTTGACGTTTCTAACGCTCTCTCACTAAGAACATTATTCTGTGACATTTAAAAAAAAAGCCTAGGGGGAGATCTGACCCCTTCAACCCCCTTGTATTCGCCACCGTCTCGACTGCAATTCTTCCATCGGTCGAGATCCGTACGGTTTAATACGTTCGAATTCGTTCGTCAACGTAGGTACGCGACGGATTGATTCCGCGCACCCAGCTGCATTCTGCGATAAACAACTAAACCATGCGGCAACACGACGCTTCCACGTCCCGCCGATCGTTATTATTCGTTACTGTTTTCCGTTCATCGTCAGAACATATTCTCAGTAGTTTTCACCGGACGGAACACTTCAATGAAATCGTCTACCATCGTGGTTCATAGACGTGCTGCTCTCCCGCAGAGGAACGTACTGGGAAAATCAACTGCTGTCACTACGGTCGTAATGAGAATGTGTTTGGTCAGTGACGCGATCACCCACCACCAACGGGTAGCATTCAATTATCACTGGCACGCGAAGAGAGAAACCCGGGCCCGGTGGCTTATATCTTGATGTGTATCTTAATTTTTTTGTCTACGGTGTTCTTTAAACGCTTATCGATAGTTGTGTTTAATTTTTTAAACAATTTCTAGTCACTTGTTTCCCGGGCCCGGGGGATCAAACCTTCCCCCCTTCTCGTTAAGCCTGCTGGGGGGGGGGGGGGAGAAGGCACTAGTGCCACGTACTTTGTACATTAAAACACGCTCTTCGTCATCGCCGTAACGGTTATCGTCTTGCCCGGAAAAAACGATCGCGTCGCAAATGTTTGATCAGTTGCCGCATGTGCGCGACAACGCCGAACGGTTTCGGCAACCGTCTCTGGGCCGTACGCGCATTTCAACGGCGTCCGTCGGTTCGACCGGAAAGCACCGCCCCATCAACCCGAAAACGTTTCACCGCCATCGACCTGGTCGCTACGATATGCGTCTCCTGATCGCGTGCTGCTTGCTTCTGCGGGCCACCGGTCGTTCGGACGCGTCGGACGATTACGACCGGTTCATCTTCAAGTTCATCCAACACGTGGCCAGATTTCAGACGCTGAGCGACGTGCCTACCTGCGAACTCTTGGTAAACCTTTTTTTTTCCTAGGTAAACCGGTGGCGGGCAACGTTTAGAGACGGCGAAAACACTTTCACTCCACGTTCCACCCACCCCTCCCACCGTTTTTGTGTCAGCGCTTTTATGGTGGTTCTCGTGGCAAATCAAGATTTTCAATTTTTTTTTTTTTTTTTACGTTTTGTCAAAACCCCCAAGTCCTGTAAATAATACTACCTATAAAAATAAATTATCTCGACTCAAGCCCCGAGTCATCCCTAACGTATCGTACCCAACATAAGCGTGCCCTGCCCCTTTGTTAGTCTCATATCTCTCATTGCTTCGACGGTGTCCGGTTTTCGGTACGGTAACTCTTCGTTTTTCCTCGGCCATTAGTCATAGGTCCGAAAATTCTTCACATTATTTATTGAACTCCACGCGTAACAATTGGTTCTCTCAAGGTAGTGTATAATAATTATAAAAACAACAAAAAAAACAATTATTGTTTTTTTAAATAATTATGTTGTGATGAACTTAATAATAGTTGTTAATTGAATGAAAACTTCGATACCAAATTAAAATGTATTTGACCAAAATTAAAAGTCCGAACTTGTTATATCTTTCGGTTTAATAATTAACATTTTAGAATATGAAAAAACATTTATGGTATGTCCCATTTACTGTTGTCTCCGGTTATTGTATAATACGCACTAAAAAAACTGCAGAGAAAACAACGATTAGAGTGCCAAAAATACATGTTTATGATATGGTATTCGACTCGTGTAATACTTGACCAAATGCGGAAAAGTTGCCTCAAGTTAGGTTAACTTGATAGACTTATAAAATGATTTCGAAAAAAAATTAACATACAACTTATGACCTTTCAAAGCCACCAATATGTTAGATAACATATTTTTGGCTTATTGTGTATCACCTGGACTCGATATTTTTAACAGATAATAACGTTTAGTGATAGCGAGTGTACCCCTAGATGCGATTCGATGTACTGAAAAGTTTTTTTTTTTTTTTTTTGGCAAGCTACAGACTTAAGGCTATTAAAATTAAAATTTGGACATTCTATGAATTTTTATTCGTTTTAAAGTATACGTGAACACGAAACGTAATAGCAAAAAAAATTTTTATTACCGCCTTCCTCTACCATATATTTCAAATATCACATAGCGTGTAATTTGAGTATATTTTTATAAAATAATATTAAAAAATAATCAATTAAATATTAAGCCTTCTAAAATTTGTGTTTGTTATAAGAATAATAACACGTTAAAATTAACATTTTATTAAAATTTTACAACAAACAAAATCACAATACTATCGATTCGATATTCGATTAACAATCCAAGTTCAAGTTTCAAGTTCGGTAGTTCGATTATTTTCAACATATGTATATCATTTGGAAGCGTCATCGTGGACATTTTCTATTGGTTGCTGCCGCTATTATTTAAGTCGCTATTCAATTGTTACACTTAGATATTATTATAATTTCATTATTATTGTTACCTTTATGAATTTGCAACCCAACTCCATTATTTTTTTTTAAATCCATAAAAATAAAAATTAAAATATGTGACTAAACGAAACGTAATGGTATATTAAAATAAATAATTATTGAATGGTCAGATGATTGAGTTTAAAAATAAAGAAGGTACTTTCTTAGTTCTTACTTAAATTTAAGCATAAAATAAAAATAAAATATATAAAAAATATATAATTATAAAAATAATAGCCATAAAATAAATTTTTATTTTGTTCAATCTAATAATTATAGCCGTTTAGTTGAGGTTTTTGAAAATGATTGTAGAACTTCAAATTCGATAAGTTCTTCTCTTTTGTTAATATTTGATATTGTTAATCCATTAAAACGTTCTTCTGTTATAATTGATCTTAAGTATGATTTTAAACGTTTAAATATTGAAAATGTTCTCTCTAGTGTAGTTGAAGAACCTAACGATACTTTGATTGTTGGTAACATCAGTTCAATTTCAATCATAGATATCTATGTACTATGGTTGCAAATTGAAATAATTAAGCAAAATGTAAATACATGATTAACATTTTAAGCACGGTTATCTACACAGATTTAACCGTGATTTTAAGATACTATCTTCAATTGTGAATAAATATAATATAAAAACAAATAACAATTATGTTGGTCATTGGGGTGAGGGGAAGACTTCAGTTCGTTAGCTCACTCTGCGTACGCCACTGATGCCATTTATTTTATAATGAAATATATAAAAATGGTTCAATATGGTAAGTCACTGCGATTCATATAATATATATTTATATATATTCAGGATCATAATTTGGATGGGATCAAGTCATGTTTCAACTTTAAAAAGTCAGTGGGTTGGCCGTTCAAACATCCGTCAAAATTGGCTGATATCAGCCGTCAAAAAAAGGTATGGAAAGTTTTTAAATGTACCATGTAAATAATTTTAAATAAAATATCATTAAATCATATAATGCACATTTGATATGAATATACAATTATGAACTTTATCCACTTAATATTATAAAAATTGAATGTCTTATTTTCCGTTACGCCTCTAATATTATGAAACGACTCCTAAACTAGATTGTTAACACATTTGAAAAATTCTTTATATTACAATTATTTTTACAATATCGGGATATTCGTAAAACCGTGACTTTTTAAACTATATAAATGACGAAAAAAACAAATCTACACGTTTCACGATATCAAGATAAAAAATTGCATAATGTGTCTTTCATAATATCGGGATGCTAAACGAATAAGCAGAAGCAGTTCATATAATATAAACTGTGCAAGTCGATACATTTTGGTGCATGTTTATGAACATTTTCTGAAAAAAACAAATTATTTGCAGGAAGAAAATAAAAACAAAATTGTACGTGTAATACATTTGTTCCCGGCCATTTCGAGACCGTGTCGCACAGAGCCGTATGGACAATAGTGTAAACAATGATAAATCATAGCATACTGCGGGTGTCGACCTAATAATTTCGAACATGTGGTATGGGCACCCGTGAATAGTAATTAAAAAAAAAACCGTAAAATATAATTTTTTACAATTAAATCCTATGCACACATTCAGCCACGGCGGACGCGCGATAATATTTCACTTTTCGTATCGTACGCCCACCGAATCGTTACCTGCCCGTAATTTGTTTACGTATTGTATTTTATTTACAATAATCAGGATTCGAGGTACGTGTTCGTTCAAGGCGAGTGCACGACGATGTTGTAGCAGCTGCGACCCGTAGTCACTGTACTAAATATTTATTTTATCAACGTAGTCGCGGGGCTGACGAACGAAGTAGAAGACTCCGCACAGCCCGACGCTTTATTTGCGACCACGTCAAACGTGGTATGTGATCAGTGTTTCTTTCGGACAGTTTTCTCCGGGAGGCCGTTCGAAAAGATCGGTGTTCGTTTGTATTACGGCAAGGAAAATATATTTTTGTGTTTAACTATATTTTTCACAATTATAAATAATACTGACAATGGCGGGAGTTACCTTTGTCCGTTATTTTATAAATGCGAACGATTTGATTGAATATACGAATTTTAACAAGCTTAACACACACGCAGTATTATTATACATTAACGTTCGTTTTTAAATACGTTTTGAGTCTAGTTAAATATACATAAAACAAAATCCTTCAACCTTAATTTAGAAACAAAAGTTTCTAAATTTTCTAAAGGAACCGAATTCGTTGATTTTTCTTAGCTGCATTTATTAATCTACCACGCAACACACAGATTTGGGTAGTATTCAGAATACTTTTTAAATATTTCGAATATTTTTTAAATACTTTTTTTGAAAATATTTTGAATACTTATAACGAGTATTCTGAATACTGTATTTCGAATACCGCTAAATCATCTTTTTTAAATGATTTTATTACTATTAACTTACTATTAACTATACCCTATCTTGTATAAGCTAATATCAGGTATTTATTATTGTTGTAAACCATAAACTATAACAGTTATGTAATATAAAAATACAATAAAATAACATATATTTAGCCTACAATTTCAAATATTTCTGTTTAGTGGACATCTATTATTTTTACAGTATGAAAACTAGAAATATTTTAAAAGTATTCTAAATAATGTATTCGGAATACAATTTGTATAATGTATATGAATACATATTCGGAATACTATTTTTTGTAAGTATTCGAGTATTTATTTTAAATACTTTTAAAAAATATTTTACTCAAGTCTACCAACACAATATAATCCAAGCAATAACTGATTACTGATTTCCATCGGTAAAAATAATTGTATGTACAAAGAATGACGTTAACTCGTGATTTGATGATTCCAGGGCATTCGCCGTGATATCAAAATTAAATTTTTCTAATATTTGATATTTCTTTGTTGTTCTTCGAATTTTTCCAGAGGAGAGGGGCTTTTGGACATTTGCCGGCAAGGCTCAGTACCCCCCCCCCTCCCGCCCGGAGAAGTGTCTGAAAAAGACACTGCACGTAATGCACTCGTATGCGCGCGGTATTATGCGCAGTATTATGATGCAATGGCATTATTGCTGTTTATGGCTGTGTCGGTGGCGACGGCACGTGTATATTTTGGCGCGCAATAATAGCGATACGGTTATACAAGGTCCTTGGAGCTTCGTAGGTGTGTGATCGCGCCCTGATTACGGTCCATTCAATTTTTCGCATATCACCTCGGCCGCCGTCATTCGGTCTTTGTGTTCAACTGCGATCCGCAATCTTTCCGATATTGTTTTCCCGAGTCCGCGGTACGATCACACCGTCGTCGACTCCGTCCGAGCGCGAGTTAAGATAAACCGATTTTCGTCGCGCCGCTCTCGACGCTCTTGTCAGACGACGATCCGGTCCGAAATCCGTTCTCTTTCACCGACCACTTTCAATACACGGCACACCGCCGAAGGTATGTACGGAAATTCCGTTGTTAATAATCTATCCGACGGACGCAAACATTCCTTGGTAAACGTCCAACGTCCGTCGGCCATCCGTTTTCGGTTTTTTTACGCGCGCACGCGCTCGCACTAATGATTGACTTCGTGCGATAAATCAGCTCTCTTCGCGCACGCCCAACGCAACAACTCGGTACCCGATGTGCTATTATTGTTGTTGTTGATGGTATCGGTGTTTTTGATAATAATTGTTTGACGTTTTGGTTTTTCAGCCTAAATTCAGACGTGCAGCGATGGGAGAAGCCGGCGAAGAAGTCTTGCTGTATGTATACGACTTGACCGGTGGTATGGCTAAGGCATTGGGAGAGTCCTTACTGCGTAAGTTACTGAGTGCACGAGTTGTGCTCCATCATATCGTATAGTGTATGCACATGATAGTTATTATTTACAGAAAAGCCAATCGAGGGCATATGGCACACTGCGATTGTGGTGTTTGGTAAAGAACATTTTTTTGGTTCCAATGGGATCTCAGTATGCAGTCCAGTAAGTGTTTTATTTCAGTTATGATTCATGTTTTACGTGCTGTGCTGTCTAAGGGAGTTTTGACCAGGCTCAGAGATCTGATCACTCATTCTTGATCTATCATAAAAATCATATTAACTTAAATATTCAGCTATATCTAAGTGTAAAGTGTAATATTTATAAAATCAAAAACATAACACTAAAAATATTCTCCAGTGGAATATTATAACATTATACTGTACATTTTAGAAATCATGTAATGTCAGTTTTTGGTTTAATAACTAACCTATATTTATCTTATACTATATATAAACAATAGTTTATAAGCAATTCAATTGATAACAGAAATATAATTATTATTATATTGAATTGATGACACAAGGGCATGCTCGGAAATTTTTTTTGAGAAGGTTTCAATATTTTTACTACCATTTAGTAAATTTTACAAGATAATAATTTCAATTATTTATGAAGTTCAAATCATTAATTATAATAGAATATATCCTATTTAAGAATTCTTTCACTATTATTTAATAGTTTTAAATCAACGTATATTCAACGTTTTTTTTTAACAAATATTTTCAAATAATAATTTTGAATTTAATTCAACAGTGACATGTATTTGTTTTTTTTCTGGAATAGGAAGAAATAATATTATTTTGTATTAGTATTTAATTTATATATTTTAAATACGTATTGGTAAAAAGAAATAAGAATTAATACTTTTTTATTATTTATAATAAAGTTATTGTTAATATATGTTTATTCCTAATCTTAAAAATTTAATAACTGCTTACTATTTAAATAACCATTTTTTTTTTTATAACATTTTTATTTGCTATGATTTATAGTAATAAAAACAATTGTTCAACATATATACATATATACTGTTATTAATTAATTTATAACAAGTAATAATATATTTACTTATTGGGAAACAACCTTATACTTTTTATAAATTATAATGAAAGCCTTAAATACAATGTTTGAACTATAAATATAAATTAATTAGTAAAGTGTTTAATAAGTTTTTAACAATTATATTAAATATAGATAGTTTCGGTTCATTATAAAAATTGTATAAAAAATAGATAAATGTATTTTAAATTTTAAACAAAACTCTATTTATCTCTGAAGTGTAATTGCAATTGTGTTTGGCAATAATCCAACGATTAAAATATCTAATTTTATTGTCACTGTTATATAAAACATTTGAAAATAAAAAAGATATGCGTACAATTTTTTAATTTGAATGATTAATATAATAATAATAACTATAGATTAATTAATTGTTGACAATTTAATAATTTTATTAATTGTATAAATGTATTAATTGAAATTATATTCAATTTTAATTATACATTAAAAATTATTTTAAAAAGTGTAGCTATTTATTTTATGAATAAATGAAAGTTAGAAACTATAATTATAAAATTTGATGTATTTTATTTATGAGTGTTTATATTTTAATTTTGCGAGAAATCATTTTAATCATAAGTTTTGTCATTCATAATGACAGGGAGAATCTTATCCCTCTTCACTAAAAATTTCTTTGTTCAATATTTGTACACATATGATTGAAATAAATAATGAATTGAGTATTATACAATGATAAATTAAAACATTTTCCAATGATTCCAATGTCACCATATTAACCATCTATTACTAATATTATCAATATTAATCGCAGTAAATACAATATATTAAAATCAAGTATTCAGATACACGAGCGTGAATGAATAATTTTATTCTGGTGCCTTGCTAAATGTTACGTCTATGAAAGACAATCTCACATATCTCTATTTTGATACCATTCCAATTCGACTAAATCCTACTCTGTCCAATCTAAAAATACAGTCCTAGTCGAACGACATAGCCAATCGTTGCATATTTTCGGTGGAAATAATACATCTGACTCTCGCTTAGCTCTTATGCCGATTCCTCTGAATGTTATAGGGTACCACAGCCTTGGGAAGTCCATTACGTACTCATAGTTTGGGCAAAACGTGTTTGCCGGAAGACGTATTTCAAGAGTATTTACGTGGATTAGAACAAGACACATTCTCGTAAGTACATTTATTTATTTATCTATTATTGTAGTTTTGTGCTTTCAAATACTATGTTCTACAACTATAATCGTTGTTGTTTTATACAATTAATAAGTGTAAACTCTTTTTTTATTTTTTATACCCGTAGCGCAGACAAATATAATTTATTAAGACATAACTGCAATAATTTTTCCAATGAAATAAGTCAATTTTTATGTGGAAATTCTATACCAGAATATATTTTAAACTTACCAGACGAAATTCTCAGCACGTATGTATTTTGTGCTTTTTTTTTTTAACTGTCCGGAAGTAATACATTATTTTTTTTTTTAGTCCTTTTGGTAAACAATTGCAACCCGTTTTAGAATATTTTTCCAACAACATTGGTGTACACCCAGGCTTGACTAGGTCGTCGTCTGATTTTGAATCTCTTAACAACGATATCGATTCTGCCAGGTATGACGTGTACAGTTTTAATGAATATTTAATTATTTTTATTTTAAGCTTTTTAATTGTAATTGCGTTTATTTTAATAAATAAATTAACTATTATTCAGGAATTAACAAAAAGTGTTGTGTGTGATTTGTTGTTTCAGAAATTAATGATATCTACAGTTTTAGATGATTATCAATAATGATCACTCTACCTAACACTTCCATCCACGCCTTATGGCCATTAACAAATTCAAGCTATCTATATTTTATTTAGTTGTAAGCTGTTTATATAAAGTGTGTTTTGTTTTTTTTACTCAAAATTTGAAATTAATATAAAAGCTATTTTATTTGAACTCAATATTATGTTAACTATAATCGTTCAATTTTGATTGTTCCGATTGTACATCTTGTGTTATTTCATGCCATTTCATTATTTTAATTACCACCTGTAAAACTTGAGATGAAAATAAAACGTAGCTATATTTAATAAACTGTAATTTTATTATTAACTCGTGTTATTTTGGTATACCTAATATCTACTGTAGTCATTTTACATGTGTATCTATTTATACACTAAATACCTAAGTATTTGTATATAATAACAATATTTAGCTGCGTGAAAATAACTTGAAGCTTATCGTGTGTGTAGGTAATCATTTATTTTGATCTTCTATTTATCCATTGGCAGAAAACAATCAGCGTTATTAGAAGAAAAACGTATTAAATTAAATGAGAAATTAGAAAAGAGAGATAAAAGAAAGAAAAAGAAGAAGAACAAGAGCAAACATTTAAGTGACAGTTTTTGTACCGAGTCAGGTGCTGCCAGTTCTAGCAGGTATATGACGATCTGTTGGCGGAAATTAATTATTATCAAATGCATATTGTTGTAATTTTAACTTTAAAGATACGGTGATAACTATAGAAAAATGTCTGAAAACGGAACTAACGGCGTAAATGTGGCGAACGGTGTTCAGCCAGTTATAGATAATGACATCGAAGATATGGAAAAGAAAGAGCTAGAGTTGAAGCGCAAAGAACGTGACCCTCCCATAGTTTTCCAAGACACCATAAACGTAGGTTATATTACCTGTTAATATTGGATCACAGTTATATATAATATGCATACAAAGCGATTCTGTAAATATATCCTTAGTAAATTTATAATTAAATCATTTAAACTGCTGGAATATTGAAACTTAAATTCTTTAAATATTAATTGTACAGGGGGAATGTGACATTTCGGCGATGTCGTTTCTGCAATAAATTATTTCGATAATTCGGCGAATGGTCCTGTATATAGGAGCGTATTTACATGTTTCCCGCTTGTAGGCCTGTGAAAAATTGCCGCTCTTAAATAACCAAAATATTAGACTAAGTTATCATTTATGTACTATAAATATACATTAATTAAGTAACACATTTTATTTAAATAATAAAACATAATTTCTTAAAATTTGAATATTTTTTTATTTATAGTTAATATCTACATAAAATAAATAACATAAATTCTTCAAACTTGGATATAATTATTAATTATATCTGTCTACGTCGACATCTGGTAGTAGCTAGTGTCTATTAAATCTTCAAAATTCAACTATTTTAACATATTCTCTATTGATCACAATGCCCAATTGTTTAATTTTTCATCAGTTGTAGTATTAATCGGGTTTGGTAAATTGAGTCCCATTTTATTAATTATAGGTAAACTGAGTCCCGCCTAAATAAAAAAAAAGAAAAGAAGCTAAATTGAGTCCCTCATATAAAATGAAATCGGTAAATTGAGTCCCTTGTATAAAAATTAAATCGGTAATTTGAAATATGATGAAATGGTGTTTTTTTTTATTTACCAAACTTTTAATTATATTAACACAATAGTATACTACATAGTTAAACTTACATTTATCAATTATCACATATCACATCCAGCGTTGTTGTAGATAGTTAGGTATTTATATAGATGTCGCGTAATGTAATAATACGGAGCGAAGTATAATAATATTTAACGATGTAACGATAATATTTATAATTTAAATACATTTAATACATTAATAAATATTATAAATATACATAAAATAAATATTTTAGACGAGACTCAATTTACCGCTTTTACTGTTATACGAGGGACTCAGTTTACCTCTTTAAATTTTATACGTGGAACTCAGTTAAACAATTTCGAAAAAAATATAAATTTGTTTAGGACTCAATTTACCTACGCCCGTATTAAGAGATTGTCGAATAAAATATTAGTCAATTACTAATTATATCACGCTGAGTAACTAAATTAGTCATACAGTACTACTGAATAAGTCGGTAGGAATTAGTCACTTCTGCCTATCACTAATAGTTTTAGTAATTTTTAGTAACAATTATTCACAGTTCTACAGTATAATTACTACTACAAGAAGTAGAAGCTTTATTTAAAAAAGAAAATCAGTCTATTAGATTTAAAAAATCTGTTTGAATATTATCAATTATCACATATTTTTATTTATAACTTTTAAACTTTTTATTTCAAAATTTTGTATAAAACGATTCTTAAGACAAATAAAGATAAGGACATTTTTTCATACGATGGTTTCATGTATTTTGGATAAAATTAGTGCTGATGGTGCTAGAAGATTTTGGCAACACCGACGTAAAGATAAGAGTTCAGTTTGTTTACACATGGGTATTGATGATTTAAAAATAAAATTTTAAATTCTAATTTCATGTCGCCGAAATGTAGACTCTTGTATAGACACTACGCAATGACAGTTGTATTCCATAAGTAAAAGGATCCACTTCTTAAGTCTTCTCTTAAGTTCTAGTTTTTTGATTTGGGCTTATATTAAATATTTTATCGATTTCAAGTTTCATCTCATGGCTTCTACTAGATTATTAATGTCAGGAAATTTTTCGCCAGATTATTAAATTATTAAATATTTACATATTTGTATTAGTTAATTATTTTCCATTAATAAATTATAAATAAGATTTTTTTTTAAGACCCTTTGTGAGTCCATTTTGGGTGTGCCCATTCTTTGCCATCATTACAATAATATTAATGATATGATAGACCTTCACTGCTTAGCCGAACAGTGTTGTGTAATTATTATTATTGGAATATTTTAGAATAAATTAAGATTTTATTAATTATTCTAGCATTGTTACACGTGTTATATACTTTGGGATCCGTATATTATACAATGTAAAGTACCCTGTAAAAATATTTGATTGAAATTACTCCAAAAATATAATAATCCATAATAGTGTTTAATTTTCGAGCGATATCCATTCATTATCATTATAACCGTCTACTTACGTGTACGTGTACCTATTACAATGTGGATTTATTATTAAATTTATTACATTTTTTGTCTATTAAGGTACAAAACGAATTGGAACGATTAGTTGGTCTAATAGATGGCCGTATAAATCCGGATGATATGCAATACGTTGCGGAACTCGATCAATACATGTTGGAAAACGAGGGTTCTTGGGCTCTAGGAGAGGGATTCCTCTCGTTTGTCGGTCAGTACGAATGATAATAAAATTTATATTTTTTGATTTTTGTTCTCCCCACCGTTCGTTAAAATGTGCAATATATACAGGCAGGTTATTAAACGACGATCAACTGGTCTCAGAAGTGCGCGAGACGATGTTGAACATTCTTGCGGCGGCCGCACTCAAAGACGACATTATTTTAGTATTGCACCAGGACAGAAGAGAGCACATCCTTATGAATTACGCCAACGGATTTGATAAGCTTCCTTTGCTCGAACAACTGGCGCTCGCGCTATTCGTAAGTACTGTACAGCACACACTTTGCCAGGTCATTCGAATCACCCGTTACATTATTGAATACAAATCCGTTTCAGATGTGTAACCTGTTCGAACACAGTACCACTTCTGAATGGCTTCTGTACATATCCGAGTGGCAGCTGGGTTCCGGTTCGGTGAGCAACATACGGGTGACGACCAAAGTGGCGGTCAATTCATTGCTTTCCGAGGACAAGGTGCTACAAGATCGAGGAACGGCTTTGGTGCACAACTTGGCCTGCAAGGAGGTAAAAACTGTGGTCTGTATTTCTTTGATATTTTTATACCTACGTAAGACCGGGAAAAAAGTATATCGTTGGAGATATAATATTATTGTACATAATATATAATAAGTCATCCCTTTGGTAATAATGTGTTGTAGTGTGGTCATAATAATATAGTAGTGTTTCGCGTTGACGTGCATACTGTCCATTCTGTAGCTGAATGACGTGTGCACGTACTTCCCCGTCTCGTTTCACTGTTTTCAGAAAATGTTAAAAAACCAAAACATTCGAAGGCTGTTACCCGCGGCATCATTTTCTAAGGTAGACATAATATATTATGTAATAACGCTCCATTATAATTTGTTCGTGGCATTGTATGTAAATGTGCTGAGCGTTTCTCTCTACTATATTTATTATATTATATTATCATAAACTTTATGATCTTCTTTAATAATATCTACATTCTTATCTGTACTGATATCGCAACTTACTTTCTACGCAGGAAATATATCAGTCAAAAAGACAAATTATTAGGAAAACAAATGATACACAAAATCGATACATCGATCGCGTCCAACTTTTAAATCTAACACGAGCACGGTTTTTGATTTTTGAAACAACATTTTTTGTTGGAAAACTAACATATTTTATCTACAATAATCGAATAATATAATAAATGCATCAGTGCATTTTATCTGTGTTTCATTTTCATTGACCACTCGTCGGATAATGTTTATGTTATAATGGTCCGAAAAATCGATAAACTTAATGCGAATAGTTTAAGATTCGCTTTTATTTCTTACATTTGAATAGACCCGTAGGTCTTAAACATAATATTGTTATGTTGTACGGCTTTATATTATGTTCTTACATATTTGGCATGTGTTACTTATCGTAATAACTAAAATCGTAAACCATAAAACAGTATCTATTAATATTATGGCTTATATACCATTTCAATTATAATATGTTAGTGTGTGTGTATGATTTTGCGTGTTTTGTTTTTGTTATTGGTTGATTATTTTTATCCCAGCTGTTGATTATATTTAATAACAAATATTTATTAAATTTTATACACATATATAAGTGGACATAAGACGCCTTAACAGTGAAATTATGATAGCTTTGTCATTTATGATATGCCTCTTGGGCATTCCTGCGTAGTGTTTACTTATATGTAAGTTTGCGATACAGTCGGACTTTGCTACTTGTTGCTTTAAACTATATTATGTTAGTTTTGACTCTTGTAGATCGATTCTTCGTATGTTTAAGTATAATTGAAATAGAAATAAAAAAAATGTATATTTAGAAAAAGTTATGTTCCTTATTAATCATGTATTTGTGGCACGGAAAATGATTTTAGTTGAATACAATATTTAAAGGTATTCGATGATGTGGTCGTGGAACTTGCTATGGCTGTCTTGCAGTATTTCAACAGCAAGCCCGACGAAGAGCACAGTTTTAGGTGTATGAAATCGTTGGCCAGATTTTGTCAGATATCCAGACAAGACGTGCCGCAGCTCGTACAAATGATCGGGCCGCCGCCGTCTACTTTTAAAGGCATGTCAAACAGAATTGACGAACAGATTGCTGAAATTCAAAATTATTTACGTTGATTAAAATATACAATAATCAAATAATATAAATACTTTTTATGATTATTCATTTTTTTAACTCTAATATGATATTATTTTTATACGGATTGTCCAAATTAACTTGACATTTATTAGTTGTATTTTTTTTTTTGCATTTCAACAATTTAATTTATTTTTAAGTATTTTCGTGTTTTAAGTAAAATGTTCATTTAATTAGAGTAGGTCGTGATGTAAGCCTACGTAAAATAATAAAATATTTACTCATAGTATTATACTACAGTTTTTAGAAACAAATTATTTACTCTGCTTGAATCATATATCAAAAATAGTTTATATATTAATCAGTTTTCTTAAAATAGTCTTATTAAAATACTTTATTACCCTGTATTTTATACAAGTCTAAGAATCTTTATATTATTTTTTAACTCATATAAGTTAACTATATCTTTTTAAATTAAGTTATAAGTTAATGTTTTTATTAAGCATCAAAATAAGTGATATATACTCAAAATTTACAAAATAACTATAATTGTTATTATTAATAATGAAAATGCATAATAAACCTTATTCGTGAATAAATTAAACTTCATTACTAAACTGTAGTTCTACATTTTATAAAGTATTACTGATGGGCTCTATTTGTACTATCATGACAATAAAAAAAAAAACTGTTGTTTCTGTGATTACAAACATTTTGTAGAATTGCTGTTATAATCTTCACATGTTTACTTAAATTTTGTTTTTTTGACAAGAACTTTTTAATATCAACTGTTAATAAAATCATTAAAAATTAATAACTACAGCAAAAAATATTTTTTCAATTCAAAATAAAAGTGGAAATTATTATTCACTTCTAAGGTCTATTGAAATGAACAAAAATGTACATCAAAGAAAATAAAATAAATAACATAACATCAGGTGTACCACAAAGTGCTGTTCTTTCTCCGCTTCTGTTCGCTTTATTCGTTAACTCAGCCGCTTCCGTCCTTCAACATGCCAAACTCCTTATATTTGCTGATGATATGAAAATCTTCCTCCGTATCAAATCCATCTCTGACTGTCATCTACTCCAAAACGACCTTCATTGATTAGTGTCATGGGATGAATCTTTGGGATTTGCTCTTAATGTTCCTAAATGCTCAGTAATTACTTTTTGTCGTATTAATGTTGCGTTGAATTATACTTACTCCGTCAACAATACCACCTTGAAAATTTGCAATAATTCTGTAAAAGATTTAGGATTTACCCTAACACGTAACCTGTGCCCTAATATACATATCCAGATAATCTGTTGTTGGGCTCTTGAGCTGTTTAGCTTCATAAATCGTGTCTCTTCAGATTTCCACTTACTCACTTCATTAAAAACTCTCTTCTGTTCCTTAGTTCTTCCTTTCCTTGAGTATGGAACCATATTCTGGGACCCGTCCACCGCCTCTGCATGTAGTATGATTAAAAGGGTTCAAAGAAAATTCCTCCGTCACGCTGCTTACAAATTAAATATATCTTGTCCAACTCATGACTACACACCAATCCAACGCCTACTTTCTCTAGAGAGTCTCGCTGACCGTCGTCACTCAGCTAACATTGCATTTTTTTCTAATCTTCTTTCCTCTAAAATTGACAGTCACGAATCACTATCTCATGTTTCGTTTAATGTCCCCTGTCGCCGCACACGATCATCTGTTCCGTTCCACATACACTTATCCTCCTCAAACTACTATCTTAACTCACCGATCGTCCGTTTTATACGCATTGTCAACACTGACCCTTCATTTTCCCTCTTAAATTGAGCTTCGTTTACTCAGAGCTTATACTATTATTTCTTATCATTGTATATTGTTTATTCTTGTATTATAAGGTTGATCACATATTTTTAAATAAAATAACATACTTGGTATTCATTTTATAAAGAAATATGAATTTACCACTTGTAAACAAAATGCAATGAAATTGACCAACGGACTCCGACTAACGGATTCAATCAATTACAAAATCCAATCCTTTTTAGACTAAATTTGTTATTATAATAATTTTAAGCCATTGCTAATAGTATTGATTATAAATAGTAAGTATTTATAGTCAATGCTAATAGTTATAAATAACGACGTAGTGATGTCACAAGGATTTTATATATCCGGTGACGTTTACGTACAACGGTAGGTAGGTAGGTGTTCAACTTTATTTATTTTTTGACCGTAGTGCACGAGCAGTAGTATTGATGGTGATCTCAACACGGAAATATTAAATTCGAGACGAACTATTAAATTCTGTTTACTATTCATATTGAATTTGACGAAAATATAATATTAATAATAACAATAATGATCAGGGCCGTGGAGAAAAATCAAGGGCACCAGAGACAAATCAATCCAGACCATTCTCATACAAGGTATTAAAACCCGATAAAGCCGGACCCTTAGGTAACAGCCCCCCCATTTCGTCGAGCCTGATATGATTGAATATTCGCGTTATGATCAGATCGGTCACTCGCGGAAGGAATGATATTTTCAACATTGCTTACAACCAGATACCGTGGTATCTGCTTATGTTCGAAGCCATGAAGAACAAGTGATGTGTAAACAATTAAACAGTATTTACTCAACTATTGAGTGGAACTTGAGATAAACATGTATTCGTATATTTTCTTACGATGTCTGAACGAAAAGTGTTTATTCTTTGTTTTTAACACACACATGAAAAGCGATTAATCGTGCGCGGCGAAACTGAGATTTTATCGAAAATCGGTATGAAGTACAATTTTCTATTTTTTTTTTTATTTTAACAATTTTTCGCAGTTACTTAAAAAAAACTTTTAGAAAATTCGCAAAATAACCTTCTCCCAAGTATTAACTAGAACCTGTGTTCAATCTTATAATTTTTCTTTAGTGATGATCGGAACAATTCTACTAGGTCGAAATTAGAGCCCTCGAATTTGAACGTGAATTAAGATTCACGTGATTACGTGTTTTTTGTCCACGTGAACTTAAATTTAAAAATCCGTGAATTGAATTCGCGTGTAATTGATTAGATAGTCACGGGTATTTACTTCGCGTACGCTTTAAACAAAATCCAAGAGCTAAAAACTAAAAAATATTTATACCTACAATTCTAAAAATAAATGTTTCATAAACAGTATTATCGTAAAATGAGGGGACGGGTCGATTAATGTACGTTCTACGCACGCGACAGCGACGTGGAAATGTCTACTAACAGTACGAAGTTCGTACTACGCGAACCGATAATAATACAATTTCAAATGTAATAATAAACGCGTTATTTAAATAAAAAAAATTATGGACTCGCGTGAAATTAAATTCGCAAAGAATTTTAATTTCACGTGGTGTATCCGTGAATTTAACTGCACTTGAAATAGAAACCTCTTGTAGGTACTATACAGATTCACAAGAAAAAACAAATGGTAAAATCAATACATTAATGCGTTTTTCGTTTCGTTCTAAACAGAGCACAGTTCAAGTAATTTTCACTGGGTGGCATTTTAATAAAATTGTCTACCAGAGAAACATACAGGAAATATCAACTCCTGTTATTACGGTCGTTATGAGAATGTGTTGGTTAGTGGCGCGAATACCCATCACCACTGGGTAGCATTAAATTACCACTGAGGTGGGGGATACTAGTGTATGTTAAAATATGATCTGATTCGAAATCCAAAAATAAATAAAAATAAATACCGCAAACAAACAAGGAGAACGAATTAAATACGGGCTTGTATTTTTATATAAATATGGTAATATTGTACGTGTTATTTGATTTTGTTAAAAACGTCGGGTATGAAAAAAATCACGAGAGTAATGTAGGTACAAATGAAAAAAATAAGTGTACACAAATATCGTTGGGGTTCGTGTTGTTTTTGAGTACTCGCTATTGACGGAAAAAATTTGGATTCGCTAAAATTTGAAAATCCAGATTTTTTAATTTCGAAATCCGAGTTTTCTATGAGCCCGGATTTTGCATTGAATCCGGATTTCGGATTTGAAAATTAGTATTCTTTCAAGAATTATATTTAGTAAATACAAAATAATTAAGCATTCTCAAAATAAACGATATTTTGACCTAAACTAATTAAGAATCTCATGTATAAGTTTTTGTGTAATGTTAAAAATATAAGTCGGATACCTATCATAAAATACATTTTAGTCATTATTAGTTGTATCTCCAAAAATAATGATACGTAAGACTAGAAAAGTATACCAATTATTAAGATATCTTATTTAGACAATCATCATCTTGTCCGAGAATTAAAATAACGACTAAAAATTGGTGCAATGAAAGTTATATGATTAGAATACAGAAATTTGCAATAATAAACCCAAATCTCGAATTTTTAAATCCGGATTTTCTAGCCCGAAATCCGAAACCCGGATTTGGCAGATTTTCGAAGAATCCGGATTTCATTCCCATCACTAGTACTCGGTACAGAACTGCGAGGTTATATTGACTAACGGAGTTTTAGATACACTCGCAATGCATGGATTTCTTAATCTATTGTGTTCACAAAAATGTCAAGCGTACTCGTCGATAAGGATTTCAATGTCCATCGGTGGCCTCTTCACCCGGCGCGCGCTTTTTACGTTCATCGTAAATACCGTGCAAACACAATATTGTAGATCACCTAATTAACAGCGAGAACAATCACTATCACGAAGAGGCATCGGATTAATATTGTCTCTTTTTATTATACGTACAGTCACTATTAGTGATATGCACACTATCTATTATAACGTCAAGTGTGCTTACATATTTACATGGTCATTTCACTCGCCTGTGTTGAGTATTAGCTGTTGCGTTTGTCATTGGACTTTGTTTTTATACATTCCTGTGTACAATTCGTCGCGGACTAATGGAGTTCAACCTTATGCGCTGCCTAATTTTGTATTGCTAAACAATGCGATCATTCAACGTTCGATAATTAACGATTAATCAATTAAAATTCTACATTCCTTAACATCAAACGAGTCTAAAAAATAGTTTGTGCCCTGACTCTTGACGAGTGCTCGTATAGCTAATGAGACGAATCCGTTGTCATGCGTCAAGATATTTGGTCCGGACAGTTGCTCGACGCGCGACAGTTCAATGTTGATTTAGCGAAATGGTGTATTACAATTTTTCGAACCGTCAGTAGTTGGCATAATGTATTTTTCACGCGGAAGGCAATGACAATTTAAGACTGACTCGGGCAGAAATCAGTTAATTCCAAAGCGATAAACACAGTGACTTTATAAAGCGTTCGGAAAGCGCTTTTCGTAGCAAACTAAAATTACTCCCAAGTGTGTTGCGATCATAAAACGTGTAAACACCGAAAAACGCATGGACGTGTAATCCATAGCAAAGTTGGAGTAACCGTTAAGAGTGTTTGTAATTATTTTTATCGCTGAAACGGCGACGGTTTAGGTTTTCGACGACGGAAATGACGAGAACAAAAACAATATAACGTTATTACGTAACACGCGGTTGACGTTTACGCGTGCACGTAACTCGTCCAACGAATATCGACTGTGGTGATTTGTGCACGCGGACAGCTACGATTAAAAAAAAAAAAAAAAAATTTGTACAACGGACTCGCCGCGAACGTGCCGATAAGACTTTGCGCTTCGTTTGTTCCCGTTAGTTTTACAATCGCTTTCGTTTTCCCGAAGGCGCGCCCGGAATTCGGTTCCACCCGGACGGACGGACGCGGCTAATGTTTTCCGGCCGACGGCGGTCGTACTTGACCGGTCGTGGCCGGAACGCGACCGCCGATCAGCCGGCCACGGTTAACGCGGGCGCGCGGATATCGGACGCGATCGATAAGGATGTCGTTCGACGGGTGCACTTTAAACGCGGGGCAATCGCGGCGCGCGCGTGATAGTCAAGCACAGATCAAGACGGTTGCGGCACAAAATATTCTTTATCGGTCCGCGGCGGGCACGACGATCACGTACCCGCGCGCCTACAAGCACCACGACGATTGGCCACTTGAACGTGTGTCGGGTTGATTTGATCGTTTCGCGTTTTGTTCCCGGCCGACCGTAGCCCGAGGAAAACGCGCATCTCCAGCCGAACTCCTGTTACGGCGTACGGTGTATTGTGCACTGCGCTGTACTGTGTTTACAAGCTTTCGGTCGCGACGTTTTTTTTTTTTTCCATGACCGTCGTGACGGATAACGGATACCGTCCCTCCGGAAGTTAACGACGGCGACGAGGACGCGGACACGGCCGGTCACTGCGATACACCACGCGGCGTTTCGGCGGCACGAAAAATGCACGACGTGACGAAACGTAAGTTTTGCGACGTGCAACACGTTTTTTTGTGATTTTCTTTTGTTTGTTTGTTTATTTTTTTTTTTTCTCTCTCGCCATAAACCCGCGTGTCCCGATATCGCGTAACAACGCCCGCGACGTGCGAAACCGCAAGAGCCGTAAAAGTCCGTATCCACGTGGTACCCGCGCCAATACGCCGACGGATGTTGTTCAAACAGTTTGAACGCGAAACGAACAATGAAATAACGTTGCACCGCTCGTATGGTATCGGAGCCCCGCGGGGCTTCAAAGATTATTTGCAATCGGGTCGCGAAAGGTTAGGACCCTCCGTGGGGGTATAAACCGGGTTCCGGGGTTTATAACGTCCGTCCATCCGAACTTATTGCACTCGGGTTGTATGATCGACCGATCTAGGGTTTGAAACGTACGTCCATTTTAGAAACAATTACAGCCAGACACTTAGGCATATAGAGAGGATGTCCATTTGTCTACACTCGAAGATTTTTTTCTTCCGATATTAAACTGATATTAAATTGTTCCATTATCATTCAATATTTGAATCGAGTGGTCATTGATTTTTTTTTTTCGATACTTCTCGATTCAAAAATATTAAATATTCTTGAAATGCTCAACTACTCGTGCGAATCTTATACTTACAGAGTGTTATTTATTTTGCGAAAAGTATATTGTGAATATTTGTTCGCTTCAGTTAGTATACAATAGTCCTTAAATCGCGAATTTATAAAAAAAAAGTTTTAGTTAAATTGGTAAACTAGAGAAACTCAGTAAATTAATAATCGTTGACTAATTTACTTTCACCATATTATGATATTAAGTATAATACATAAGTAATATATTAGTATAGACGAGATAAAAAAAAAAGCAAAAAAAAACTTGGAATAATATTTCTCTTGTTATGAAAAATGATAATTATTGTTAACAGTTAAAATGTCTATGGATTTTCATCACGGATTCCTAAATTAAACAAACCTTTGTATTTTTCTTGAATTGTCACATTAGACTGCAATGGCAAACAACCGTCGAACAAAATTCCAACTTATTTAGTTAACAATTTCAATGTAGTAATAAATCAGACAATTATTCACATATTTGAATTCTACACAAATTATTTATCATAGTATATTGTGCACACTCGTACTTTGCTATGCTGTAGAAAAGTACAGTATACGCTGTTTTATCTTCAATAAAAGTGTTTCTTATAAACACTTAACAATAATTTTACTAACCGTAATTGAATTATATGTGTCCAAATAAAACTTAATGTTTTTGAGGTTTTTTTTTAAATTGTACATTTTGTATAACTTCAAAATTATTGAAATAGATAAAAACATTATCACAATGGATTTTTCCCACAACTCAACCACCAGTCAAAATCTTATAAATCTCAACATATACAAATATACAAGTTATTGAATTCATCTTTATATATTATATTACCTTTATATATCTTTATACCAATAATTTATTACATATGATATAATAAATATATATTTCAAATAGTTAAATAGTTAATGTTCCATTATAATCTAACATAACTAAATTGCCTCAACAACACTATTTTAATTTAATGATAAGTATCAAAATTTTATTAAAAAAGTAATGCCATCGCTAATGTTGTTTTAAAAATAAATGATAATAAAATTTATGTTTAAACAGTAAGCACCGTGTATACTTTTATTTACTTAAACATTTTATTATTATTTTAGTTAAAATAAGTAATGAAAGAAAAACACTGTTCAATAATAAGCTCTCGTAACATGTAGGTACTTTTGCTTTTTTCTAAATAATTTATCAGGGGGAAGTGTAATTTTCTTTTAAAGAGTTCTGTGTTTTCCTTTATTGTATTAGTATTATTTCTGATGTGTTTAAAATACAGTGGTGTAAATATGTTTGCGTGAAGTGAATTGCGAATAATTAAAATACCAATAATTTTATTATATTTATTTCAGAAGCCAAACAAATATTTCACAAACAAAACATACAAACTATAGTTATTATCATTAACTGCAATTGAAGGTCTATATAATAAAATTACATGGTTATTCGTGCTTATTTTAGGGTCATGACTAATTACTTTGAACTTGAAATGTATTTAATTTGTAATTTAAAAAACCATGTGCTAATGCTGTTATTCAAGCATTAATTGAACTAAGATTCTTAATAGAAAAAAGTTCTATTGTTATAAATATATTATAAATAATAATACAAAATTAAGTACAACACTTTTAAAACGTATTCAAAGTAATTTATAACTACAGTAAAACTCCCTTAAGATGCTCTAAAAGAGACCACCTTACTATAGTGTTTTATGCAGGAATTGAAAAAATATATACTCGTAAACAAGTATAATTTATATTTTGATATTCATACAATTACTGCACTTAACCGTAATCTGCTAAACAAAAAAGTTTCTTTTTCCATTAGACAGAGAAAAACCAAGCGTCTCAACAGGTAGTTTTACATTGATTAGTATTGGAAGTATCTAGGGACCGATGGTAAAACCGTCTTATGCGGGAAAACGTTTTAAGTGAGTTTTACTCTATTATATATGATAAAATAAAAGAATTTCAATAATATTTCAATCGAACATTGCTATCGAAGCTAGTAAGATATCATAATAGGCAACTTTTTTTGGGAATTATATATATTAAATAATATAATTCAAGATAAAACCTTATGTATGTTACGTACATTATAATAAAATATTTTATGTCCAGTGAAGTAGTTAATTAATCTTATTTGTGAAAAGGTAAAAAAATAATGGAAATACGCAAGTCTCATAAAAAAAAAAAAAATGTTAAAACACGAAAAACTCTTAAGAAATACTCTGAAGTGTTTTATATTTTTAATTTTAAGTGTACAATGTGTAAAATTTTATTCAACAAAAGTAGAGCATTTACGCCAATGTAATTTTTTCAAATAGATTTTTTTTTTTTGTTTAAGTGATTTTCAATTAATAATAATTATAATTTGTCCTTTCCAGCCAACTCCAACAACAGCGTCAAAAATAAACGTACACAAAAATGTTTAAAGAACAAAAAAGTAATAGAATTTTTTCACCGATATGTGCCGATCACCTCGTGGCTTCCAAATTACAATACGGAGAAAGCGACGGGTGACTTAATCGCTGGTCTTACAATTGGATTGACAATGATACCGCAGAGTATTGCGTACGCGTCCCTTGCCAATTTATCACCTCAGGTATGCTTTGTTTAACGTACACCGACGGGACGAAAATATTTTTTTACAGGAATCGATAATTGTTCGTATTATATTTTTCCGGTCTACTCTAATATCTTAAACGTATATATGATCATACAATTCGAATAGTGTTTCCAATTTTACAGAGATACGTTATTTTCTGATTGGATCAGTTATAAGAAATCTTACAGTACTCGCTTGAGCACAGAATAATACTTTGCATTATGTACTACATATTATAATGTTATAGGATTACATTATATTCGTATAGTTGAATAGTTGAATACTTCAAATGATATTCAAAATAGCACGCACCTCGCTTATAAGTATATTTCATATCTGTGTTATGTAACTGAATAATTCGTTATACAACATTTAAACGTTTTAATTGTTGCTGTTAACGGTTTATAATGCATTTATTAACGATTGTGTTATTTTCAAATGCTATTTTATAGAGCCATAATAATAGCAAATAAATGATTTCCTTGGAGAGGGGTGGATTAATGATAAAAATAAAAAGCTCACCATGAAATGTAAATATTTAGCTAAATAATTAAGTTGTACCTCTATTTCATGTTGTAAAGATTCCCAACTGCAGTGAATTGGTTAGTAAAATAAAAAAATAAAGAATCGAATTGACAATCACAAAAATATAATTTATAGTTTTTGATATAAACCACTATTGTTAAGTAACGTTGTGTGATGTCAACAAATATAAGTATAAATTGTGAGTTTACTAACGGTGTATTATTATCGATTTACCCACCATGTTTTGTTTTTTGTTTTTTTTGTACGATGTAAAAAAAAAACTTTCTACTGAATCTGGTGGTATCGAATATAATTATAAATTAAATCAAGTGTATCATGTAATACAGTAATCTTAGTACCTAGCTATAGTAACACGTATATATTGTTTTAAATCGAAAACAAAAAAGTAATTACTTATACTTAAAAAAATATATAAATATTTGTAAATTTTTAATTAAATAAGCTTTGAAAAATATTTATCTTTTAACTTTTTTGTTTTCATAAAATGTTTTGAAAACGTGTTTACAACAGAACACGAATAATAAGTACATTGATTCCTATTTGATTTGTACAAAATGTAAAAAAATCATATCAAAATACCAAGAAGGGTTGTACATAAATACTTATATGTTATATAATTACTTAACCAATGGAAAAGTTTAAACTAAAATTAGTTTAACTTAAATTAAAATAAATGTTTAATTATTTTCACTTGGCAATTGGATTAACTTTTAAGAAAAAAATTTCACAAATACTGATTGTTATCGAAAAGTCCAGCAAAAATATAAATTCGTGTAATCAAACAGTGAATATTACATAATAGTGTATTTTTACAATCTTTGTGTGATTCTGTGTTACTATGTTTTGTCATTCATGTTCAAGGATTCTTTTTTTTCCGTCCATGTGAAAATGTGAGATATTATTGATAAAAACTAAAAATACTTATCTGTATTTATACCATTAGTTGTAGATATGCATGCTTATTATTGATTTAATCATTCGGTGTTTTCCGGATGTATTATTTATAAATAATAATTGTAAAGAAAAGTAATAATTACATATATATCATAAATAAAACAAATGTAGGTACTAACTATTATAGAAAAAGGCATCAATGAATATAGTTTCATCAGTAAGCTTCAATGCTTCATCATATGGTACACACATAATATACAAGTACGAGTATAATAATTATATATATATAAAGGCATTTTGTTATATAATTTGATCTGATATTATAAATAGCGACAGATGATAAACTTTAAAAAAATAAAAAAATCAGCGGCACAAATAGAATGGCTTAATCCTCCTTTCAAATGTTTTCATAGTCCTCTAGAAAAAAATTGGTATTAATTACGAGTACTTAAGCACAACGTTATCTGCTACAGGCTACTACATAAAATGTGTAAAATATTAATTGGGGTTTTTACATAAAATTATATCGTTTATTCGTAATTCGTTTAAAGACCCTTTAAATAAAATTAAAATTTCTAAGGCTTAAAATTGTTTTTCACTTGTCCGAGAAAATTTTCTTGTATTTGATACATATCGATACTTATGTGGAACCCTGTATTCTATTTTAGTCTTAAGCTTTAAAATTGAATGGTTTAAATTTGTATTTACAAACATGATGCAGATTTCGTAATTTTTATCGAGTTTTGTTAAAATTTAAAATTCAAACGCTTATTAAAAAAAACTTGTAATTAAGGATGTTCGATATTTTTTTCATACAAGAATGAACAATGTAAGAGGAAACTTGTTAACATACAATTATTAAAAGTAATATATAAATTTCATTGTCAAAGTTCAAAAACCGAAAACTTATGGTACATATGGAATATTGTTGTTGTTTAGTAATTTTAACTTAAATATAGTTGTAGCTCTAGGGATATGTTTTATTAATTATTAACTTATTGTAAAACGAACAAAAAAATACCTATATCACATACTCGTAAATATATAAACTATATCATATAAAATATTTATAACACAATTAGAGTTATCGATGGACATTTCGACTGTTCATTTCTTGGTTTTATCTATGTCTTTTGTTCTAGTACCTATCTACTTGTTTTGTTTATTTTCCTAATTAGTTGGTTATTGAACAAATATTTTATTTTAACGAAACCATTTGTTTAATGATTTACAACTATCAAATTTAACATAAATATCCGTAATGTTTATCATATTTTATTCAAATACACTTAAATCCACGTAATCTAAATAATTTACAAGGTGAATTTAGAAACATGACGGTTTAATTTGTTTATTATAATTATATATATATATATAATTTAAATTGAATTACTAAATATATTATATGGTATATTGGCTTGTATAATTATGAACGATTTCGAACATTATCAGCAGCTGATATTAATACAGCGGTGCACGACTAGTTCACGTTATATATACTTTAATTTTATTGTGTGCAATTGTGAATTAGTTAGCGGTGGAATAAAAATTTATAATAATCTAAAGCCGTGTACACACCGGAGCGTTTAATTGTAATGTAACTGTAATCTTCAAGTGTGTACGGAATGACTGTATCGTTTGCGCGTGCTTGGCTCGCAACGCCGTCGATATCCACACGCGTGTCGGTAAATTCGTCTACCGTCCAAAAAATGTTATACTTCCACACGACACGAGCGTGTACGGCGAACCATTTGCTCACGGCAAATCGCCCTAACCGTCGTATACGAACCTACGGCACTATTTTAATGAGGAGTGTTTTATTAGTTTAATTTTAAATTCAGAAAATTGAGTGGAACAAAGAAAAGATGTTAGACCTTGTGTTGAATGCTACGAAAATAAACCGATACTATGGTTCCCGATGGACCTAAAATATTGTAATACATTTTCGAACTAAAAGAGCGTTAAAATATAATTCAAAATGACAGTACAATATGTATACCTGTATGTTTATTTTTAACGCGAGTGTAAATTGATATCGAACATTGCAGACGGCGTTGCGTGAGAACAAACTGTGAACTAATGGATAAACGGGCGAACAATCGATACAGTGCAGTGCTCGACCCTAAACGTGCACACTGGTCGTTTGTAACGTGTAACATCGAAGCGAGCACAAACTCTATTACATTGCACATTGAATGCTCCGGTGTGCGCATGGCTTTCAAAAAGAAAACGCAACTTATATAAATATCTGATTCCAACAGCTACTGTTGACAGTGGCTGAACTAGGGGGAGGAAGACGGGGATTCATTTCCGGCGTAGAATATTAGAGGATATAATTTTTGAAGTATACATTCTATTATTGACAACCAGTGTCATATTTGTAACTCGGTCACTGATAATGTGTTTGAAACTCAATACGTATGATTGTACGCTAATTGTTAAAAAAAAAAAAAATTGTAGAGAAGGGTTTTTGATTCTTAGTCTATGATAGGGCGTAAACATTTCTAGTTCCGTCTCTGACTGTGGATGATTTATAGATTGATAAAATCGTTTAGTGTACGTACTATATGACAGTAAAAATTACAAAAATACAATTAAAGGTTAAGGATGATTATGACTTATCAACTAATACAATACAACATAAATTGCAAATAAAACAAAACAATGACAAATGGCAAGTAAACTATATACAAAACGCGTGTATTACACTCGTATATAGAGTTTTTGTTTCTTTTGTTTCGACGTTATTTGTCTAGTAAGATAAGTAATATTACTCGAATGCATGTAGGTACCTATTAAATATCTTATAAACTATAATAAGAATTGAACCAATAAATTAAGAATGATACATAACTACACATAATTAATCATTCGCCATTATTAAAGGAGCAGTCCTTGTCTTACTCAGTGCGGTAACATAATTTGTATGCTTTGTTCAAATGATTGTATGTATAATAATATATCAATATATTGTTATCGGTTCATATTCAACCGTTTGCTCAAAATGTTGAAAATCGGTATACGTCTGAATTTAAACGAAAAATAATAAAAATTACAAAATCATACATACGTTTATATCATATAATATTTAAGTACGCAACGTATAATGCAAACGTAAATATAAGACATTTCTCGCAACGAATAATTACTACAATATTTGAAAAATTTTAAAACACAATATTATATTCTCATCACCATCACGAGCTACGCGCCTATGGACGTTCGAAAATCAATTAGATCTCATATTAATTTTTATTTATATTTGGTTTCAGGTTGGGTTGTATTCGGCACTTATAGGTGGGTTTATATACATGATTTTCGGAACTGTGAAGCAAGTATCCATGGGACCTACTTCTCTTATGGCTTTACTCACGTACGAGTACACAAAAAATTTACCTTCCCAGTACGTTGTGCTGTTGACATTCATGTGCGGGATTTTTGAAATGCTCATGGGATTATTACGATTAGGTGAGTCGGTATTCGGTGAATTGAACAAGTAAAACGGGAAAACAAAAAAAAATGGTCCGTTCGACGGTGGATTTTATACAGCGGTATATTGTTATCGTTAACCAAAAGTTTTTTCTGAATCACGTTGAATCGACTGTTCAGAGATAAATATAAATATATTACATGTATAAGTGTGTACTGGTTACATGTAACATAAATATTACGTAGATTGTTAAACGCTTGCGGTTCTATATGGATTGTAACGGATTATCGATTTTTACAGGGTTCTTGGTCGACTTGATCTCCACTCCGGTGACGTCAGGTTTTACAACGGCCACTGCTTTCATTATTGTGTTGTCTCAGGTGAAGGGTATTCTGGGCGTGAAGTTCAAGGGTGACTCGGTTATAGATATCATAGAGAAATTGATCGAACACTTCCACGAGAGAAGAAACGGAGACATTTATTTGGGGTTAGCCGCCATCGTCTTTATTTTAATTATGAGAGTACGTATTCACTATGTTGTATATTCAATATATTTTTACGTAAAAAGTGGGTTTGATCGGTATCTTGTATTTTATGAAGACGTTAATTTTTCCGAAAAACACCAAAATTTTTAACTTATATATATATATATATATATATATATATATATATATATAATACATTTATTGGCAATTAATAATAAGTTCATTTCGATTTTTCTAGGAGCTACATAATCTACCAGTCAAGGGAAAGATAAAAAGGATCATATGGTATGTATCCCTAAGCCGAAATACAACCGTTCTTTTGATTTCAATGTTTATCACGTATTTGTACGAATCAAGTGGAACTCCATTGCCATATTTGACATCAGGCAAGTTACATACGTTGCAGGCTATTGATTTTATTATGATTGTCATTATATTATTTTAAAACTTGGACAAAATTAACATGTACTTGAACTTTTTTTTTAAAAAAATGCTTATTTTTACTATGAAATGTACAACTATACAAATATACACAAGAAAATAATGATAAATATGGTGGTCAAAAGCAATAGTATAAAAAATTAAACAATGTACTTTAAAATACGAAAATACTTTATTAGACCTACTTTAGATTTTAAAGAATAGTTTTATTTAAAGAAGCTATGTATACGATTTAATCTCCGGTTAGGGTTATTCGAGTTACCTGGGATATAAAATAAAGTAAAGTGACTTAATATGATAAGCCAAATTTGCTATTTAGTTTTTGGTAAAAATGTTTGTTATCTGGTTTATATACAAGATTTTCAGTATAAGATTTTGTAACTAATATACCAGAGTGATTATTTTTATTGTGGGTAAGTGTTTGAATTGGGAAGATTTAATTTTTTGTACACTTATTGAAGCTGCATAACCCCAGATTTGGATAATGATTTGGTAATACCATAAACGATAAAGTAATAATTTGTTGATTAGAATTCTGAGTTAGTGATTTAATTTGGATCTTAAGAAAGGTCGGAATAACTAAACCGGGTGTTTAATTATGTTCTTTTATCCGAAATATGGTCTTTTTAAGTTTACCGTTTATCGGAGATGAGACCTAAATATTACACTTGGTTAGTTTAAAATAATAATTCGGTGTAAAGTTTGACTGGTTATAATAAAACAAAGGGAGAAATTTGGTTAGTTTGTTTGGTCTAATTTATTTTTCGTAATGTAAAATAATTTTAAAGTTAGTTGAGGTGGTGCTATAATATACTCGAACTCGTTGTAAACAAGCTACAACACCGTTTTTGAATAATAAATATTTTTAACTCGTTTGGTTAAAAATGTAATTTATGGTTATAATTTTATAACTAGATTTTTATCGTATACGCGAGTGCACTATATAACGATTTCGAGTACAACAATCGGTTTTTGTTGAACAGAAACTGCTAAACCCGGACTGCCGTCACTACAGTTTCCGCCTTTTGGATACACGTCCGGAAACACGACCGTCACGCTACCTCAGATGTTGTACGAGATCCGGTCTGCTATGTTTGTCATACCACTAGTGTCGGTGTTGGCCAACGTTTCCATCGCTAAGGCTTACGGTAATTTATATAAATAAGTTATTCGTAAGAAAAAAATTAATGAGATTAAGCTCATTATTCCTTACAAAAGTTGTACCGTAATAGAAACCAGACATCTCCATTTGTACAATATCTTTATATTTAATGATCGGATTTGTCTGATTATTGCACCAATCGACGTGAAATATTTTTTGTAATATAAAAGCTGAAAAACCGATATTGCCCAAAAAAATGGAGATGCCTGTTTGTTGTTCCGTGGTCTTCAATTATAACACAACTGTTAGCAAGGGTGAACTGGCAAGACGGGTAGGCCAAACCCACTCAGACCCCCTAGAAAATGTATATTCGAGTCTCAAGCTATATTTGTTATTTTTACTGATTTTTTTTAATGGCAAACTTTAATCGTTACCGACAGCCAAAAACAAAGGAAATAATACAATTTACAAAAATAAAACAATTGAGTCAGCCCGACTGCTGTCGCGATGGCTATGAAAATTGCTAGTTTTTGTAAAACTTATACTCACCCGGACCTTTAGAGTACTTTAGTCCAAAAGTAGTAAAAGTGTACAAGTTTATAATGGTTAGTATGGTTAATAATGGTTAGACAGACAAGTCACAAAATAATTAAAAGCACGCATATATATTTATTGGGAAAGTAAAAATGTAAACTTTGTCCGAGAATTCGAACTTTCTTTGTTTTGTTTTATTTTATACAGATTGTTTGGTGACCGAAATTGATTAAATCCATTTTTTTTAAACTATAGTGCCCTCATACTTATATTCTCTAAGAATATTTTGCGTACATTATTTTCCAAATAAAACTGCATGTCTTCTCCACCTCGGATATCGTTTTTATATGGGATATTAACATCCCTTTGGTAAATCATACCTAATTTATTCTTGTTTCATCATTTGTTTAATTTTGAACACCATGTTGTACCATGCGTGATTAAGAAGGTTACATAGTTGTATCGATTATGATGACCATGTTTTTCTTTCGATAGTTTGACCGGTTTATTATTTTTGTAAATCAGACGTGTGACCATGATTAGTTTTTTTTAAAACCTTTGATGCCGATGCTGAATTTCCAGACGAGCTGAGGAAATGTTGCTAGAAAGCTACTCAAAAAGTGTTGAAACACATTATGGAACGTATAAAGAGTATTGTAAATGAGTTCACAAATAAACTGACAAGACAAGGTCATAGTCATAATAACTCTAGTTTATTTTTTAATGCATAAATTCTATTGAAAAACGTGGATCTAGTATTTTTAGATAGAAAACGTTTAAGTATATTTTATGAACTATTATTATTATTAACTATTACTATGAACTAAGAGCCGATAAAGCGTACGTACGTTGCCACTGAGATGTATTGTATTCACCGTCATAGGACGAGTATTATATTTTACATAAAATTATTAAAACGCAATATCGATACTCGATGGTAATATTGACTAATCTATACACCGTAGTCTTATTAGCTATAATATTTCATGTTGTTTCTGTTGTTCGTCGTAGTCGCCCTAGGCAAAGGTTAAACTACCGAGTACGGTAGACACGTTAAAATATACGCAGAGACTAATGTTAATTGTTTCTGTCCCGTCCCGTATAGCTAATGGAGGCACAGTCGAAGCAACGCAGGAGATGTTTGCTTTAGCCATGTGCAACATTGCCGGGTCGTTCATTAGGTCGATGCCTACGTGCGGCGCGTTTACTCGGAGCGCATTGATTCAAGCTAGCGGGGTCCGAACCACGATGTCTAACATTTACGCTAGCTGTCTAATATTATTAGCCACCCTGTTCCTAACACCATATTTCCATCTCATTCCTAGGTGCATACTGTCCTCGGTTTTGATCAGCGCCGTCATATTTTTGGTAGACTATCAAATAGTCAAACCACTTTGGAAAACTAATCGTGAGTAAACTATTATTATTATTATTATTATATAATTTCGTATGTGTGTTAGTAAAAATATGAAATGTAATCGAGTTATTCGAAACGTTCATGCTCTGTTGCTGCCGTCTGGTATGAAAGTGCTAGTATAATTCGACTCTTGAATACTTGTTAGTCTCAAAATTAAACTTGTTTGTATTTCACATAGGCTATACACTTACATTTCGTAGCACTATGTTCACGTTTCGGATTATAGAATTCATCGGTTGAGTTATATTTAAGACGAATGCTTGTAAAAAAAAACCTGTGCTCTCTTGTGTCTGACATAAATCCCGTGAAAATTTAATACATCAATAATGTCATCCAACATACCGGTTTAAAGTTAAGAACGTTATTTGTACGTACCTTTATTTGTGTTTGCGATTTTTTCAGGGATCGAGTTATTCGTCGGAATGATTACACTTTTGGTAAGCCTTTTCTTTACCGTTGAAATCGGTTTACTTGCGGGCATATGCGCTAACATAATTCATTTGGCACTAATGTGGTCCAGACCGAAGTTGAATATCGAATTAATCAAAGTGAGTCCGTCGGTGAATCATGTGTGAAATGATTCGGTCGCGGTTCACGCGCGATTATATTACGTTATACTAAGACATTTGCTAATGTTTTCAGTCCAAAGGAGTGGAATTCGTGCTGATTACACCGAACAACGGGCTTTACTTCCCCGCGATCGATTATCTGTACAGAGAGGTCATGGACATTTCGAAGCAGGAAAGGTACGCGAAAATACCGCTCGTCGTAAACTTCGCGCGCTTGAAGGGACTAGACTACACCGCGGCCAAGGGACTGAGTGTGATATCGTCGGAGATTCACGCCAAGGATCAGCGTTTCATCGTCGTGAACGCATCGGACAAGATACGATACGTATGCCGGAAGTCCGGATGCAAGTCGATGGTGTTCTGCAATTCGCTTGACGCGCTTCCCGCCACGATTCTCGGTGAGTGTGTTATGTATAAACGGCCAACCTGAAAAAAAAAAATCCTGAATTAAATTCTAGCATATTTTTTTATCATTATCGCGCGGGTGTATTGCAGGCGAATATTGCAAAGAAAAATGTTCGCAGAACACGAGACGTGAAGACACCGTCGTAGACGTTCAAATCAAGCTGGCCGAGGTTGTTCCGTTGTTGGATATCAAACCTACAAACGGTAACGAAACTATAGTTGACATATAGTATATAGGTATCTAAACAATTTATATGCATATATATATATATATATATATTTATGAATTATTGTGTCAATATTGTTAATTTTTATTGAAATAGGTCGTTATATATTATTTGATTGTAAATAACTCGTGTAAATATAAAACGTAATGTTGTAAGTAGAAATAAACATTATTTATTAATTATTTTCTTGCTCTATGATTTACTTATTAATATAAAGATTATATTGTAATACGTATTATATATTAATAGTATATCAATCAGGACTGGAAGAAAAAACGAACGCTATCGTGTGTATTGATTGAAAAGTTATTACTTCTTATTACTTCTTGACGCGAGAGCACATAATTTACTTCGTTTTAGCTTTTGAATATATACATTTAATTTTTTTTTGCACCTTTTAGGTCGATTCACACCGCACAAACATCGGCATCATGTGTAATACTATGTCAAAATATTGTCTCGTTTTTTATGCACCTATAATTCTATAGTTAATATTTACATATTGACGACTTGTGTAAACGTTTCCAACGTGGTACTTAATACATAGAACGATATTTGGATGTGACTTTTTATAGGTTATCGGTGATGTCTGTAACTTGACGTTGACGTTCCCCGTTAAATGTGAACCGATCAATGGTTTCAATGTGCGCAATTTTGAAACCACTTGATTTATAAATAGAAATGCATCGAAATGAAAAAATAAAATTTTAGTATGTCAACAGATCAAACGCTAAATTATAAATATGAGTTAAAAATGTTTAACTTTCTGGAGCTCTATGAAATTTTTTTTTATTGATTTTGACATCTGCAACAATTATTGCACTGTGGAAAAATGTTCCAAATGTATATTCATTTTTTTGGCTCTATAAGTGCAATGTCTCATGCAGGGTATTTGTGATTTTAAATTATTTTCCCAAATGTTTGATCTATTACATTTTTTAACTCTTGCCTAGAGATATAACGTGCTTGAAAATAAATTATAATGTACCATACGTACGACAGATCGGGATGGAATGGGGATATGAGTAGTCGTAACATCGTTTGTACAGTAATTAATAACGATACGGAAAACTCATCAACACTCGTGAGCGTATGCCATTAAAATAATTAAATAATATAGCCAGTATATGTATGTGTAGTATGTGCAATAGAATATATTTTTTGTAGTGACGTGTTTATTACTTATTTGACCATAAACAGAATCGCAGCATGTTTTCCGTTTTTACACCAGACACAAATTAAAAAGAAAAAAAAACGTTTGTTAGCGAATTATCAACCTATAGATATAACACGATTACAATTATGTCGTAGAGCGAGTTATAATAGTACATAGTTTAAGTGTCGACGAGTATTATTATTTCTACTAATATCATTCAGTAGAAAGTAGCGTAGAAGTTCACGTGGAAAACGGCTGAACTGCGATATTACAAGACCATACGATATAGATATTGAACATTTATAACAGTCGCGAAGAACATATGTACGATAATAGATATTTGTTACGTAAAAAAAATACTTGAATTGACGATTTTTATTAAGTTAGCCTCTCCAAGTTGACTGATAAACTCGAAACCTATGCCAATATTCTGCAAATCAATTGCGAATAATTGCAAAATGTATTTATATAATTCACCAACGTCAATATTTTGTAATTTAAGTGGAAATAGTTGCAAATTGGTTTATACGGTTTGCAAATAAATTATGTTGAATGTTTTGCAATTTTTCATCAGCCCCACCATTTCGGTTATTTTGACCATGTTTAAACAGAAACTTAATCTAATAAAAGGCCCCATGAAATACAAAATTATCGGGAGATTGTTCTATCCTTTTTGGGACAATTTAATCTATTTAGCAAATTAGTAATTATTTTACAAATCAGATCAATATATATATATATGAATCAATTAATTTGCAAAATATTGTCGTTGAATTGTTGTTGATTCTGATTAAATCGGTCAATAATTAAATTAATGTTAAATCGGTCGGCTACATGAAATTAGCCCCACAATAAAAACATTTCTATTACCAAGTGGGATGTGACTTGCAAATTTTTTAATTAAATGTACAATTATTATTTGCAATTAATTTGCAAAATATTGGCATAGGTTTCGAGCTTATCGGTCGGTCAACTTGGAGGGGCTATCTTCGTAAATATGAATCGATGCGATGTTGTTTTTACAACAGAAAAAGCGGTCCAGAGAAAAATATTAAATGCTCCATATGGAATTGGTTCTACGTTTTTTTTAAAATTTTTATACATTAATTTTAATCGCAATTCGAAAAATTTGGAGTGGCGGGGGAAAAAAATGAAGAGCAAAAGTTATTCCGATACTACCTCATCCACTTTTGTTGGCTTGACTTGTACAATGCTTTTTGGCGCTGACTGAAAAGTTCTCTGAGTACCGATTTCGTTAGTGGAATCGAATATGTTAAATGAACGATAAAACATAGATGTACCTATTTGTTAGGTTATAATACAGTGAAACAAGGAATGTTTTTTTTTTTTTTAAAAAAATTAAACCAATACAAAAAGTACTCAAACTGATTTAAAACAATGTGATTTTTTCGGTGAATTCTTTCGACACGAAAAAATATTTATGAATGGTTTAGTGCTAGCGGCTGATGAATGAGAGACGTGGTGGTATGAAATTGTTTTTAAAATCCTCTTGGTGGTTTTCGTTTTGCGCGAAGAATTTATTTTCTGCTGACGACTGATGTTTTAGATGTTTATTAACTTTAAGCGACTGCGGAGTTTTAGCAGTATTGGTTTCATTTAAAAGGCCGCGTTTTGTAAACGTATAAGAATTATTTACAACTTAAGTCTACTAAAGGTACTTACAGAGTTTTATTTTTGAACATCTTAAATCCTCTCGCGAATTAATATTTGCTTCACGACCCGCAATATGCGATGACGACGACAACGATGCCGGTGCGACAAGGTTTCATGTACGTTTGTATGCTACAAATACATTATCTATTGTTCGGAACAGCATTTGTGACGATAAGACTTCCTATAGGTACACACGTATGGTGCTCATATAGTCATAATATCATTATATCGATTGATTTGCAATTGTTTTTGGTTAAAACCATGTACGGCGTACGACCGGTATTTTACGGCGAGTATTAAGTAAAATAAATAAATAAATAAACAACAAATAAATAGAAAAGGAAAAGGAAAATAAACGATCCTATGATGAACTGTCGATCATCGATCGTACATTATAATGTTTCGAAGATTTCGATATATTTTATGAAATTCAATCGCTGCTTTTGCTCATTTCTCATCATCATCCGATCCACGCTAACTTTCATTTTATCGTGCACGTTCGTTTCTTTTTCGATCGTATACATAATGTTTTTTTCTTAAAAAACGCGTTTCAACATGCCATACTGTTGCAGCGGCCACAGATCGTGATGTGACTTTACGTTACGTATTGTTCGTCGGAAAAACCACTGGATCGCGTACACTACTGTTGATGTACACGAAACCAGACAGCGTTTTCGTAATCCGATAATATTACGTACGCGATTTTTCCGATTTCCAAATCGATATAATTCGTCATCAATAATTACCATGTTTTCGCGTACTTCGGTGATCGCGATCGTCGTTCTTCCGATCATGTCGATGGCGTAGCGCACAAGTATGATAAGTGATATTTTTTTTTGAAAAATTAGTGTTAAGTGCATATTAAATTTAATCATAAAATTCTGAACATTATTCATAAACAAAATTATAACATTATTCAAGTAATTGTTGTTCTTTATTGGAATTAAATGTGTTTAAGTATTACTCTTTTTGTGTACAAAATGTGTTAAGTATAATATTTTTTTTAAACATTTTTATCAAGAATACAAATGTGGTGATTGCAGGTTTTTTAATCCTCATTAAATGTTAAGGAAAATATAACAAAAAGTTCATTACAGTTCGTTACATTTTTGAATTGTTATAACAGCTCAATCTTAAAAATCGTGCTCCTCAACAATTACGAAAATGTCACTTATTACACTTGTGCGCTATGTCATCGATGTATTGATAATGAATTCTGCATTACAATAATTTAAATATAAAATAAATTTCAACATTTCGAGATTAAATAAAAATGTAAATATTATAACCAATAACATTTGACACATTTTCGCTCAAAATCTATACGTAATTTATTTATACATAATCGATTAACTGAATGAGTTGAGATAGAAAAAATATTTTCGCAACTCGTGTACCAAATATTTATTGCTATAATCACAATATTGCGCTATAACCAAGGCAGATAAAATATTCGGCCCGAATACGACTGTATATGATTCATTTTATAGTCACAGTTTTTTTTTAATGTTGACGATTTTTTCCAAAACGTGAATGTTGTCCGTAATGTATTAAGGTTTTTAAAAGCACATCGAAACCCTATTAGTTTAGCGCTAATAAAAATTTGCAAAAATAATTTAGGATTGCAATGAATGTGTATTTATGTTTAATTGATTTAGAATTTAATTTAACTAAGCCATTATACCGCACCGTCATGGGAATAAGCAAATGTTTGGAAATAAGAAATACATTTCATTTGTCAAAAATAGACCGTTTAGGTTTAGCGTTTATTGATGCAGGTGATGTAACCTGCATATATTTTACATACGTCTATGATTGTGACTGCCGTATTGAAATTCACTACGCCTCATGTGATTCGTGGCTCAATCGAGCACGTAAGACAACGAGATTAAGTTATTATATATAGCGATACGTGCTCAGAATAATGTTACGAAATGCTGACGAGTATGTCGTCACGCGCGCCGAGTTAACCTACAAGACGTTCCCGATTTGACCGTTCTATTACGTCGTCAGACCTTTGTAACTAATTTTATTTATTTTTTATATAAACTTAATTTTTGATCTGTAACTCATCATCAACATCAAATCAGTTACACAAAAAATGTTATATTATAGGACTAAAACTGTCAAAATATTCTGTACACTCATGTGAAAGTTTTGAAATTCATGAGAATAAAATACACGAGAAGATCAGTCACCGTTATCTATATAGATTAAAATGGTTTTAATAAAATGAAATAAAAAAAGTTAGTATTGCTTCAAAATTCACTGTAATATTAAAATATATTTTCAATATACATAAATTAATTATATAAAGCTCTTACAGAACCATTGTTTCTCATATTAGAAAAAAAAAACTATTTTGATCTAGACCAACGTTTCCCAAACTCTTGTTTAGGCTGGCCCGGTAATTATTATTTTTTACCAAAAATTTTTTACCTTCACCAAAATAGTTTACATTTATCGTTGCGCAAAAAAGGCAAAATAAAACACATTTGAATGTCCACAACCAACGACGCTTGTCGCATGTACTTGTTACTATTATACCGTATTTATAGATACGACGAATGCTATACGGGCTTTGCATGAAGTCTAGTTGATAATCTCAATAATTAAATTATTTATGTCGTAAATATTAGTTGTTCGTTTATTTATTTTTACTAAAAAGTTCGAATTATCAAATGAAATGATAAATAACAAATTTAATATGAGAATTTTATTGAATTCTGCGACTCGGTATTATATTTTCGTGGCCCGGTAGTGGGTCGCGACCCACTATTTGAGAAACGCTGATCTAGACAGCTATTTTTTGGCTTTATGTGAAAATAATTAATTAGAAAAACAATTGCAAAAATTTTTTTTTGATTTTATTTCCATAATCCTCTATATCATAAAGTCTATGAGGAGAACCTTAAATGTGATGTGCAATATTAAAATAACTCGCAAATTTGAGATTTATTTATTATAGATTTGTTGTTTCATAAATTATAAACTGTAGAAAAATCGATAAGAAATGATTGTCACGTGATGCTTTTATTATATTTCCATCGGCTATTAAATTTAAGTAATAATAAAGCGGTTTAACATAATTTATTCGCTACAAAATAGTTTATTTACATCAAAATAAAATTCTTGATATGTGAATCGTGACTCTAATACCTATCATGACTCAAAGCCCTTTTACGTGGCACCATAGATTACAACAATTTAGCAAGGTATATACATCTGTTAAACCGTAATTTCATGATTCGAACTCGTGCATTTTGGCGTGTTTATATTTTATGGCCATCTTATATTTTTCAAAGAGTACGTCGGATTCAAGTGATGATGCATTTAACTTTCTTGAATCCGTTATAGCGCTGAACGTACATTATTATTATTATAACAACGACGTATAAAATGTCCACGTCTCACCGTACAGGAAACAAATCAATCTCACATATTAACAGTATTACAATAATTTGTCTCGTTGTTATGATTTCATCCCATGAGTTGCTCAACCTCGCGTCGCTACTGCTTTGCGATAGGAAAAACTACGTGCATTTTTTTTTCCTATCGAAAAAACGTAGAAACACGTGTATAACATCATCGATATCGTAAAGGAATGTGTGTGTGTGTGTGTGTGTGTGTGTGTGTGTGATACACAATAGTAATTTATGATAACAACAATAACTAATTGTCTTGATGAGGAAAAAATACGAATCGTTTCCATTGAGGACGAGCTGCGCAATGTGTGGTAGGGCACCACGAGGACGTCGGCTTGGATTACGTACCGAAAAGCCTATAAAAGATACGGGAGGACTATTGATGTGATATCAAGTTCAAGTTCTTCTCCGGGTAGCGGTCGACTGCGACGATAACGACGAGTAAAATCGTGCGGTGTGCAAAAGTCGCGTTGAATATAATATCATATTTATAGTTTACGGTCGTTGCAAAAATCGAATGATGCGTTTCTCGTTAGCGGTAAGTCCGACGTTGGATCGTCACATACGAGTGTTCACTAGTTGCGATGTTAATAAATTTAGTCGGATTATGTTTTTGCAAATAACTCTTACGTTTTGTGTTCCTCGGTATTTTTAATTAAACAAAAAAGTTTTAGGGAAACATTTAAATGAATAACATTTTATTTTAGTACAATTCGAAAAATTCTCAATATGTTAACAGTAAACTTCTACAGTTTCTAGACTTTTCACATACATTTTAGTCTTCAGCAAATTAACTCGTACAGAAAAAAAAACCGAATAGATTAGAACCATTCGATTATTCCGAACGCAGCAAATATCGAAATTAAAAAAAATCCTGATGGGAATACGTGTTTACGGTCCTACGAAGTTGGTCCCGTTTCACCACGTGCCGTCAATAACGTCCGCGGAAAAACGGAACAATACTTCGTACACTTGTATTGCGCGTTGCCTTTGTGTCTCTCTCAGGTGCACTTCGACGAGTGATTTAATTTGTCGTGCAGTTCGCAGTTTTGTTCGTGGCTGTGGCTGCAGTGTCTGCCGGGGTTTATCCGGTGAAAACAGGCGGCGGCAAAGGCGCGTCGAAACATTCGAAGGGTGGTGGTCATGACAACGCAGAGGACGACCGTTTTCATATGCAGTCGGCCGACGGACAGTACGTTTTCGGGCACACCACCGGAACCCAGGTGAGAAAGGATACCGAAAACCATCCCCGAACTGCGAGAAGCCGTTGCGTTTCGACTGTAAAAAGTATAATCGATGCGGGCAATATTATTCGTACACGGTAATATGAACCACCAATGAACTTCACCGACGCGAACGGATTCGATTTTCAAACGAAACTGTTTGCAACGAACCATTTTTTTTTTTGTAGTTATAATTTTTTTTTTTTTATCTCAAAAGTTATCGTATTATTTTCCATCGGTCGTTCACGCGATGAAACTTATTCACTAATCGCTTAACGTGCTTGTCTCGTTAACTTCATCATATTTTTTTTTAGAAATCAAATACGTTTGTCGATTATATCGCTTAATAGCGAATATATTTAAAAGTTTTCAGCGAACAAAATAATACGCTTGAATAGGTAATATTCACTAAAAGCGCACTACTGTATTACCTGCAGGTCAAGGGAAACTTATACGTCTGAGATGATATTACTGTTTCTTAGAATTAACGACGTTTTCAATGTATTCAGTGTTCACTTTACATACAGCTTTTATACAGCTGTTTATTTAAGTACTTCGTGCGAATTCTACAATTTCGTCGATTGTTCTATGTTACTACAATTTCATCGTTTATTCGAGTATTCTTTCAGCCGATTGACTCGAGTATATCACTACCATTACACTCATATTGATCTCCATTTCGGTATAGTATTGTAATTGCAAATTATATGTTTACCAGGGTCGAGCCGAAATACGCAACAAAGACGGTACGGTGACCGGATACTACAGTTACGTGGGCGATAACGGTAAAGTGGTCTACGTCAATTACGTGGCAGATCAGAAAGGATACAGAGTGTTGTCCAACACCGGTGTGCCGTCGGCTTCGGTCACCATAGAAGGCGATGCCGGAACCAAAGGTCCTCGTGCCGAAAAGGATTTTTTACAAGTTTTTACGGACTTCACGAAACGCATTAAGGTATTACACGCCACATTGCGATTTTTTACGAGTGTATAATGTTGTACTTGCACCTATTTGATGTAGTTCCTAAATTTGGCCAGAGGTTTCCGGGCTAGCGAAAATCTGAAAAAAAAAAATTCTGTCGGTAAATAATATTTTCGCAAATCCAACGTGATTTTCGTACCGAACGTCGTCTGTCACGCCGCATAACCGCTAAATCGCTCTGTTATTTTTGTTTCTATTTCTATTTTCTTTGTACAGGACAAAGTCGTAAAACAGGCCGGACAAGAAACCGTGGACCTCGGTGACGGTCAACATCAAATCGACGTCATTGATCCCGCTTCAGTTTATCCGACTAAAGAGGTATAATAATGACGAGCACATATATATATATATATATATATAATATGTAAATCCCTAAAAGCTTGTGTAGAATAAGTTTCGTAAAGGATTTATGAGAGATACTTAATAAAGTTTTATAAGGTCAAATCATGATCTCTCAGATAGGAAAAGTGATATTTTTGATAAGTCTAAAAAAATAATCTCTTGAAGCTTCATGCTCGTCAAAATAATACTATATTATTATATTATATATTATTTTATTTTTATTATTATTATTATATTATATATTAATATTATATTTCATTGTGTTTTCACTAAATCTGCGCCTTGGTTAGATATTTTTCGAATAGGTTTCGCCAACGGCAATAGTTAAATACAATGATTAATCACCGTAAATAGTAAAAAAAAAAAAAAATAATAATAATAACTTTATTTACCACATAAATTAGCAAACAGCCCGTTAGTAATTGAATAATATTGCACACAATTTGTATTAGTCACTAAAATGCAGTGACACTATATTCTATGACTTTCTTTTTACAAATAATTTGGTTTTTATAATTCGTTTATGTTATGTTCATAGCGCAAAACTAAAGTTTAAATAGTTTTTTATAGTATAGTAGGTGGGTCATAATTTTGTCTTTGTACATTTTTGCTCATAGTGAGTATATTTATTTTTAAATCTTCCTATTGAAATGATACGTCAATTTAAAATATGATTTCATTTTTATTCGTGCAAAATTTCATTTTAACCATTGAGAGTTACAGCATTTAATTGTCAAAGTCCTTTAAAGATCTAACAATTATTAAATAAACGATGTATAATAAATTTAACAAATTTAATTATTTCTACAAATTCTAAATCTAAATGTTCACATATTGGATTATATTATACATTTATCACTGTTAGATATTTTCAGTCAAAAATTATTCACCAAATCATCAAATTATCAAACAAATAAAAATTCTATAATAAAATAAAATTAATTGCACCTCCATCATTTTTATAATTTTATTAAGATTAAATTTTCTAATCCATTAGTATTTATCAATTTTGTTATTCTCGTTTTTAAGCTATTGATATATAAAAAATATTTGAAAAATAATATTATTGCAGATAAAATCTATAAGTAACAAAGAAACAGACCAGTTTCCGGATTGGAATCGAGTAAAGATTCCTTCAACCCAAAAACCAACAGTGAGCATTGTAAGAAACTTAAAAATTTATTTAGCATTTGAACCGGAAATATATAAAAAAAAATCGATTAAAAATACAATTTTGTTTTCCAATCAGGACGGAATTGAAATCACCGAAGGACAACAGCAACAAGGAACAGTAGATCCTAATTTGGATAACGTAACAACTCAAAAAGTAAATGTAAATATAAACGTGTGTATACTTCTTGAGTAGTTTTATAGTTGAATACGTAAAAAGATTCATAGAAATTAAACATAGAAATTTATTTGCTTCCCGAAGTATAAATTTTAAGAATGTAAAATATTGAACTGAAAAACTACACATACAATGAATGTTTATAAAATTATTATCTCGTTCACCGAAACTAATTAAATTTTTAAATAACATTAAATAAAATTTATGTTATATTTAATTACTTAGAATGAGCTTTTGCAATTATTGAAGTAGGATTATATTTGAAAATTAATTTAGTTTCAGGTAAATAAAAAAAGATTATTTTAAAATGTAATCAGAGCATAACTTTATAGTAAAAAATGAATTTTAAAATATAAAACATTTTCAACTAAGTTAATTTAATAAGCTATGAAACCATTAAACCCTATTGCGATTTTCTTTTAAACATTTTTTCAAGCCATTAACTAAATTTGTTTTTAATATAAAGAATATATATATATATACATAAATCTTATACAGATTTCTAATTTTTTTCGTCCAAAAGACAAGTCATTTTTTTGATTAAATATCTAGGCATGATATGATATCAATACTATTTGAAACTAAAATATCTAGATAACATAATTTTTAATTATTAAAGTTTAAATGATTTAATTTTCGGATAATTTTGAAAAATGAGAACCTTCCGACTTATAATATCGAATTACGACGAATGTTTTTTTTAATAGATTAAAGGATATGATAACGATATTCAAGGATCTAATAACTACGATTGGGATGGCGCAGTTATAACTACAGAAACGGCTATGAAAAATATCCCATCATATCCCAATCAGCCCCAAGTAATAACAATACATTTAATAATATAATAATGCATGTATCATTATGTTACACAAAATTATTAACATTTTATTTTAACTATCAAAATCTACCGTACTATTAATATTTGTATTATACAAGTAGTAAAAAAATTGTGTAACTAATAATTTTATAGTTAGTTATGATGGGTTATTATAGAAAACTTATAAAATATTGAATAATTTAAACTCAATGTAAATACGATTAAATACAAAACATTAATATTTCTATCTAACCATTTGTAGGTTCCCACTAAAGGGGATCGAAAAGAAGAATATGCTGACACAACTACAGTTCACGAAGTATACGTCCAAGTAAATCTGAAATAAAAAAAATGATCATATAAATATACGAATACGTAAATTACACATAGTTATTCGGTATAAGTTTCGCGTTCGACAGCATTTTTATTTTATTTTCCATTAACCTTCGATATGATCGGGTAAAAAATTGGAAAATTTAAATAAACGAAGAAAATTCTTTAAACTAAATTTCACTCTTAGTCGTTATGAAATTATGAATGCCCCCCCCCCCCCCCTTAAATTAAATAATAAAGAAATACTTTTAAAACCGTATCTACTAAAACCACTTTAGATAAAAGATTGATTGAAAAACTCCAAATTAAATTTTTATAAAAATCCTCACATAAATAGTATGTATTTCTACAAATTTCTTCAACGCATTAACCGACGACTCAAAATAAATTGGTTAAGAGACTTATGACTACGAAAAAAAAATATATATATATATATATATATATCATAAATACTTTAATAGAAAAAAAATAAAATCAAGATTCTGAGGATCGGTCGGTGGACGAACTGGCGTGTTTACTATTCATGGAATTCATGTTTTACTCTTCTGTACTATTTTTGTACACAAAAATATAATATTAATATAATATTTTTTTTATCACTACAATTTATTGTTATAACAAGCATATACATTTTACTAAATCAAATAAAAATAAAAAACCTCCGATAGACTATTTAATTGTTTGAACTGTAAATGTTCTTATTTCGCAATCACGTAGTAGCAATCCGGTGTATCTTTTGTCCAACATATTAAAATGTGTTTTTTAACGTCAATACAGGAAATCACGACTGAAATCGGTAACTCCAAAGTCATTACGGAGTCCCCCGTGTTCACTAATGATGCGGAAAACAATTCACCAATTTCAAAACCCGCGGTAACTATTACATCTTACAACTTTCTACTTCTTACACACAGTTGCTGTATACGTCATTATTTGCACACAGGAGTCAATTGTTGTCAACGATGCCCAGACAACAATATCTTATTATGATGTCTCCGGAAAACCGGCGGAAGGAAGAATGATCAACCGAGAAGATATCCAGGTGACTATCTTAACGCTTCGTACAAATCCTACGATATGAGAACGTTAAAGGCTAATATATTACAACTTAAACTGCGCCGGCAGCTTTTCTTGAAATATTATATTTACCATCCGTTATGCGTTTTCGAACTAAAAGTTGACGGATCAAATTACACCCGTGTATACTGTGTTCTAGCTGACAACAATGGGCGGAGTGAGGCAATTCGAAGAGTCTTCGACTGTGGCGGCGGAGATATCGGAAAGCGTCACGACTAATAACCAAATCGTTCAGGAAATCCAAGAAAAAATCAAGGTGACTCGTAAACGAATGCGCCGCGAATGCATTTTATAACTTTTTTTTTTTTATCTATTTCCCCACGACGCATTATAGACGCCACTTGAAACGGATGTAGTACTGACAACCGGCAAACCGCTCGATAAAGAATCGTCCGACAACGTTCCCGTAGTCACCGAAAACCCAAGTGATCGAATCGATTTAAAAGTATGAACAATACGATCGGTTTTTTTATCATATTATTTATTCGCCAATTCATCGCGTTATAATATCACGACGTCTGCACCCGTGTTTCCAGATTGCCGACGCCGAATTCACGACGATCACGACTGCGGTCGACGAAAAAATGACGGTAAATACTCGTGTGAACACCGCTTCGCCTGCAGAGTACGAACCCAAGACAACCACGTTCCAGGTACATAAAAACACGGACGATCAAATACGTCGTTAAAATCTGCGATAGTAATGTGTTGATTTTGATGTTTTTAAAGCCCGATGTCAAAACGAGTGACATGGAGACCACGACGACCGGCATTCAGTACGTGACCGAAGCGAACAGGGACGACGGTTTTGACTTCAAAGTAAGCGATTAAACCACGTGGCGTGGCGTTTACGTTACTGTAGTTTTCGGTTTTAATGTCGTTCGGTTGTTTTTATTGTTGTTCAGACGCTCGAGCAGAGCGACGTGATCGGGACGACGAGCATACCGAACCGCGGACAATCTGAGGTAAGTGGGCCGACAGAATCATCGGAGTTCCGTCCGATACACGCACGCGATCGAGTCGAAATTCAACTCGTGTTAAATTTCTTTTCGCAGGCGCAAGAGGTGCAAGATATCGCGTGGCCGGAAATACCTGCAGTGCCCGCAGTACCGCAAGTTTTGGTAAACAAAAGCCGCTCTCTGCAGAACCACGGTTCTGGTCACCTCGCTCTACGTCGATATACTAAATAAACCTGTTCGTGTTCTAGGTACCCCTGAATCCGTATCCCGAGAATTCGGGCGTCAAAAACGCAGTCGTCAAATCTCATTCGGCCAACTCGAGACTGGTAATGTAGTTAATTGCGTTTGAAACACGAAAAGAAAAAAAAAAGTACATTCATAAATGCGTGTAAAAAAAATACAGAATATACGTTAGAATCGATGTGATAAATAAACTGATACGCTTTTACAGGTGAGAAATTTCAACTTAAACGTAGACGACGCAAAGTCCTCGACGGTCAACTCCTTGGAAGAAATCAAAACGACAATGCCGACCAATGTATCGATGGATGAAGACCATTCGACTATGTTCTATTCGAAATATTTTATCATAGGTTGAACATTAATAACAATAATACGCCGCAGTCGCGATTTAAGTTAACCGTGTCTATGTAATATTATTTAATCGTTAGTCGTATTGATCCTGTGCCTACTCAAATAAGCTGCCGAGTAAACCGAATCGTAATTGTAATGAACTATATTATTATAAATGCTAATAGTTTTTTATGTCTTTCAAATGTATCCCTTATGTATAAAATATAAATATATTCTAAATAAATATAATTTTCACGTTCACATCGTGTGATAATTAAATATATATGTGTATATACATAAATTCCGTATTTTAAAATTCATAGTGTCCCGTATTTCAAACCCGTAATGTTGCATGCGAGGTGTAAACTATCGCATGAACAATACTACTATGTGTTTTTGTCGTTTGAAATCTAATATAAAAACAGAGTTTTCAAAATCAGTGTTTAACCGCATAAACGTTTTGTGCCCTCGCAGAGAGCAGTTATGCGTGACGGTAAGGTAAGTTTTCTCAACAAAAAAACGGAAAATTATAATATTATGCGCATGTTTCGACGATTCTGTCTACGAGTTAAATAATTTGTTTTCAATGGAAAATGTGAGTTGCGAATGCGCTTTCTAGAAATTATACAGTTGCACGACCGGACGGCGGACGAGCGAATATTATAGCACGTTAAATCGTAGCTGTTTAATTTCGCGTCGTCGAGACAATTATTATTATACAAACGCTCATCTAAGTGACACGACGAGAATGGCGTTGACGCACAAAATTTACCATACAATTAATATCACGTTTAATACTCTTTTAGAACACAAAATAATCATTAAAGTCGAAGTAGACTTTCGATTTGTTACCTCTTTGTGCCACCACTGAGGATTACAATGTAAAATGTACCATACAACAAGTGCGCGCAATTTATTACATTTACTGATGTACGTCGGTAATAATACTTTGGTAAAGTATTATAAAGTGAGTTATTTATCGGTAAAGTAATAAATATAAATTACTTTACCACGTAGCAATTATTTTTAAATTTTATTAATCAAATGTTTTTTTTTTTTACTTTGTTCTCAATTTAATTATCTAAAAATGAGTGTTGGAGAACTGGAAAGTCATCATTCATCCGAGATCCAGACTGGAGCCCGAAAAGTAGAAAATCTTGTTTTACTAACAGACAGTTGCTACTAGGGTTTTTGAATTGTAATCGACTCCCACCATCGTTCACTCATCTGCCACTCCTGTGTTAGTGTTGTGAATTGTAACCTGATTAGTTAATTTTTAAGTTAGTCAAACTACTGTGAAATATTTTTGGTCACTGTCTCAGACCGAATTAATGACGGGATTACTGCCATCTATGCTCACCCTTTGGTCCGTTTGTGCATTGTTACCAGTTTTTCTGTATCTTAAAATGTTGCTGGTGTACACAATTTATGTTCTCGAACTATATCTTATAGATTTTTTTAGAATCCTTGTATGGTTGAATTAATTTATATACTCATATATTCCTAGTATTAAATTAATGCTATGTCTCACTCGTTCAAAAGATTAGCATTATTTGGTTTTTTTTATTTATGCTTGTCTTTGTTTCTGTTCCAATTTATATTTATTGCTCAGAGTCAAGTGTAATTACGAGTTGTTATATGCAAATATTTTTAAATTTTTTACCATGATTATGTATGTATATTAAGGTGGTCCTAGAAAGTGGTCATAGAATGTGAAAAAAAAATAATTTAATATTTTTGAATTGCTATCGCTCATTTCGTTCATGATCATGAAAATAAAATATTGATTAAGTCTTCTTCTGATATCTCAACCCTTACACGTGCATCGAGAAGGTTGAAAATAGCCAAATAAGGCATTTTTATATTTTTTTTATTTTAAATCTGAAGCCATAACATTTAGCCTAAAAATTCATATTACCTTTATGATAGAATATAACATTTCCTATAAATAATATTATAATATGTTTTTTTAAAATTCATTAATTTCCGAAGAAAAGAAAAAAATTGTAGGTTTTTTTTTTAAAATTATTCGATTTTATCACATTTAATTTAATAATAAAACTTCGCCTTATCTGTTATTTTGCAACTATTAAACTATATTTAAAATATCTACGGACTAAAATACACATTAGTATATTTACTGAGTGTAACAATAGAATTAAAACAAATACTGTAAAGTAATGGTTGTTTATTTTTTTTAATTTGTTTTTACAAAAAAGTGTATTTGATTGGAGCAACTTCACATCAAATATTTGGATCTAAATTGATATCAAATAAACAAGTTTTATGTTTTATATTCTATAATATACGTAATGTTAAACTAAGTTTACGTGAAATTTCTTGTTTCATTATTGATGAGACATTAATATTTTGGAAAAAGGCACGTATTTCAACGAGAAAATCATTTAATATAAATTTATTTATAAATTCAGTTATTTAGTAGGATGAAAAAAAGCTTTCTTCATTGATTGGCAAATATTTAGTAGAAATGTTACGGTAATACATATATGTATACTGTGTACTATATTTTTGTAGAATGTTTTTAAAAAAAAGCTCTAATTGTTACTTTCAGTTGTTTTTCGTATGAGTTCACACTTTTATTTTATTATTATTCCTTTTTTTTTTTTATAAAAATATAGTTTTGTAAAAAATTTATAAAATAGGATTTGTGGTTTTATACTCATAATTAAATTTAAAAAATGTTGACCAATTAGAATCTTATAGAATCTTAAGTTTTCCAAATATTTAGATTAATTTTGATAAACGATAACTATAATTAAAATGTTTTCGTCTTGATATTTTATCCAATAGTTACATTTTCTAACAGTCTAGGCTACTTTAAAATAAAAGTGCACTTTCAAAGGTTGGGATATAATTTATTTTTAACACACTTGGAACCGAAAAAAAATTTGATTACTCATCAGATTATATAAAATGTGTAAACGCTAATTGATAATACTTAATATCTTTGTGCAGAGACCTGCAATCTGAATACTGTTTTTTAGTTGGTTTTTATTACATAAAAATACACATTTTTATGATCTTCGAATTTTTTTGACTTAATTAGATAGGCGCAAGTGCCATATAACTTTGTTTCTTAAATGGCGACCACTTATTTTAACCACTAATTATTTTTCGCCAAATTTTTTAATGAACTTTGGTAGCTTAACCAACTTCCAAATTCAAAATTGACCAAATTATAGCAATAAAAAAAAAAAAAAAAACAATGGTAAAATGCGCGGGATTTTCAATATTTTTACTGTAATTCTGAAAATAATTGTTCTATGGTTATTTAGACTTGATATTTTTACCCCTTATTAATAAGATGATATTAACACGTTATTATTATTTTAACTACTGTTAATTTTTACATAAATTCGTGCAAGAATTATAACTTAGGTAATGCATACGAACAGTAAATGTGTATGTTATTTATTTCGCTACATTAAATGGATATATTGGAATTAATGAATTGTATTAATAATTAATAACAAATTTAATTCTTATTTAAGTTATTAGTTTATTCAGTTATTAAATAATTTAATTTATAAATTGTTTAAGTAATTGTCTAAACCTATGTCAGATCCATTTAATGTAGCGAAATAAATAACGTACTTATTTACGATTTTTATGGTATAAGTTATAATTCTTACACAAATTTCAATAAATTTCAACAGTAGTTAAAATTATAATAACGGGTACATATAAGCTCAAATGTTTACTTGAATCTTCTACGTTGCATCAATGTTCAAGTATATTGTAATATAAATTGATATGAGCTAACTAGTGATGGGAATGAAATCCGGATTCTTCGAAAATTTTAAATCCGGATTTCGGATTTAAAAACCTGAGTTTTGAATTTATTATTGCAAATTTCTGTATTCTAATCATACTTGTATAACATTCATTACACCACTTTTTAGTCGTTATTTTAATTCTCGGACAAGATGAGGGTGAATGTAAGTTCCTACACGAGATTTTAGCAGGTAAAAAAAAATACATACCTTAGTTCCTACACGGTGGAAAAAGGTACCTATGTAAGTTCCAATACGGCAAAAACCAGGTACATATGTAAGTTCATACACGGCGGAAAAAGGTGTAAATATCTATATACGATGTATATACAAATAAATATGTGATGATTATACAATATAATAAAAATCGCATAACGCATTTTCCTTTTTCGCGATTGAATATAATATTATATAAAAAGTAAAAAATACAATAAAAATCGCAAAACGCATTTTTCAACTATAGAGTCTACAGCTTTTCTTATGCAAGAATTACTAATTTGTTGCCATTTCAAAGTGGCATCACTTAAATGAATGTGACCAAAACACGATTTATCTATATTTATTAATTGGGCATTTTGACCCAAAGTATAAACTTTTGCACTACACTTATTCATAACACAACGCCACGTAATTTCATTTTTTTTAGATGTATGATGCTTAAAAAATTTAAAATCATTCAAAACTAGCAGTTCTTTGCCTTTTTCACTCAACATGAATGATACATTCTCGCTCATTGTGACTTTGTATAACTGTATATGATTAGTATAGACAGATATGTACGGACACACGGATGTTTCGAACAATACTAACAAAACTTTTAAGAGAAGTAACTTGATGTATATTTTACTACGTATAGTTATAAGTTATTTTAAGATTATCAAACCGAAATCAAGTTCTGTATCATTTTTATTGATGGTGAAAAGTCGTAAATATGACGAGTCGGGAATCAGGATACTATTATCAGCTTGTAGCTTGTCGTATTTTCTAGTGATTTCGTATACGTTTTGCTTTAAATTAAGTATATTTGAATGTATAGTTGTATTAAATAGCTATACTACGCTATACCAGCGTATAAAGTTTCAATAACAAATCTAATTATTATATACTTATTTGTGAAAATGCGTTTTGCGATTTTTATTATATTGTATCATTATATTTATCATATATTTATTTGTACATACATCGTATATACATATTTATACCTTTTTCCACCGCGTAGGAATTTACATATGTAATTGCTTACCTGCTTCTCTCGGGTAGGAACTTACTATTCCCCCAAGATGATGGTGGTCTAAATAAGATACCTTAATAATTGGTAAATACTTCAAGTCTTATGTTTCATTATTTTTAAAAATAACAAATAAAAATAACTAACATTTCTTAATTAGGTTAGGTCAAAATATTATTAATTTTGAGAATGTTTAATTATTTTATATTTACTATATATAATTCTTGAAAGAATACTATCTCAATGTTTTTAAATCCGAAATCCAGATTCAATGCAAAATCCGGATTTTAGAATCCGAAATCAGTAAATCAGTAAAATCCGGATTCCGGATTTCAAACTTCAAAAATCCGGATTTTTCCCATCACTAGAGCTAACCCATTGGGTACGGATTACAACAACAATTACTATTTACGGCTGTTGGCTGTATACTCCTGAAAACAAAATATTTATTAATTTTTCAATTACATGTATTTATAATAATCAATATGTATGTGACACATGTATCGATATACTGAGTTCATCATGTAAGTACCATCGGATACATTAGTATAGTTTATGAACGTTTCTAAACATTCTACGAATATTTAGTTAATACGAGTATGTAATTCTAAATTCGAATGATATAGTCAGGGCAAATACAAATCTTAAATCTATAATCATTCACCTTAATAGCTTTGAGGAGTGGTACAACCGTTACTCCATCTTTGGCATATTTATCTATTATACTTTTAGTATAAGTTGTAAATTCGGCTTCATCTTGATGCCATAATTTTATAAGAGCATCGTAATCTTTACGTTCGGCTTGTAAATTATCCAATTTAATTGCTTGTTTGGTAGCCTATAAAATACATTGAATATTAAAACATTTTTTCATGCCGTGTTTTTATTAAATATTAGATCGAATATTTGTCGTCAAACTCACACATTGATCGTTTAGAATTTTTCGATAGTTATTAGTTTCATTAATCTTGGCTTCTTTATGTAACTGTTCGAGATCACACAACATCTTGTTTTCTCGCTGCCTTCTTTCTTGTTCCCACCGACGACTTAATGTCAACCGTTCTTTTTCCTTTTGATCTTTTTCCTCAAACATTTTTTTATTATCTTCCGAGATTTTTCTCCTTTTTTTGATTAGCTCTTCTTTTTGAAGTTTTTCTTCTTGATACCTAATTCAAATTATTAAACAGTTGAGTACTTAAGATGTTATTAAACTACTAAAAACGAACTAATACGAACTTTTGCTCATTTTCTTCAATATTGTAATGATCTTCCATTTTCAACTTTTCACTTGATTCTCTCAAGTTTTTCTTTGTTTTCTCTGTAAATTTCTCGAATAACTCTTGTTTTTCTTCTTTCATCTATTCACAAATGTGTAAAATAAATTATATAATCTTCACTAACATTAATATTATGCTTACTTTTATTTCCTTCAACTTTATAAGTTTATACACTCTTTTTTTTAATTCGTTTGCTTTTGCCACTGCCGTATTTGCATTCAACTCTTCTAATTGACGCAATTCAGTTTTCATAGCTACAATTCTTCGGTTTTCATTGTGGTCTTGTTCCATTATCTTCTTCTTTGCCTGAATCTTAAAAAGACAATTATTATCAATAGAAAATGTAAGAAGTACAATCTTACTTTAGCTTGTTCTTCTTTTTTATTTTTTTCAATTTCTTGTTTTATCAACTGTACTTCAGCTATACCTTCATTCTTTAATCTAAGAATTTCATTTCGACTTAAATCTTCCCGAATTTTCAACCTTATAAAACGATCACAATAATAAAATATTTTTATTTATTATTATTTATCTATTTTAAATAACAAAATTACTTTATAAGATACTATGACTAGGTCTCGGAACGTTTAGTGTTAATATGTAGCAAAATCAGTAAATCGCCATTACATATTTTTATTGAATCAACTTTTTTTTTTATAATTTAAAATGAAGAAATACATATATAAATAAATATAAAACTATATTTCACTTGTATATACATTAGTATTTTTGGATAGTAGTTACTTATTAGCGTTTTATTTATTTGTATTTTTAGAGGTATAATAAAAGAACTTTTGAACAAAAATTATAGCTATAACATAATTATATAAAACATAAATTTTGTAAATGGTTAGACTTTCGGGAATTAGTACATTAAGAGTTTCGTTTTTGAGCAAAAAATGGTTTTTATAATAATGTAGATTTTTTGGAAGGGAACATTTTCAGTAAATGTTCTTGAACTATATTTTACAGATCTTCTTAGAATCTCTGTTCGGTTGAATTTATTTATATTCTCATATATTCCTAGTATTAAATTAACGCTATTTCTCACTCGTTCAGAAGAATAGCATTATTTGCTTTTTTTATTTCTGCTTGTTTTTTTTTCTGTTCCAATTTATCTTTCCTGTACTTTTCCGCTTCTGCGTTTTGTTCCATTTTCAATAAACATTCTTTTTCTTGAGTTTTCATTCTCTCTGCTTTGTCAAACTCTATTTGTAAATTTCTCTCTTTGAGTACCTTTAATTTATAACCAAAACTCAAATATTAAATATAAATGCAGGTATACGATTTTGAATTGAATATAGATGTAATACAGGTTTATAGATGTAGATATAAATTAAATCAAAAATGAATAAAGTAAGATATGTGCACTTTGATCAATATATTTTTTAAATTTATAAGTTTACCTGCATTTTATACACTTCACTTTGTATCATTTTTGTCGAATCTTTATTGGACCATATATTTAATTGCAGATTTTTATTAATCTTGTTCCGTTTTTCCAAAATTTCTTGATTTCGAATTTTATCTCTTATTTGATGTTCGGCTTCAATATCGTCCAAGAATTTCTTTTGTTTTGCTGCAATTTTTTCTAATTGTTCCTAGAAAAAAAAATTTAATTTTGTATTAATCATCGATACTCATTTTTTCATTTATCATCCATGACAGTTATGGTTCATATTTATTTTATATTATATATATATATATATATATATAAAGTATTGTGTCATGCAGGTCTGTAGACAAGAGACTAGGTACAATATTTGTGTCATTGACTATTAAAAAAATTAAATGAGATACGTCACCTTAACCATCATTATTGCATTTTTCGTTGATTAAAAATAGTTCAATCTAATTCAGAATTAGATATATGATTTCATAATATAACTTAGATAAAGCACTGGCCCATTGTAAGTGAAGCCGAGTGATAATTCTACCATCGCAAAATGATCAATACCGAAAAATTGTGTACTATAAATCAACGTTGAGCAGTTCTTTTTTTTAAAATCATTTCATACTAGTTAATAAAACTTTTAAGTGTTCACTTTATTATACATACTTTACAGGCCAAAGAATAATTTTTAGATTCAATATACGCTTAACAATCAGACTTGGTATAAATATAAAACAAAAATGATGAGCTAGGGTAGAGTAGTTCAACCTTTTCTATTTAACAAGCCAATTTTCACATTTACGAAAATATTGGGAGTTACCAAAAGAATGAAAAAATATTCACATTTTATTAGTTACCACGCTGTTAAGGAAACCCACAGAATTATTATTAAAAATCAAAAGTCATAATATGTGTATTTTTATTTTAACAATCAACTGGAAAACAGAATTCATATTGCAGCGTTCTATGCAAAGATAACGTTCTAAATTAATAAAAATAGGTACAGTATTCAAATGATGTTATGCGGTTATGTTACGGAAGTATGATACAAGTTCGACGCATATGCCGCACACAAACACTGTTACATGTTAGCCTTTTTATTACGCTTATGTGTACGCGTCTTATTATAAGATATTAAGCCAACCCCCGCTTTTTCCACAAAATATAACTTTGTATACGTGCCTTGTGCCGTATTTCATTCCTCTTTGTGGTTTTGATGATCAATTTATTTTGTCTGTCTATTTGTTTAGCCTTTTTAACATCTGCATCGCTTATCAATTTGTTTAATTGGTTCCATTCATTTTTTTCAATGATCAGTCCAGGGACCTTTTTGCCATTCAATTGAACTGAAATATTTTTCATGTTAACTGAAATTATACTTTTATATTAAAGTAATAAATACTATTTTGAGTTAAAATAAAAAATAAGATTTTCACAAAATTGAGAATTTAATTTAAATGTATTAAATGTTTTTGATTTCCATGACAACCCACTGTGCAATATTCGGTCACATTAACGTGTCAGAAACGTTTCAAATCAACTTGTAACTTTGCGTTTATTGTTACTTTTACGTTGCACCATTGCTGTGGTAACTGCCGTTGTCCAAATTTGATGACGTCTCATTTAAGTTGTTTCAACGTTTACAATACATATTTTATAATATTGTATAAACATCTTTGAAATGTTATAAATAAAATATTCTAAAAATATATATTTTACATTTAGTAGATATTACATAGATGTTATTAATGAACAGACCGATTGTAGTAAAATGAGAAAAAGTTATAAAAATTATAGCTACAAATTAGGATTCGAACCGTCGTTATACGTAGTCATAATACTTAACCTACCTATAGGTTATAACCTAACCTAACCTACACCCGGTAATATTAAATAATATTGAATTGAAAGAACATTTAATAACTATAAAAAAAACACTGACTCAGACACAGTCCCTTCCAGTGGATATTTTTGAAAAAGATTCAATTAATGAATTTCTAAAATTAACAAAAATACGTACAACATTTTCGAATTCACAATTAATATACTCTTTAAATTTTCCACTATGCAATCGAGACGAATACATTTTATACCGATTGTGGCCAATGCCAACTGAAATAATACAAGCCCAATTTATTTTTATACAACCACATAACCCATATATTGCCATTTCAAATAATAGACAAAAATTTATCGGGTTATCTGAATGGGATATGGTTAATGTCATTTTTTTACCATACATGATATATCTCTTGTTAAATAGTGCAATACATTTAAAAACATTCCCCTTATGTGAAATCCAACTTTTTAATTCACCCAACATAACAAAACTACCCGAGCAATGTGACGTACGACATATGTACTACAATAATATAATTTTGAAAAAATGCATTCAAAAAATAAATATCTTCATTGGATAGCTAATGCTATGCAAACAACGTTAGTATGCACGATATTAACATCAATACATATTTTGCAAGGGTTGGGTATTATAACAATACTAATGTGAATGAAACAATTTTTTTTTATTTATATACCAACAAAAATAAAAGAGAACATTTTGTTCTAATGGTTTAAGACGTTTTATTTAAACACTTACCTACATTAAGAATTCTATCCCTACCTATTAAATTATTATTTAAATCTAACATATTTATCTTTGAAAGTGACGCCTTATACCTTTAGAACACAGTGTTCACAAATAAATTGAAATTAATTAAAGCATTTAAGTAGTAATAATTATTATTTTATTATTATTTTTACATATATTTTCAAAACATATAATTTTTTTTATTCGCAGTTTCGTTTTCAGAAAAACAAAAAATAAATATAATTCCTTTAATACGTTATGTTATAATTATCAGATATTTTGTATGATTATTATTTGTAAAAAAATATTTTTTACATTGATATCTTACAGTAAAATATACGTATTATATAATACAATTGATATATTTATATTAAGACTTACATTTTTTATTGTTGATGTTATAATGAGAAAACGTACAATATTTTTTAATTACAGCAATTGAGAAGACGTAGAATATTTCCAACTACGAAACCCTTTTACAATATAATGTTGAATAAATAATTACTCGTTCGCTCTAATTTATTAAAAACATGTTTTAATGAGCTATTTGCTGTTGTTTTGATTACAATATTGCCTTGAAATCTCAAGCGTAACTTTCAAAACACAGACAGATGTTAAAAAATAATTACACAAAAGTCGATTCTAAGTGGATCCGTCCTTAGATTAAAAAAAAAAAACCACAATTATTAAGGGACCTAACCTAACCTAAGGATTCAGCCGATTTTACCGATATTACCAACATTCGACTTGTACATTTGAGACTGAATTAAATAAAAAATTTGAGTCGCCCCCCAGAAGTTTTTTGTAAACACGCACCGGGGCCGGACCGCGTGTCGATGCACTTGCACCCCCGTCGAAGGGGCGATTCCGGTAGGATATTATACGTTCTTCACGGCGGGACAAAAACCTGAACGGAAAAATCTATCGTATTGCACACGTGTTGCGACGGAGTGCACGTTGTCGGAACAACACCGGTCCGTGACGGCGAATCGATCGGAATAGCGTTTTTCCGCGGTGTCGGAAGTTGCGCGCGGGGGAGGTGGTCCGACGCGGAAGGCGTGTGAGGGTCGGAAGTGAACGCGCGGCGGTCGCCCGTCTGTCACACGGGCACGGCGAAAAACAATGGCGACGGCGTGTTCATGTAGCGCGACGCGTCGGAGGTACCCTCGTGTCGCCCCCCCCCTACCCCCCCACAATCCAACGCGCGCGACATCGAACGGCCGGGACGGGGGCAACCGTGCGCGTTTCGGTGCGATGTTCGTTCGTTCACCGATGTCGCGGTAGAGGGGCGAGAACAACGTGTACCCGACGCACGCAGTCCGGCGCGAACAATGGAAGTGGCGTTCGATAAAACATACGAAACGAACCAGTCACCTCGTAGCGACGGGTGCGCGAACACACTCGCCGCAGCGGTCCGAGCGTTCGTGTGATATCCAGTGCCGGTCCGCGTCGTGCGCCGAAAGTTCCGATCGGATTCGATTCGGTCGAAAACGACCGTGGCACCGCGATAGCGGATTTCTGGCGGTCGTTTTCCTTATATTTCGTTCGCCGACCCTCCGCGGAGGTCTAATAGCGTTTGGTTCGCGTTGCTGGAACCACGCGTTTGCGGCAAACCCGAAGGGACGATCGGCGGCCGGGGTCCGCCAAGTGTCCGCGAGGATCACCCGTACGCCCTTCGACGGCGACCTACCCGCATCAGGACGCGGACGACCGACGGCGATCTGCGCAGGTCAGTTACTCGTGCACCGCGACGAGACGCGTGTTGTCGTGTCGTCGTCGTTGTCGTTACCGGGAACATTTTCGGTGTAATGTATCGCGGATAAACGTGCTTTCCGTTTGAAAAAAAAAAAAATTTATCAAAACCAGTCTCGAGTACAATGTCTGCATCATCATTTATCCGATGCGCTCGCGAGTCCCTGCAAGCACGGCCGGTGTATTTCAATACCGTCATCTCGTGAATTATTTCGCGGACGATAATCGAACGCTTTTCATCGGGAAAAAACGGACCCTACCCTGTGCAATATTAATTTTTTCCGAACCTCTCAACATTATATCACAACCTTCATAGTTATAGCTAAGAATATCCGCTGGCCATGTTGTTTATGTTTTGTGCGTCAGTTTACTAAATCAGTTGTTCTAATCATTTATGGGCTCTTATTACTCAAAAAAATGTTTCCTAAAGATACCGAAGTAGTTCGCATCGCGGTACTATTCATATTTAACCCAAAAAAGTCAAAAGAATATAAGAGAATACGTTGGATAAAAGATTGATATAAAAATATAAGCATAATATAGCAATGTAAAATTATTGAACGTGTTTGTAATATGTATTGCAAATATGTAAAGCTGATTATATTAAAATAATTATGATAATATAACTTTATATAATTTACTTACTTATATAATAGTTTAATTATTATTAAAGCTTGTACTTCATTTATACAAAAACAGAGTATAGTAGTAAGACATTTCATAAGAATAATTTTTTTTGGTTTCAATTTAAATAATCTTTGGACTTAAATTTTCAAAGAGCCGGTAGATCCTGACACAACTGAATACATTCGATTATAAAAAAATTAAATCTTTGAGTTTATAATACTTGCTTGTAGATCTATTAAAATATAAAACTTAACTATTTAACTTAAATATTTAGTATCACGATACGCGTGTTTATCACAATCAAGATCGATTTACCATATATTGTGTAGCTCTGCACGATATCATATCGAAACGAACAAAAATGTTATGTAATGCACAATACATTTCCAATCAGATTTTAATTTTTAAATTTATTGTTCAATATTTTAATATCTATTCTAAACCATCAGTAATACCTATTGAGTAATATCAATTATTATGCAATATCAATGATCGTGTATAGGTCCGTTTAACGAATATCTTGTACAACCAAAACCGTTAAAATCTGTTGTCGTCAATTCTCAACGAACACCGTTATCTAATGCAATTCAAGAACGGCACTGGACAAGCTCTGACGAGGCGCGAACGTATCCAAGAAATTCCACGTCAAATATACATATAATACATAGTAGTGCATATTATATACATGCAATCGATATCAGCACGGCACAGACGGTGATGGAGTGACATTTTATCGACAGTATTGGTGATTTGAGAACATTTAAATGGCGAATGAGTTTATTATCGAATTTTAGCCTATTAGTATTACCTCAGAGACACCACGAAGAGATTGACTGATAAGTCTCCCGAAAATGTTTTTTAAATTGTGTTATATTTAGTTAAAATGTTTGTATTAACATAGTTCAAACTTTTTTTTTTTTTGTTTTTTGATTGGCATGATAATTATACATAATAGTTATTCTACATTATAAGACGCTGTTGAGATGATGGTAAACGTTTTGAACAAACTAATTTAAAATATTAGTACGTGTTAATGAGGTTTTTAGTTATACTTGTGCAGTTGTGCATAGATTCCATCATTAGTACAACGTAATATTTGTTGAGTATTCCGACTAAAAATGATCTTGACTTAGGTAATAAACGAGTACGAAACTCATTTTATTGGTGTTATGGCGCGTGGAAGGAGGAGTAAACAAAAGCCTTAATCGATTTTAACGTAGCTTACACATAAATAAACTCACAGTGCACGGAATTAGAAGTGTATTTAGACTTACTTGTAGGGGGGGAGGTGACTCATATTTTTATCTTTATTTCAGGCTCAATATTTACATGTAAAATTGTTGGTAATATTTAAATCAGGCGAATCCTTAATACTTGTGGTTTTTTTTTTTTTTTTTTAATCTAATGCCAGATTCACTTAGAATCGACTTTTGTATAATTATTTTTCAACACCTGTCTGTGTTTTGAACGTTACGCTTGTGTTTTATTTGATTTTTCACTAAGTATGAACCAGACAAAAAGCCCAATTCAGTATTCACAGCAACGTGTAATTTTATTTCTTTATAAAATGATCCATATTAAAAAAAATTTGAAATGTGTATTTCACATATTATCAATTCCTTAAATATGGATTCAGGGGGACGATCGCCCCTTCGCCCCCCCTTGCTTAAAATACGCCCATAAACGGAATCCATATGCACTCCGATACGTGGCGAGGGTGTGTACGATTATTTATAGTACTAACACTGTTTAATAATGTCTTATAATAGTATAATAATATGTGCGCGTAAATAATATGAAACGATCGCTCCGCTGTGTCGTCTTAATGATGAGTGGTGATAACGTAGATCGCGGGAGAAAACGTGTTTCCACGCGTTTCCAAGTGACCGGCCGCAATTGATGTAAAAACTTTGGCGAAAACCGAAAATCTGAAAAATCGTTCTAGTCCACAAACATCATAATAACACACGACGTCACATACATTGCGATAATTATGCATGAAACAGCGCTACGTGTCGGTTGCTGCAGACGCACGCAATGAGAAATGAACACACGTGACAAGTGAAAATCTTTTGTGATTATTTGAGTGAATTACAAAAAAATAAATGTAAATATGTTTTTGCGTACCGTATGAAAATGTTTCCAATGGCGTTGGTACTGCAGTGTATGAACGTGTTTTGCGAGAATGTATTTTTATCAGATCGCAGATATTTTCGTGTACAAATGTATACACACCGGTCCAGCGCGTGTGTTTAGTACGTATTTTATATTTTCGTTTTAATTGGATCCTTATAATACTTTGTAGTACGTGATGAACAACGAAATAAAATTCGTTCCGACTCAAATCTCCGCGTACTTCTAAAATGAAGGAATTAGTACTACTTTTCACGATTCTACGTGATAGTACTACGTATATTATGTGTGTACGGATGTATTTTAAATTGTACTTTGTTTACTTTAATACATGTTATAGTTATTATATTTCGTTTCGATTACGTTACTGAACACTTCGCTAGTGATGCGCAAATTACACGTCAACTGCTTCATTAAACAAGATATATTATAATACCTATGGTTAATAAATATGGGTTAAGCCGCAAATATATTGTGTACTTACGGTAGACGTTTACGATATTAAGAATTAGTTTGTCTTCTGTAGCACATAATCGTATTTCAAAAACAATAGACAAAACATGTAGACCAATGCCGGATTTTTGGGAGGGGGGGTGCTGAGGTGCATGCAATGGGACATCAAGCTCTAAGAGGACTCTAAAATCAAAATCAACAAAGTAAAATAATAATAAAAAATAAATAAAATTATACATTTTGATGTGTGCGTGTGACTAGACGAGCCTAAGATATTTTCTTTTACAGCTAAATAATCAATTAATTGAATAGTTAAAAAATTAATTTTCTTCGTCGTTGTCAGAATATAATGAATGTTTGTCAAAAACATAGGAACTTTTTACTGGAATTACTAGAAGCAAGTAAATAATGTCTCGATTGCAAAAAAAAAAAAAAAAATGTCTTCGAAAAGCCAATTCTGGACAGCAAATATACGAGTTAAAATACCGTGCGAAAACGATTTGTGATTGCGATGAACAAATTGTCCATGTTTACACGGAAAAAACGATAAGAGAAGAGAATGAAAATGGAACAGACATAATAAATTATTAATTACGATTCGTGACGTTTGGTCGGAATTCAATCAACGCTGCATGAATACGACGAGGAATAAAAAAATGAAAACGAAATGAAAAATAAACAATAATCTTTTTAAAAAGAAACGTTTTCGTATTGCGGTATTCAAATTTCCTGCGTCAAAAATGACGTTGTCGGTACAAGACAAATAAATATTGTTGTACAAATCGCATAATAGATTCGGGACGATACCATTTCTATGCAAATAATTACTATTATTGTTACTGTCAACTCTAAAAACGGATCGTTTACCGTCCCATCGACACCGCCGCGATGGTTATAATAATAACAACAACAATAATATTAACAATAACGATCCGTTAATGAACAAGCGTTGCGAAGGCGATTTGCTGCCACACAACTGCCTACCGTGTACAGTTAGCTGCGCGTCGGCCGCGTGTTCTCGACCGATCCGACCTGAAAAACGCTTTACCGCGATTCTGAAAAAAGATATCTCACGATTTTATGCACACCTTTTGCCGCGTAGGACTTTTCGCGAGAGTTGATTTAGTAGGCGTACGAACAACCGTCGGGCAGAACTGCAGTCGGTACGTAGTTATTATAGCGTTGATCGAGTACAGAACGTATAATTTAAGCAGATGGATTCTTAAAAAAAAAAAAAAACCTAATTGTTACGCTCTAGCATCCAGTCAGAAAAACTTATAAAACGATCATTATAATAATTCCTCCGTATTCGTTAATGTATGTACTTAAGCAACGATTGATCATAACGTGTTTCAACAGGTATTTCTTTTTTACATGAGAATGAATAAACAATAAGCTTTTTAATAAGAAACTTTTACACAAAGCTACTGTCGTATTTCCTGCGTCGAAAAATACGTTGTTGGTTTTAATTGAATTGGGCTACGTTGGGTTAGGTTAGGTTAGATCTGTAAATATTTGTATAATTTAGCCGCGATCACGTTAACGGCAATATATAATCGAATATTATTTTATAGTTGGTGCACTGTCCAATTCATTCATGTGTGATTTTAATGTACTACGTGCAGTGATGTAACTATACCGGATTATATAGAATTATTCAAATATTCATACGTTTGCATTAAATTAATATTGTTGTAGGGCTGTTTCGTATACTATTATTTACTCGATCACCTATATTGTATATAATATATATATATTGTATCAAACTGTAATAGCAAATTTTATATTTATTATAGTTATTATTGTTCGATTTATGGATCTTTTAGTTGATTTTATTTTTATTTTTTTTTTTTTTTTTTTTTTGATAATCACACCTTTAACAAAAAGGATTTCATATTTTCTTTTGAATACTTATAAAATATTATTCCAACGATTTAATTGCTACAGTCCAGTATTTGTCACGTATAACAGTTCGCTATTAACACACGTTATTTTCATGTATGTATTTATTTATTTATTTATTTATTATGTATTGCAGGTGATTGGGTTGCGAATTATCACAATTGGAGGAAGTGAAAATTTCAAATCATGAACACGAGATTTCACAAGTGAGTAAAAACTTTAGATTGTTGTAACTTTTGAAAAGTATGAAACCATAATTTATTATTCGTTTATATATCATGTAAAATCTGAACACTACTCGATTTATGTAACTTAAGAGTGAATTACAGTTACTTCGATTTTCTTGCAGTTATACTTATATAAATACTGCTGTGAAATGAGTAACAAGGTACTCTAAAAAAAAAAAAAAAAAAATTAACTATGTTAAATGATTCGTAACGATTCAATTAAAAGGAAAATCGCCTTTTTTTTAAAAAAAATATTGAAAAAAATAACTAGGTTTATAACAAGTGTCTCGTTTTTTTTACTGCTAATAGATAAAATAAACGAAGAATTTTGTGCAAACAATTATACTGAAAAAAACACCAAAATAATAAATATTTATCTAGTTTTTTCACAGAACACTTCTGTTTTAGGCGAGTACTGCTTTTTTTATTTCGAGAGTTACAATACGCCTAACTCTACAAAGCATTAAACAAGCTTTTTCTATTATAATACAATAGTATTAATTTTTCCAATAACACGAAGTAAAAACAATAATAGTATATTAGTAATTTGATAACCGTATACATTAAATCATTAACTAGCTTTAACGTTGGTAAATACGAGTAAGTGTATAATATATGATCACTTTGTTATTGATTTATTATATTCGACATGATATTACTCGTATATAATTACACAAATCAAAAATTCGGATTTTAACTTTACACCTGTTGAAATATTATTTCGATTTTCAAATCAATTTGTTGACGAATACTTTCACTAAAGCGTTTATACATTACAGTGATGATATATGTTCTAAAAAGAAGATACCTGCTGCTAGGTGTCTGGTGTATACAATTATATTGAAAACATTATATTGCACTTGTCATACTCTCTTTGTAATCAAATGTACGTCCATAAATTAATATAACATGCATACAACACTGTTTAAAATTCATAATTATATCAAAATTACATTAAAAAAAAAAAAATTAAAATCAATATACTTACTGCAGTGTCTTAATTTTCGTCTGTAAATGTCTATAGCGGCCCAATTCTATTGTATGCGACAAGACAATATAATGTAGTATTATATATGTTTGGATTTAAAAAGGCACTGGGAATCAAATCAAAAATGGAAATCGTACAAAGATGCCATCGTCGAAAGGTAAGCGACGACGGATGTGTGGTTATTTTGTTGTTTACGCGAGAATAAAACCAAAAATTCGGTAATTTATACACGCGTAATGTATTATGTATGACCGACAAACTTATGCAAATCGTCCGTGAAAAGTAATCATTAAAGAGGTGTTCTATATGTTTTTCTGACGATTTTCACTTACTTATAATATTTACGTACGTTTACGTGGTGCGCATCGTTTGAAACTCTCATAAAATGTATGTGTGTGTGCGCGTGTAATAAAAATGAATTAAATTTCAAACTGCTGTTTTCAAAAAAAACTAACAGTCATGCCATATGTCCTCGCCATATGTTATACTTTTAAACGTATAATACAGAAATTAGGGTGTTTGACGTGGGGGCACGAGTGGTTCTCAAGGACTCGGTTTATTCCATTGCATCACGGGTAAAGGTACACAGTACTAATAATTATTGCGTTTCAAAAAAAAAAAAAAAAATTAAGACCTGACTTTTAACGGTTTTAACCGGACGTAAAAAAAAAAATTTACTTTAATTTTTGTATGCTAGATAACGTGACGATAAACACGATATTGTGGCCGTAGTGCTCTGTTGATGAGATTTTTGGTGATTCCCAGTGCAGAAACTACGCGATCGACAAATAACACTCAATAAGTGGTATCGAGATAAAACAGCTAATCTATGCGTTTGCATAGCGATAATTAACGCGTTTTGTACGTGTGGACACGATTTTGTGTAAATTCGGTTAATTATTATTACCCACGGTGGCGGATCTACGTGGAGGGGGGGGCGGATAAAACCTCTAACAAAATCAGGAAAAATATATATTGAAAATCAATAATTTTATGAATTCAGAATAAGATTTTTTTTTTTTTAAAGTACGAGGGAAAGTATATCATTTGTATTTTTATTCATACAAGAAAATAGTAGTATTACATTTATATTAACGTATTGTATTACTTACTATTGTCTTAATTCATTATCAATCACTGACTGCAATGTTATAAAAAATATTCCAAAGGAAAACTTTTTTTAACCCCCCCCCCCAAAAAAAAAAAAAAATAGAAAATCCTGGATCCGCCGCTTATTACGCACATCGAATGTCGAGCGGAACGAAACGAACACTTATTCGAAATGTTAAAATAATATCGATTATTGATAGTCACTGCATTTTCTAATAGGACCGTTTATTATAATACACTGGCTCTGTTCGTGTGTCAGGCGGACACGATGCGTACGCGAACCGTAAACGTAATAATCTTGTGCGATCATTTTTAACGAAGTCGTACAACGTTATTATCGTGTTGCTATTACTACTAGTACTATTATCGTTTATTATTGCACCCACACGCTCAACGAGTGTTTTCCTTATTCTAATTATCGTTTCGCGCGCACTTTCCCCGCGCGGTGCAGGCGTAGTGTTCTCGCTTTTCCCAATTATTATTATTATTACAGTATTATAGATTCGTACCGAGTGATTGCGTTAAACTGCGACGCGGGCACACCGAACACACGAATTATTTTACACGATCGTTGTTCCGCGGAACGGATCCGTCTCCGCACCTGCAGCGACACAACAACCGTGATTCGCGCGACGGTCAAGACGGTTAATTATTAACCATAACCGCTAAGACCGCAACTGGCGTCACATGATTTTCGTTCCGAGCCAAGTGCTCTTGAAGCCGAACGACATTTTTTTTTTTTTTTTTTTGTTGTCGGTGAAACAAACGACGAGCGGAAATAAATCAATTCAATCGGAAAACGATGTATTTCACTCGGAAACGATTGTCCGAACGACTTTAACCGCGCGCGCAGATATCTAATGGAGTAATGATACGTGCACCCACATGTTCACTATGGTTAAAACGTGTATTGTTATTCAATACTTAAAAATCTGCTACGTGCATCCTTTGTTTGAGATTCGGTTTTTTTTTTTTTTTTTTTTTAATTGACTAAAATATCAATTCTACAGAAGTTTTGATGTTGATCGAGTATTGGATATTTCCGGATTTTCATTTTCCGACGGCGAATCTGTAAAATGTTTTCAACTGTAGATCGATGAGCTTTTCGCTGAATTACAAAATATAATTTAGTTCTTATCTACTTGTCGGCATTTCTCGCAAGCATTTTTAACTCTCCATCTGCTATGGTTTTTGTTACGAGTCGCCTCGTCTGCACAAATCATTAGCGTGATCAGTTAACGGCACAGTAAGGATGTGATTCGCTGTGATTTTTAATCCATAGTATTTTCAATCGTTCTCATTTCAAATCTGACAGTTTCAGAGGTGATTCGAGTTTTAAATAAAAACAAAATACTTACTAACGTTATTTTATTTTTTATTATCCGTATACCATGATTCTATGGCTCCAATTTTTTAAAAAACCATTTCAGCATCGAGGTTATAAGATATTTTGTCACCATAGTGTAGTACTTTATACTCCAAATAGCAGAATAATGTTGCATTCTTATACGAATTAACTAATTAATATATCTCACATACATTTCAGCACGTCGCAACTTACATCTCACCTTCTTTTTTTTTTTTTTTTTTTTTTTTTTTTTTTTTCTTTTTTTTTTTTTTTTTTTTTTTTTTTTTAATACTGTTTCCATTATTTTCTCTTTTTATACTCTTCTCGTCGGTAGGTTACTTATCTTACAACTAATAGAATAAAAAACAATTATCTTTTCTCAGTATATGTAGAACATTATATTCAGTAGTTACACTTATTAATTTTACGGTATAATAAAACGGTATTTGCATATTTAATGATTTTGTCCTGATAATATATACAATATAATACATAAAAGATAATGCCTGTTCAGTGGTTGGTTGGTACTTAATTATAAATACAAAACAATAGAGTAATAATAAAATATTATTAAAATAATCGTTTAGATGTTTAACATCGAATATACAGCGACAGTAAATAATTATTATGTAGTAATATAATATATTCATATTTTCTAATATGTATATTAATCAATAAAAATAACCAATGGCGAAAGTCAGACACATTTCATACTGATATGAGTAAGCCACTTATTTACATCTCGTATAAATTACACGCATTGTAGGTGAAAAAGATTCGTATTAAAAAAATTAAAGTTATTAAAGTTGAATTAGTGAGCGATGAGCCATGATTTTCGAAAGTGATTTTAACGCGATTTTAAACGAATTTCCGTCGTACGTATTTTCGACGGAACTAAAACTGTGTAGTTTAAATTATTCACAACCAATAATAACCTATCATTTTTTCTTTTTAAAATCGTTAACCTGCGCAATTGCAAATAATCTAAGAGTAAGCAAACTAGTAAATTATAACGTCTATTACAACAATATGCGGTCACAAGTATTTTTGTTCTCTGTTCAGATGTCGATTTCGGTACGTGTGAAAAGTTCCAAATATTGGTAGCCGTATATTTTAGTATATTTTATACAGAAGCACATGGAAATGTTTTTTTTTTTTTTTTTTTGAGGCTGATTGGTTCCGGGGACTCTTTACTTACACTTGTTTGGCCAAGATATACATACTACTCGTACATACTTGTACATATTTTGGTACAATAAAAATATTCAAACTTGCATCTTATGCGAATGGGTTTATAAAATAATTTTATATAAAAGGCTGAGACGCGACGGGCCCCGGTGCTCTAGTCCTCCCTGCCCCACCCTCTCACCAACCTCGATTGTATTTGCGCGATCCCGATTCGGGTTAAATGTGCAGTCACGTTATTCCGATCGCTCATTGTTCCCAAACGAACGAATCGTCAGCACCACACGTTTCGTTCGTAAGCTCTTTCGCGTGCGAACTACCATCCGCACCGCGTAAATCCGCGTAGGCATTCTCTATCCATTCCGCTATGCGGTGCAAATTGTTCGTTGTGCGACCGATCGCGTGGCCGTGAACACCGCAACGGATGATGCGCACGCCCGATTTCACGGGGTACGATCGGGCCCCAGAGAACACGTCCGCGTGCGGTTGGTGACACGGTAGGGCCGATAGCAGGATCGTGATCAATTTCGAAATCGCCATCGGACGACCAGCCCCGAGCGGACCGACTGCGAAACGGATTTCGAACGATTTTCGCCACGTGTTCGCACGCGCACGACGGCCGACCGCTTCAAAGGTCGAACGGGCGTCCGCCGTGCGTCACACGAGGTCCGTGGCCGCATTTCGATGCGTACGGCATTGTGCGTGGTCACGCGTACGCGCTGGCGACGGTGCAGACGAACGGTGCGCGGCCGAACAATAGCGATTCCGCCGAATCGGTCGGGTGGCCACCGGCAACGTTCGGTGCGTCGCGCGATGTGACGGCCTTCGGTCCGCGCGCAACGGTCGTCGCGCTTTGTCCGAACCCGTTCCGCTCACGACTCGTTCACGTCGCGGTCCGGCGGCGGGGGAGGTCCTGCGACGCGACGACCGGTGCAATGCCCTGCTCGACCCGGCGGTTCCGCGTGTTCGTCGACCCGACCGCCCGGCGAACTGCATACATCGTGTGGAAAAACCCACCGAGCACCATCGTACGGGATCCGGCCGATCGGGACCTCTTGGATATCGCATCACGTCGCGTTCGGGACGGCAGAGAAGAATATACATTTTATCTCCCGAGCGAAACGAGGGATGCGTATCCGGTTTTTCAGTATTTTGGCTTTAGGTGTAACAACATATTTCGTACACGTTTTAACCTGCCCACGGTCGATATTTCTCGATGAAGTCGGACTGTCGAAGACTTCTGATTCCGTTTAAGTGTGCCGACTGTAGGTTGAAGTCAACGCTAGACCGCGGTAAATGCCCCAGTTATACCACCCACCAAATGACGCTACCCATTTCATTGTATAGTACAGTAAAACATTTTTACGCCGGACCCCGTGCAAGACGGAATCGTCCACAAAATAAACGTTTTCGATAGTAATTACGGATAAAATTATAAACACATATATGATCATACTGGTTTTTTTTTTTCTTGTTACAAAATATATATTTACTATCCACTTTCAGTCCTAATAAGTGACCTCTTGAAATAGCCTGACCCACAGTTCTCTAACTGTGGATTCACCCCGGATATTAACTTTAACAAAGATTACAATTTACTAGTGGATGCATTTCGGGTGGAAAGGTCTAAGTCCCGTGGACCATCCACCACTTGGATATGTGTTCGATTACAACAATATACGTATTTATAAATATTTATTTGATAAACCAATTATAGTTTTGAAACGGAATCGAATTCTATAACGAAATTACGCATTCAATTTTTTTCTAAAAACATTAGCACCTTTATTCTAATTAGATTATAACACAATAGTTAATTTAGTAAACTAAGTTGTATAGGTCGACTTAGAGTAGGAGAGGACGACTATTATACGATTACAATTTCAAAGTTCGACTAACGAATATATTACTGGACCATGTAGTAGAATATTATTATATTTTACGGTTTATTTTGTTCTTCGGCGACGTGACAATATTGTAAAAAGAGGATTACACGTGACAATGTTTGGAATGTAGTCGAAAACTCATAGATTTAAGTTATATTTTATTGATGTATACATAATAATTATACACTCGTATACCTGCAAACGGTTTGATAACGATCCAATGTTCTCAATACTATTTGTTAGAGTATCAATCATGGAATTGGTTTCAAATAAAAAGAGTATATAATCGCAGATACTTAGTCTTAGGTGATCATAGTAAATATATTGTGCTGTAGCTCAGCGAAATGTTTTAACGTGAGTTTACAACATCGTCGTAATAACTATTTGATGCGTGTGGGTCAGCGTTATACTATATGTTCGAATGCATGAAACGAAAATCCGTATAAATGTTCGGGAACGTCTCTAAGACTCAATTGAAACACGAACCTGAATCAACAATAGACATTCCAGTATGATATATCGAAGTCACATTACAAAACTGCTTTCTAGTTGCTCCAAGATTAAGGACACACCGCCGCTACCGACGCGTCGGCAACACATGCATTGTCCTTTCACTGGGTCAACAATTAACGGTCTAAAAATATCCAAACGTAGTTACTAACTGTTATTAGATAGTATTTCACAATCACGCGAGTTATGTTCGCATTTTGCATAATATGATGCTACGCAATTTTAAATTTAATTTTTACGTTCTTTTAGGGCGGCTCAAGACGGTTTCGTGAATATACTGAAAGAGGCGACGAAAAGAGATTGTAATGCCAAAGACGAAGATGGAATGACACCAACGTTGTGGGCGGCTTTTAAAGGACACCTGGAAGCGTTGAGAGTGCTCGTCGGAAGAGGGTAAGCACATCTGTATCGAAATCATGTTTATTGAAATAAATAATAGATTGTATAACAACCGGTAGAAAAGTGTGACATTCAGATCCCGAGACAAATTGGTTAATGTTGGTTCAGTTTTAGTAAAAAAAAAAAAAACAATAGTGACAACGTAATAACAAAAAAAAAACCAATGAATAAATAAACGATAAAAAAAAAAATACGAGATATAAGTAAAGACTACACGGTTTATTTACACTTCATAAGAACACCAAGATCGATGACACTCTATAATATGTATAAAATAAGCTGAAACATTAATATTATAACAACTATAAAAAATAAACAAACCGTAACTTCAATGGACCAAACGTGAACGTTTATAGTTCATAAAATGATTCAGCATAATTCAGTGGTATTATTTAGACGCTTATATATTTATTTAAATAGATGAGCTGTTACTTCTTCCCCAACTATCTATACCCAATCATTTCACTGTGTTTGGATTTAAACTCGAATAAAAATCACCTGTGTTTAATTATGTTAATTTACAAATTCATCACAAAGTAAAAACATATCTCTGAAACTTGAGATTTTCACTGGGGGTAAATTTTTTTTAATAGTATGTATATACGTCTATTTTCAGGGGTGATCCAGAAAAATGCAATTACCATTTAGGACAAAACGCATTACATCTGGCCGCATCCAAAGGCCATTTGAGTTGTGTAGTATTTCTGGTGGGTTTTGATGTTAACCTATGGGCTTTGGATTTGGATTTTCTCACGGCAATGCAATTGGCAGGCATACACGGCAAATCGCAAGTGCTTCAGTATTTGGACAAAGCTGCCGCATTACAAATAATGCAAAACAAGTAAGACTGGAAAGCGTTTACTTAACATATATAGTGTGTGGTAAGATGTTTAAACAAATTTTTACTATTTGTAGGAAAAAAGTCGAATCCAAAAAGGAAAAAGCACAAAAAGATGCGGAACGTAATCTGAAGAAATATGAAGAACGAACCAAGAAAGAAAGAGAGAAAGAAAAAAAACAAATTCGAAAAGTCGAAAAAGAATATTTAGGTGGCAACAAAGCGGACTCTGAGACTGCTATACCGACAGTTCGAGCGGTACCTTTATCGTAAGTATGGACTGACAGTTAATGCATATTTGAAAACCATATTTATTAATTAATACCTAGAGATCATATCGACTGGTAAAAAGTAATAAGCGATTTATTTTAGGGTTAAGTCCACTAAAGAAAACTACGTTCCCCTAACAACAAACGCTTCATGCTTGGTCAATACTTTTATCGTCAATCACCTTTTATGATGTTGATATTATGAAATACATATGCATGAGCTTATGTTATTTAGACTGCTCGTTATAAATCACTTTCTATCGAGACCCGTCTCTGATCTCTCAGTTGTAAATAACATTTATTATCGATACATTGAATCCGTATAGTGTTGAACTTTTCAGTCTGTCTATAAACGTCTGTAATGTGACGATAATACAGTACTAATACATATTGTAGAGATGTATAGTTTTACAAATCAATAATAATTAATCTGATGTGGTGGTTATGTAAATTTTCGATTATCTCACGTAATAGCTAAAAATCGACTGAAAGGAAACACACACACATATGTATATATTTATATATATATGTACTTTCATGGGTTACATTAGAAATCAGTTGTAATAAACGGATGTCAAGGCTAATTGTATGTAATGAGTTATTCGACGAGATCACGGTTTATTTGAAATATTTTAATCGAATGGTAAGATCCGTCCGCTACAGCAGTTCATGGAATATTGTTTTTTTTTCTTACTCAAGTACCGATTGACGACTGAAAATACGTTCACACAATATTTTTGGTGTTTTCAACCATCAGATAATAATTAATTTCTACGTTCCCTTACGTGTATAAAAAAAAAACACGTGTTAAGGCGTCGAAACGCGCCATTAGATTTGTTCTTGTTTCTGGCACGCGTGTGCTGCATAATAATATATGTACCAGTAATAAAATATATAATAGTATAGTAATGATTTGCAAACGATCGCAGGCTGCGTAAATCGTCGTCAGACCTGTCTTGCAAGTCGTTCACGGAAATCGTCGGCTCCGGTACCGTGAAAAAACCGTTCACCAGCTCGAGCGGCGTGAAGAAGATATTGGACAGAAAACTGAAGGCGGCGGACGGGCACAATAAAACCAACAAATCGGCGTTCAGGTTGCAGTCAAAAGAGGCGAGTGTTTTGTCCGTTCTATTTCCCTTCTTTTGTCAAAGGATTTGTGCCCACAGACGTAACTAGGTCCCCGAGTTTTGGTTGACATAGTGCCTCGAGTGTTTGTCCAGAGAAAAAATAAGTCATAGGGCAAGGCTCCCGTACCGCAATACAAATCCGTTTATTTCCGTTTTTTTTTTTTTTTTTAGAAATCATTTCAAAACGTTTATAACAGCTATTTGATTGTAAAAAATATTAACGCGTAAACACCATGCGCAGATAATAGCGTACTACTAAAAACACCGATTTATATGGTCGGTATGTCTCATAACTTTTTTACAAATTTATTTACCGACTGTAATAAACAACAGTTTATAGTGGTAAGTGTGTAAAAGAAAAACAACTGGTATGTTTGTGCTACGTCTGAGAAAAAACTGTGCACGAACATAGCTTGTAAATAGTTTTTGAAGCGCCCGAGCCCCAATAACTATATAACCTAGTTACGTCTATACGTACAAATGCCTAAAATTCGGGCGAGGCTTATTACACAAACAAATAGCCAAGGATGAGTTCCTACGCTATAACAATATATGCAAATCGAAACGGGAATAAAAATAATAATAATAATAATAATACATTAACAATACAACTGAAATTACAATCCTGTCGTCATTGCAAAACCACGTACAGCATATTATTATAAATCTTATTATTATTATTTATATTATTATTGTAATCGTTACGTAAATGATCTGCAGGTCGAGGATAGCACGAGCGTACGTACCATAACGTCTAACGGAGATTCGCAGATTATTTATGTCAACTCGTACGAAAACGAGAACGGAGGTAAATATGTAACAATATAATAATAATAGCATCGACGGTACAGCAATATAATATGCATCGGAACGTAACGGTATAAGAGTATATCTATAGTAACGCAATCTGGGAATGTACGTACGCCACCGGGGATCCGATCAAAAATTGTCCAAATAACATGTGACTAAGTTCAACCGAATTGCTTACGATTCGGATTCACCACGTAAGAATACGATTAGATCAAGACTTAAAAATGATGTTCGTCGCCTTTTTAATCATCTTACCTATTTTCCGTATGGTCTAAGACCTATAAATTGCCGAAAATGTATATTATTGTTTAAAATATTCGATCGAGTCTGCTACGAAGTGAGCATAATGTGTTAAGTACAATTAATGCACTGATGATTATCGTAAGATTTTACGTAAAATAAGTTCAAAATGGTTTCTAATTTTTTTTCAATATTTTGTAATTTACTGAAAGTTATGGAACGTTAGGGCAATTTCCTACTCATCGCCATTTCCGCATAATTATATGGGTATTTTTTATGTTTTAAAATCGAAATCGAAACTCAAGTGGTTTTTTAATTTTATAAAAAAATATGAAAAAACGTTTGGTAATGTTTTTTTTTAACTGTTTTCAATAATACCATCAACACTACGTTTGTATAATAATTTACGGAATTGCTAATGTTGTGTACAAGAATACCACCACGTTTTTTTTTTTATTTTACTCGATTTCTGGTAGTCGTGTATAGTTGCGATCGGTCGAGTGCCGATAGTTCATAACAAGATCAGAAGAATATAAAATAGCGACTGTAAATGTAAACAAAAAGTAAATAATTACAATATAATAGAGCGAGCTCATTGGTAAAAATTAACCATAATAGTACCGAGGTATACACTGAATACCAATGACCGTTACCGTCAGTAAAGAGTTTGCTTCGGTTAATAATGATGATAAGGAAAAAAAGAATTTTAAATAGGGGAAAAAAGTGTTTACCTTCGGTACACCCAACTGCTGTCGTGAACCTCCAGTAGTACCTACCTATTACGGGACAATAGGTGTCACTGCGATATCCCGTACGTTTGAGAATACTTTTGATTCTCCGGTCTATTAAGGATATATAGTGACAGCAACAGTAGCATCATAGAAAACGATAAATGAGCGCGCCCAATCGATGAACCTATACCGTAGAATTTTCAATAGTCCTAAGGACTAGTCAAAAGATTTTAGGTCAACCCGCGAGTGTTCTAATAATGATTTTATATTATATATATTATTTTTATGGTCATTATTATTTGGTTCTACTGTGTCAACACAGTATACCAGTGGTGTGTACAAATGGGTGGAGGGGCTTGATCGGGATAAATCTCCTTCGAGGACTAAAAAAAAAAAAAAATCTCATTTTTAAACGGTTAGAATGAAAAATATGCACATCATGAATGTTTAAACGAGTGTATAAAATGTAGTGTTGGTCATTTATGACGGAATCACAAAAACATTATTTCTTACGTCCAAGAAAGTATAGAAATAGACGTTTGATTTTCTTTTTTTTATTTAAATGCAGCGCCTTGTTATGTGATAGCCATTTCTCCTTGTTAGTTACTAGGTTCTTCAGCTGTGAGTATGAGGTTGTGTTCATCAGCAGCATCAGATCCTGGAAGCAGAAAGTTTTAGGGCGTCCTCTACTTCTTCTCCCCATGATCTTCCCTTCGAAAATATTGTTGATGAAGATGTTGTGTCTTATGAGGTGTCCGATGAGTTACGTTTTTCCTCTTCGATATGTAGTATATGATGTTCCTTTTTTCTCCAATTTCTTTCAACACTATTTCATTGATCTTCGGTTTGATATTGACATATAAACCATGTATACAATTACATTCTCCCTCCCCTTTCCCCGCACAAGAAAATTGAATGTATGCCACGTGCATGCCGCACACTATAATAATATGTAATATTAACAATACCATATAGTGTAATATAAGCTTCACCATCTTGTCTTCCAGATGTATGTAATTATTTTGTATAGTGGGATCTCGAACCGTTCGATTTCGCGAATAAAATATACCTACGATAAAACCGCACTATAATAGTCACACGAACACCGCCACCACGCGTTTGTAAATATAGTAAAATTTTTGGCGTTTTTCAGGAAAAAGAGGCAGAATTTCGGACGTCTTTGAATTGCACCGTACGAATTCGCAACCAGACTTCATCATGAATCTACAGAACAACGATCTGAACAAAATCCACAGACACGATCAAGGGAGCATGTTCGATCGACCGGGTTTCGGAAGCGTTGCGTTTAGACAAAAGTAATTATTACTCTCTCTTTTTCTCTCTCTCATACACACACACACACACATATTTACAATATTCGTGTTTGCAACCGCATTGTGTACAGCTATCGTGTTACGACACGGCGTACATTACTACGCATAGATAATAATACACCGCGAGCGGTTTTTGTGCGATACAACTGCAGTTTAAAACTAAATCATAGATAAAATATCGTTTAAGAGAGTAATAGCAATCGTGAGCATCACGGCGCATCGACCATGTTACACGACTTTTTGGACTTAAAAATGATTTCTATAAACGCACACATAATATATATATTTGTATGTGTGTGTAATTCACGAATCGTTAACGTTAAACGAATCTAGTCGAAATACGACTACATACCGTTTTTTCACCCTCGTCGTGTGAACGATAGATACATATTGTAAACACATTTCGATTGAGGGTCGAGTCTTAACTCGAAAATATCTAGTAAAAATACTTCAGGCTCCATCATTTTTTTTTTTTTTTTTTTGATTGCACATTCGCTATATTCGTGAATCCACGAAACCTTAACAATATTATTTTTCAGTGTTACTACGATTCCGGTACCGGACGTGTCCAGAGCTACTGTTGAAGACGAGTCGTGCAGTATCGGCAGCGCTGGTAGCCTGGTGAAGCGGAACCAGCCGAGCAGCACAATGTCCTGGGACGAATTTCAGAACAGTGACGGTAAACACGCAAACGAAATATTCGTTGTTTCTCGTCGTGTATATACAGTGTATATATACATGTATATTATACACGTGTACACGTCTATAAATCTATTATACCGGGGTTGGGCAGAATAAATGTATAGCTCTGCCGTGGGACGTGTTCGATGGGAAACGGCGGTAGGTCTACGGCGGGAGTAAATACACAGAAAAGGAAAAAAAAATAGTATAACCAACGGTACGCGTGATAATTTAATTATTCGATATCGGAGTAGTGAATTTCAATCGGATCCTATAACCAACACTATGGTGCCATAAACCGATGTGTACATGGTGATTTTTTTAAGTATGCTCACCCGTTTGATTAAGCATTTGCTCACATTAATACTGTCGGAAAATGTATGTCATAGATTTCTCGAGGAGTATCCAGTGACAATATCGACTGCTTTTGTTTTTTAACTCTACATTTTCTACTCGCATGATTAATCGGTTGGTTTTTCTGGAATTTTTAAACTTGGCCGACAGTTGCACCATAACGTTCGGAGTTATTCAAGTATGTGCAAGAAGTGTATCGATAAATGAAAGTGTTTCGGTATATGTATTAAAAAAATGATTGAGTACTTCTTATTCAAACCGTCGTGATAAAAAAACAAAAAAAGCTGTTTTGAGTAAAAAAAACATCCGTAGACTATGAAATCTAAGAAGAAGAAAATAAATATCGATTTTCCAAAAATCGTAATTTGAAAAATTTGAAAATCAAAGACAGCGTGGGTGAGCAATCCAAAGGAATCGACCTGTACGTAACTCACAAAACTTCGCATCGTTTAATAGATGGAGCGTATGTAGGCGCGGGGTACATAATTAATCAATCGCGTTGTATAATCAAACCTTGTCATAAGCGCACAGGCCCGCAAGCGTCGTAGTCGTACGCTCTGTGTGAATTTAAACTGTCGATGTACGAAAAACAATGCGAAGACGTATATTGGAACTGAATAAAATATTGCGCACGCCATCGCCGTGTAATTAAAACGTTCACTCGACTCGAACTTCACCGCGTCTTTTCCTTTCTAAACCGTACACAACCTCCGGTACAATAATTATACACTCGCACGTATATATATAATACACGTGTATCCCCGCACGTGGAAAAAATAAAAACCTCCACATGCAAAGCTTATCGTTTACAAGTATCCTTCCAATTTGTTGTACGACACGTAGATCATCGTTACTTTCCGTTGGGTGTACGCGAAAAATCGTTACAAAAACTTGGCGAAAACGATAAAAATCTAATTTACGGTTTCAGCCGGTCCGAACCCTCGGGGAATCCCCCCCCCCCCCCAACCGCGCGTGCAATAATCGTTGCGATAAACACAAGCTGCGAAAAAAAATAAATCACCATTCGATGAAAAATGTTGATTAAGACGTGAGCGGTAAACTCTCTCGGGCAACATTCACGTACCGTAAAGGATTAACTCGAATATCTATTGTGACAGCATAATCGCAAGCGTGTACGCACGTGATGATCTGCTTATACGACTGCTACATATGGAGGTCTCTCGTTGATCAGAATTAACCAAACGCTTATATTACGTGTGGGAGGAAAAACCTTTTATTCATTTTTTTTCAATTAAAAAAAAAAAAAATAGAGCATTTAATAGAGAAATTTGTAACGTTTCTTTCCGCAACAAGCGCGCGCTAACGTTCGTCCTATAAGCAATAAAATATTTATAAATGGTAACACCGACAATTAGGCTCATATTAGTTTCTACTACAAGACGGTCGTGGGGGCGATTGCTATGATTTATTATCCATCTTGGGCGGTCATGACACTTAGAAACTTTGAGAAGTGAAGGGGTACCTGTTTGATCCGTTTCCACGTGGATGTTTAGAAGGGGTAAGGTATTGAAATTCAAATTTTGTTAGGGTAATAGTACAGTGTGTTTAAAATAAAGTGGGCCTTAAAGTCCAAAACATTATTTACAGTCCTAGAAACGCTACCGAGAAGCCAAATCGAAGTACAAAAAAAGTATAACAACAACAGTTATATGACATTTGACTCGGAGTTTTTTTCCACCGAATAAATACTGGCGATCATCTTAGTTTCGATCAGTTTTCAGTCATTACCTTGAACATTTCAAATTTGCAAAACAATGAAACAATAAATCGACATTGTCGGGAGAATGCTCGAAAAACATCCCACTCCTTCCTTTTCCACATATAACAAATAATTATTTGTAGTTATACTGACATAGTCACCTAACCGATGTATCCGTCGCGTTTCAGAGGAAAACATCGCGTTGAACGGGCGCAGTGCCAAATGGTCGCTGGTGAACAAGTTCTTGGTGTCGGCGGGCGTGAGCGAGTACGTGGACAAGTTCGTCGAGCAACGGGTGGACTTGGACGCGCTGTTCATGCTGGACGACCAAGACTTGATCTCCCTCGGGCTACCACTGGGCCCCAGAAAGAAGCTGTTGAACGCCATCGAAGAACGAACGAAGAAACGCGGCGGTGCAGGACACCTCGCCACTATTACGGACAACGAATCCTGCAAACTCGAATAAAATATGCTAACACATTGTTATTATTTAATCGCCCGTGTCGTTAAGCTGTTCATTTTTAATATTTTCAAGTATTGTGTAGCGTTCGTGTGTTTCGCGTACACCAATATTTTTTTCTAGTACACGTGTGTGTTTGTGCAATTTTTTTCTACGACTTTTTTTCATGTACACTTTTTATACGTTTATATACTTTTTGGTACCTATGAATTTGTAATATTCCATTTATTGTATAGTACTACTTTGATCGTTCTTTTTTTTTTTTGTTTTTGGTTTCGTATAACGTGCCTATCTTAACTACAATTACACTATTGTACAAGACTTAATTGTCTATGACATTTACTATTGTAAAATATTATAATTTTTTTTTACTTATGTTGCATACGATTTTTTATAATCATATAATATACAATTTTTATACTGCGAAACAATAACACCGAAACATACTATTATAATTTTACACAGAATTACTATAATATTAAGTACTTACAGTGTTATGAATAGGGTTCAAGACTTATTGTACAAATATTTTAGGAAATATGCGTATAAATATGCATTTAAAATAACCAAAATATGCAACTGATTACTTTTTTAATGACCGTTAAAAATTTTGATTTATTAATTTAAATTTAGACATTTTTTTATTTAATATTTTTTGACAACAATAATACTATATACATTATATTAGTGTGTATGTTCAATTTCATTTTCTTCGTCTTCTCCTACAGTGAAGAAAAACAACTAAATACTTATTTTTCTTTTACATTCTCTAAACGAATTACGATAAACGATAGTAAACGTAGGAACAAGGTATTTCCCTTGTTGACCTGTCCAGACTCGTTCTATGATTACGTATATTGACCGATGCATGAAAGTAAAAAAAAAAAAAAAAAGTTAACCTTTAAAATAAACTTAAAATCAAACGAAAACTGTTTAAATATGGTGTAAATAACAATTAAATTGGCCAAAATTTGTCAAATATGCGTTTTACTCAAAAAAAAATATGCTATTCGAATTTTCGTATTTCAATCCGTTAAGACTTAGAACGTTAAGCACAAATCCGTTAAGAACAAATGTATATCTTACTTAGATTATTCTGGAATCATTATTAAATAATATGCAAATGCATGAAGTTCCGAACCCTAGTTATGAATAATACAAGTGAAACTTTCCCAACATTGTTTTTGATTTACGTAAAACAAATACGTTTCCGCAGAAGGACAGAGAACACACGCCGTCGATGTCTTTAACCGAATAAGTAAATTGCTACTGCTGTTTTATTGTTAATTTAAATAAGTATAACTGACTAACTAAAATATTATGACGATCACACTGTATCCAACATTCCGAAAAAACGAAATCGGTGTGATGATGCAACAATCGTAATTTATTTTGCTGTCTGAAATGAAATGAGGGTTGGAGCCTGCGGTTTTCGGGCAAATAAATGATTTGGCTACAGTTGTGTGAAACGCAGCCCCGCGCCGATGACGCACGTACACCGTGGTTATGGATTTCAATTGTTCCGGCGAAAACCGCGATCTGCCTAAATTACGTACAGATCGATTCAAATATTCTCATCGTTTCTCAGTAAACGTGCAAACACTAATGTTGAAATATATACCACAACAGAGTACAACGTGTCTATAACTAATTTTCATGTGTCGTGCAAGTCGTCCGTACGCACGGATATACAATAAAAAAAGAAAAAATAACAAAATTACATCACAAATCGTATGTGATGTAATTTAGTTATTTTTTCCTATATTTTTTATATATAAGTGGATAATTATTAAGCAAGCTCGTATATGTAATATAAAAAATATTGATCGAAACGCGACACCGTGAGGGTCGGACGGATAAGAAAAATGAAAGGCAGTAAAAACATACTTGATTATTATTGTTTTAATTTGTTTAAATATAAAAATGCAAAAGTCTACGAGAAATTTGAAACACGAGTGAAAATAACAAGTTTAATGAAAAAATCATATTTATATGAGTAACAGTTCTATAAAAATTCAAAATATTTAATATTACCTGAATTATCCGGTTTTGGCAGAGTGTAAAATATTTGTGTATTACCATACACCTCCCCGTAACCGTACTCGTCAAAGTCCCATTCCCGTCCCATTCTCGATTTCCGTCAATAATATCCAGACGATTTCTTGCAAAATGGTCCACGTTGTGCATAAATATTTATAAATAGCTTTAAATGTTTTCTGGCCAATGCTAACATTCTCTGTGACTAATGGCAACCCATTGTAAACAAGAATATATTTCGGAAACGTCGTACAACGGCTCGGCGACCACCTGTCTCATCGACGGTTCCACTGGTGTAGGTAATGCGCCCACGGCCGGCCGTTAAGTTAGGTTAGGCGGCGGCCTTTACGCTAGTAATATTTTGTTATCAATAATTTAATAAATTCATTGTTATTATTTAAATATTTGTGTCTTTTCAATATGATTTAATGATATTTTTGAATTTTTGTATTTTTTCAATTTAATCTACTGATTATACATATTTACTAACAGTTTAGTTTGACATTTTGATGATAACAATTTTTCCGGATAATTAATTTTAAAGATCGTCAATAGTCTTGATATATATGCGGCCCGCGAAGGTATTCTCGTATGTGGTCTGTTACAATTTTTTAAAATAAAACAATATTTCATGAAAAAAAATAAAACTATTATTTTATTTTTATTAATTTATTATTTGATTTTCGGACATTTTCAAATAGAAGTTTTACGATTTCACATCGATATAACCCGTGCACATAACAGAGCGTAGTGATCGAATAACTATGTACACACAGCGTGTACGTCAATCTGTAATCTTTGCAATAGTCAATAAAATATATGAAAATAAGTCCATTATGTATACTATATACCAGGGGCGGCCAAACGGTCGATCGCGGACGATTTCAGAGTCGATCATGTTAGAATTTATTTTTAGGCCACGTGCACGAAAATTAATCGTAGTGGTTATGAACAAATTGTTGATAAGCTTTATCTGTATAGTTTTTGTCTTTTATTCTGGTTTATAAAAAAAATTTCCAAGAAAGTCGATCTTCAAAGGTGAAGTATATTTTTAGTAGATCGTGGTCGAAAAAAGTTTGTCCGTCTCTGCTATAAACCTTCTATGTGTAACAAAATTATATTATCAGATTAATATTGACATTATTCGTACTTTTATATTTGGTTGACTCGAAGATAATTGTTTACCAAAGTGGCCTAGGAAGAAAAGTTGAGCATCACTGGTCTTGATGGACCGTTTGTTACGTAATAGTTAGTTTTTGCAGTCTAACGCAATAGGTATTGTTTTCTAATGGTTATGATTTAATATATTTGATGCACAAAATAAATGTTGACGTATCTCAATTATTGTTTCTTTAAATATTATATGAAGTATCTTAACGAATTCGGGAATTATTATAGGTACGGTTATGAGTCATGGTGATTGTTTTTTCCTTAATCTAAAATTACATAAATAATAATTTAATATTGTTATCATATCGGTAGTATTTAATTTGATAAAGAGCACTCGATAGTTCATTTGATTTATACAGACAACTCCGTCACAGGTGTCATAGACAACGGGTCTTGGTTGGTGCGGTACGGTAAGTCTATCGCATGTGTTTGTCTTACTTCGATTTATTGTTCGTTTTATAACATCACAACACGTGACAAAATCATTATGCATGCGTTTTTCGGTCATTTTTAACTGGTTAATGAAGATACACACAAATATAAATTAACTTTAATTAAAAAACACACTTATGCGTTAAAAGTGATAAAATCCATTGAAAAATAAAAGTTTTTAATCGATTTCCTATAACATGTGCAGAAATGAGTGGAAAGTTATTTTATAAGTATTAGGTACACAATGAACAATTGTTTTAACTCGCAATTCAAAACATTTCTTAGTTGAACCCATTAGAATTGCGCGAGGAAAAAAACACGAAATGCGTATGGATTTTTTGTATTATCGTATAAACGTCAAAAATCATCGAGTTACATTTCATGAGACGATATTTAATAATTATTCGCCATCGTGACGGCGTCCAATATCGGTTTGTAGTCTCGTATAATATACATATATATCGACCCATATTTAATCCGTAATGTGGAGTATTCAACATACCGTGCCGGGTTTCGGTTTATCACGACCACGAATGCAATACGTGTTCCCGCGAACGTTGGATTGCGTTAGAACATTACACAATATACAACTGTACAATATTATTACGTGTACGGCGGTCCTACGGCGACCGTACATCAATGGATCCAATTGCTACCGATATCCATGAATATCGGTAGGAACTCGGGCTATCCCTTCACTCCGACCGATGGTCGCGTACGGATAATTCACCTGCCGAGTGCATGCACGCGTTCACTCGTTCACGCATCACGTTCGCCGTTACGTTTCCGCCCTCCCCATGACCTAATATCTATTGCATTTCATTTATTTTATCGCCCGAACTGCACGTTTTAAGAAAACCGAAATCGGTACCCATAATCGAATTGTTATTCACGTGGTACTTTTTGATTTAGGTATTATAATGTGCACCTAAGCACTTAGTAGGAGTCGTGTGAAATTGTGTTACACCGTTGGCAGGTTGTTGTTGATTCGAGAACCTTCAAAGAAAAAGAAAGTGTTAAGTGCTCTACATTTCATCTGCTTATTAAGTAATGATTACTATCGTCACTGCACACTCTCGTCATTCTCTTGAGAACAAAAAAAAAAAAAAAAACTCACTTAAGATTTAGTAGCTTATTAATTTTTTTTTGATGTTCGATTTTCTAAAAATACGTGATGTTAACTTGATAAATTTTTCTTTTACATACTTTCCATATTGCCATAACAGATATTCAGAGATTCGTCTTGTTTTTTCATAAGTTTGCATACCGTTCAAGATAACTCGATATTGTTCCACTCGTTTGGTCTCACTCTTAATCTTGATCACGAAACAATATCACACAATCACATACCAAAACATACAGTTATCTAACCAGCCAAACCTTGGATAAACAATAAATATTTACAGATCGGTATCAGACTGATAAAATACAACTTTGTAGGTTTATTTTTCAGGAGCTGAGAGTAAAAAAATAACGGTAATATGAATAAGACGCAAAGTACAAGGAACAGGAACAATTTAATATTTTTAAGACTAATAATCGATAAAAACTTCTTAATTTAAAATGAGACAAAAATTATCATTTTATTTGTATTAAACGTATGTTGGAACAATAATTAAAATTTGAGTTACATACAATTTTTATTTTAAATGTAACAATCACTTTCACAATGAATAAACTAATAAATTTATACAATTAATGAGCTACGTCTAAAATTGTTAAGAATTAGATGTTATGATTACAAAATAATTATAAGCTTTTAGTTATAAGAAAAAAAAAACAATAAAATGCTAATGGATTTATATTTTTTGATAATTTGTTAACTAATTAGTGTTATTAGACTCACTGACTATTTTTGTATACAAAAGATGAATATCTCATTATCATTAGATAAAATGATTACCTATCAACAACTTTTGTGTCTTAATAAAAAACATAACCATTAAATATTGATCAAATTCAATAAATGCAATGCAGATGAAATATATTTGATACATGAAAAATTATGGCCCATAATATGAAAGAAATGTTGATCGCAGTATTCTATTTGTCCGTTTTAATTTGATTTCATATTTCTATTCCTGACCTATACTCTAATTTCATAGACGATGGAGACAACATTTAAATCTTATTGAACTAAATTAATTTGAAAATCTATTTTCATTGTTGTTTCAATTCATACATTATTACATCAATATGTAAATGTCATGAAATATCCAATAGAAATATCACTCATATTTTGGGAGACCCTTGATTATAGCTTACTTAAATTGTACCTTCCTCAATTCAAACACGTTTTTACCTTTTTTACAAAAAATATAAATATGTGAATGTTGGTTTAAATGCATTGAGAAAAAATTATCAATTTTAAAACAATAACAAAACAAATTCAAACAAAATAGTACTTTGAATGGATGTTTTCGAACAAAAAAATATTTAATTACACAATAAGTGACATTGGGGAGTGGAGAGCCATTCATCTAAAATACAAATACTAAATCCAGTAATTATTTTTGTTAATTTATAAATATAATATATTTTAAACATAGCAATACTGAATCTCAAATGTTAAAATACCTACAGCAAAATTTTAAGGACAAAATAAATATACATCTAAATAATACATTGATTTATATAATAAATTTAGTATCTATCAAAGTTAATTAAAATAATAAAATACAGATATTACTTAGAGGATAATTTATAATCTAAACTAAAGTTATTTACATTTTATTGACTATCAGATAGGGTTTAGGGGACGGGGTAAATACTTGAAATGTAAATTAAAATGCTTGAACTTTTACACATCACTCACTAAAAGTAGAAAAAAACATTTAACACACAAATACAACAATATAACAACACATAAAAAATAAAAGTAGTAAACGCATAATACGAGCAAAATGTAATTATTACACGGTTATACATTAAATAGAAGGTACTATAGCTGAATTGCAGGAGTAGGATTGAAAATAGTAGCCAAATAATAGCTTTAATATGCTTTTAAATGGCACAACAACAAAAAAAAATAAGTCTACCACACATTTTTTAACATTATTTTGTATAAAAATTTAAAGGCACTTGTTACACATTAATTAATTAATGAGATTTTTTCCAGGTTCAATATCATCACACTAAAATACAATTTAATATGAACCTATTAAATTCGTAACGATTCCTCAATCAGTCAAAATCATTATTATCAGCACAGATAATATATACTAAACTTGACGTACACGGAGCATAAAAAAAAAATAAATATTTAAAAACTTAAGGCGGTATTTAATTCATAAAATAAAAATGCCATAAAAACTAGTCGTTGCAGCGCGTTTTGGGCTGTCAGACAAAAACTGACTTCAAGTATCGTTTAAATAGAAATACAAGGACATGAAAACATAGAATAAAATCACAAACAACCAGAAACTGAACTTCATAATTCTTGGTCTAGTTGTGATCTTCTTGTTCTCACGACGATGTACCACTCACAAAGGTCTGGTGAAATTGGCTGGAAACATTTTCTTTTCACCAGAATTTTCTTTAACTCCAATTAACCAGCCTTCCTCCTGATCGAACAACAAAAACTTTGATTATTTACCACTATTAACAATAGTTGTCTAGTAAAACATGACTTGCCTGAGTTTCTGGATCATCGTAGGGCACTACATTGATAATTTCACCCTTTTCAAATGATAACTCATCTGTATCTTCAGCATCATATTTGTAAGTCGCTATCACTCTATAAAGCACTCCTGGAGGTAAATTATCAGTAGTAGCTCCTAAAAAGAGAATATAGGTGGGTCAATTTTAATTTATACGATGATCGCATATAGATTGCTTAAACTGTAATACAAATAATATTAATATTTCAGTAGGAAAAACGTCTAATCCTATAGGATTCCATATAGGAATGAAAAAACACGTATGAGTGAAACAACACCAAAACGGTTTCTGACAGATTATTATGACTATAAATCAAGCGATTATTAAGTAAAAAAAAAAAAAAAAAAATAAATCATTGGAATTAGAATGATTATAGAAATCCATTGTTTTAGGGTTGAAAAAAATGCGGTTAAAACCGAGCTAAATCAAATGGGACGCGTACCTGGCGGAATGTCGATTTCAACGGTTAAGATTTTATTACTGCCATTCTCGTGTCTAACGGGCGCGACACCGTTGACCGGCGGACTGCTCTTGCCGTTCATCAATGACGGTTGCAACGGTAATGATGATTCTTCTTCGGCGGACACCACTTTTGATGCCGACACGACGTCATTATTACTGTTGTCAGGCGGTGGTTTACTACTTACGAAAGCCAGTTGAGGAGACGTCGACGATGAACCCGGAGATTTCAAACCGTCTTCTTCTACATTATGCATTAGTGTCCACACACAAAAATCATTAGTAATTGACAAACGAGACGATATCATTATACTACATACTACCACTAACTACGAAAATGATAATTATAGACTAAAATTATTTAATGTAATTACCATTCATGGATATCGGAGACACCGGCGATTGTGATCTACATAAAAACAACGTAACATAAATTATAGCAAAGGAAATGGTTTACTTGATTTTTTTTTTTTATACTAAAATATAACAATACAATATATACGCACGCGGATTGAATACTGTTGTTGGTGATGTTGTTGGAGGTTTTATTTCCTAAGAAGTAGTTTAACATTTTCGACTGGTGTTGATAATCGGTTGCTAATTTATCGACAATTGATTCCATGTCGGAAAATACCTGATAAAATAATGTTGTCATTTACAATAAGAATTATAATATTGAACTATAATCGTTACAACAATACTTATTTAATATTATTACACTGGAAAAGAGATGTCAGTTTAGTCTTAAAAAAATTATTACGATTCATTTAACGGAAAATCATATCATTGAATTATTTAAATTATCATTTGATACTCAAGGAAAGAAGACAGGAGTATAATAGAAGTTTATTTTGTTTTCACGTTTACGTACTTTTGACGATTCGCTATGAAATAACTGTTCGGCAGCGAAATATGGTTGCAGATTGGTGATCAAAAACAACACCCTAGAATTGTACAAAGCGGGTAACTCATCGTGCAGCTCCGTATTGATGAGGTCGAACTTTCGTTTGACTTCGTCGAATTGTTCTTTGGCTTTCATCATTTTTGCTTCGTCTTTTTTCTTGCCGGCTCCTCCTCCGCCATTGTTGTTACTGGCCAGCTGATTACTATGTCTTTGGCTGTCATAGTCAACCAGTTTCCTGTTGCGCTTGTCGATTTTTTTCTAACCGATAACGGGAAATACGTACACATATATTATTTATTATACTCGGAATGTTACTTTCCCGTTAGGTATTTAAGAGTTGGACGTGAGTGACATCGTATCGACGTATTACACAAATACGTAGACATGTATCTGGAGGGGAAGTTATGGGGCCCGGATCCCACGAAATTTTTTCGTACCTTCTAATAAAGGATAATCATTAATAATTTCAATGTAAATAAAATACTCTTTATTTGAAAGGTATTTCAAAATAAAATATTTTTTTCATCTTAATGAATATTGTATTAAAATTAATTTTTTTTATAAAATGTTTTGATTTTTGGTAATGAGTATGAATCCCCTCACAAAAAGAAAAAAATCTATCTGCGGGCTGACATGTACATGTTCATTTGTCAGAAAAATATCACTTACTCGTGTTTCGGCAAACTGAGCCTGATACGTGTTCAATGGTATAAGCACTTGATCGGCCAATTTATGGGTGTAATCACTCCACAACATATCCAAATTGTTTGAATCGGTACACATATGATCGTGTCCTACCCATTGGGTCTCGTACATCTCGTTCAATGTGTCCATAAGACTTTTGCTCGCCACTTGGACGGCTACATCATAGAATACAATAATTAAATATGCGAAATTGTTAATAGTTACTACACGTATACGTTGCCGATCAAATATAAGAGATAATAACACGGATTTACAATAGCAATCACAATAATACGCACAGAAAATATTAAGGTCATCGATTGGCCAAGCCTTAAACGAAGCCAAAATGAACCGAGTGTATTTTTTGTCGTACCGACTTACCTCGAACACATCGAATGTAGTTGTTGAATTCTTTTTGCAGCTTATTCGCTGAATTCTGTTGTTTAGAAAAATTCTGTAGGTGCTCATTAAAAATTTCATCTTCAGTTCGATCAACTTTCCCCAAGTTTTGAAGAAACTACAAAATCAAATAAACACACTCAATTAATGAAACAATGAAAAAAATCAATACTTAACGTGAACTACATTTAAAATGTGTTAAGCTTTTTAAACGTTTGAAGTATAATTATAACTATAAATTTCAAGTTAATAAACCAAATAATGTTCATAAATGTACAATATATATAAATACAAGATAGTGTATTATTCGTATACTATATACTTGAGTTTATTCTATAGTGTATTGGATATTATGTTTACAGGGAACAAAATTTAATTGTTTGTTTATATTGAGCAATATGTAGTGTTTACTACCCATATGCACATAAACACATATACACCAAAAATATTTAAAAACACTTTTAAATAGTTTTTAAGTATAAATAAGAAGTATCCCAACACAAAACGTCTAAAAATTGTATTTTTAATATTTATATTAAAAAAAAAATCATATACAATGTGATAAGGAAGGCTAAAATTATTTTTATATCAACATTTTTAGTTAATGAATACGAGTTTCGATAAAAAAATAATAGTTACCTACAAGGCTACGAATCCATCGATAAAGAAAATCATTAATATAAGATTAAGAAATGCATAATTATATTTATATTCAAATTAGGTACTAGTGAAAATTAGACACTTAAATTTGTTTTATTTATTTTTCAATAATAAAAATAATATAATTATGTATAACTATTAGTTTATTCGGCAGAACATTATTTTTTTTCGTCAGCGAACATACTTAAAACATTACAATTGTTATTAATAGCTATAATTGTATATGTTTAACCATCGATAATATTTTAATATGAACGAGTCTAACTAGTTAATGGATCGCGAATTGAAATTGTTATTCAATTATACATTTATTAAAATATCAGCGATATATATTATTTCAACAATAAAGGAATAAAAGATGGGAAGCACATATTATTCAAGCACAGAGTACTGTGTTGCACATACCAAGAGTACAACTACGTGAAATTAAATGGCGCAATGAACAAAATGAAAAACCACTCGCAGTTTTTCTCCACCTGGATTACATATTATACATAATATTGAAAATTTAGTGACACGGACAAGCTGTAAAAATACGCATTTGAGACTACTAGACTATCTGGTTAGGTATATATATAATATATCGTATTATTTTTACTGTGATTTCGTTGAAAATTATTTTCATATGATGTGACGAGCGGTTGAAAAATTAAGTCTTAAGTAATATATGAAGCAAAGTGTTTTCATTTTGTATACATAAATAAAAAGTTCGTTTGCACAGTTGAAAAATTATTATACATATATAAACGAGAATTTTCTACGAGAATCGTATGAGCACTCATTCATAATACACACAGATAAGGTGAACAGGCTTTCACCGATAGAAAGATACTTTAAATGCTTAATTGCTGTTTTTTTTTTTTGTTTATCTACTATATACTTTGTGTGTTTTTGTGCACCCATATTTCGTTCTATTTTAGCAGTACAGATTGTATATATATATATATATATACAGGTACGCTAAATATAATTTAATTCAGGTACGCGCATATACCTGTACATTATCTAGGACAACTAGGCTCCTGGCGCCTACGTATATTTTATTTTTTTCATTTTTGTTTTGAATTGAACGTGGGTTTTTTTATACCAAAAAAATATGATAAGTGTTTACTGGCAGTGTTTAAATACTGCGAGCAATGTGTACGCGCGTAGGACTCTCATTTATTATTATTATTATTATTATTATTATACAACGTACGCGTCGGATGACCGAAGCTATTATAATGAATTAAAAAATATAATACACACAAACATAAAAACGACATTGTGTAATACGTTATCAGCAAAGCCCAGAAAACCCGGTGGTTACACTATTACACTTATAATAATATAATATAAAAACAACGACTCGTTCCAGTCCAACGGTCCAGGAGTGAAATAAAACACATGTCATTTCTCTAGTTTGTTATCCTAGCGACCGTATAAATTACACATTGCCGACTTTGTTAACGTGGCGTACGTACATTTAGATATTGCTGGTTATGTTTTAAATAATAAAATATTTATTGAATCACGCGAGTTCGTCAATGCACATCAATAGATCGTACCGCTGTGAATAGTAGTTGAATTTCCAACGAGTTGTTTCAATACTGCAGTTGTGATAGCTTAACGGGCATGTGTATATAATGTTCTAACCGCATTTAAACGCTTCACGCGAGACGTACACAGAAACGTGATTTTCGGATGTATATATTACAATATAGTCGAATCACGATTTAACACACAAAAAAAAAAAATCATTACAAAAAGACGACCGGATATTTAATGACATTATATTATACAGTACCTGCAACGTTGGGTGATATGTTTTTAACTGTGTTTTACGGTTGATGTTGTGTATAACAGTGTAAACGAAATTCATAGTAAATTGAAATGCATCGGATGCAATCAAAAGAAACATAAGTTGGTCTAAATACGGAAAGAACCATTTAGTGTTTGTTAGCGTGATAATCCTTTTTATAAAATTATGTCCTCTCGTCTAAATAGATGTCAAGATAATTGATATTTATTAGTTGTTTATGTAGTGCATTCACAATACACTCAAAAATGTATAATACAATATACATAGTAGTATTAATAGACGTGTATAGTCGAACTTATATTGCTTGTGTTAAAAACTAACAAGAACGTATATAAGTACCATATTAATATAATAGTCGAAATGTCGATTGAATCATTCATTGCAAATGAATAACATTAGTAAAGGTGTAACTTTTATTATTTAATATTACCATCATGTATAAACCTAAAATTTTCTGAAAAATTAGCCCCATTAAATTTAAAATATCTATAAATTTATTTTAATGAATCTTCTTAAATCCAAACTAATAATTTACTTAAAGCCAATTATGAATAATTACTATTGTAAAACAATCATGTAATACGTTTAATTATGAAAATTACATCTACTGTATACAGTCAATTAAAAAATTATGTCCGATGTTTAGAGTAAATTGGGTATGAAATAAGAAAAAGCCAACATCACATCTAATATTAAATACTATCTACTAATAAAACGAGTTTTCGATTTCTTAAAAAATATTGGATTTAAATTTCAGAAGATAAATATGGCAACTCTTAAAATTAAAATAATTAATAAATAATATATATTAAATAATTAAAATACTGCTTTCTCGGGCTTATTCTAACTCATTAATTAATCATTTGAAATTGGTCGTTATTGGTGTACAACATTTTATCTATAAACGTTTTATATGACATTTAACCGACCATATGGACATGTGATCATGTGGGCGCATCTCTATATCAGAAATGTTTAAAACTATTTTAGACGTTATATAACATCAGTTTATACGGATAATGGAATATTAATTAATAATATAAATACGTTTTAAAAATCGCACTATACCAAACAATCGCGAATTTCACTGTTGTCGCTTTTGCTTTTAAAAATAATTTTTGTAATTTATTTTTCGAATTTTTATTCGCGCGCACATGTGACATTTTTATGTAGGAAATGGTACAGGCCAATATTGACAGTGCGCGCACTGTGCACAGCCATTCGGACGACCAGGGAAAATTAAATTTAGACCGGTGTTCGCTGGACATACCATTCTGCCGTTACATCTAAGCACCCAAAATAACTATAGGCCACGCAAATGCCGCCGTCTCTCATGCCTTGGTGTCGTGGTGACGTCGTTACTCGTGCCATCATGGATAATGTATATAGCGTATCCACGTATGTATGAAAATTAGAAAATCATTTTCTGTTGCGTTTCGCTATTTTATTGTTTATTAATGACTCCGTTAAATGTTTTCATCGGAAACATTGACTTTGAACATGTGTATCGTCCACTTATATTAAAGCACAACTCGACAAGAAATAAAATCAATCTTCACAGTTGGCACTTCAAATATTCGAAAAACATTACGTATCATACTATATATAATTAATACTGTAATGTAAATGTTTATTATTAATAGCAATTATATTGAACGTATAATTTATATATTTATTGTATGTACGAAAATAGTTAAATTAAACACAGTTGTTTGCCGTACGAGTAATTTTAACACCAGGATGATTATAATATTACCTTTAATTATACTAAGATTTCAAAGAAATCACGAATTAATCCGCAGTTTATTTTTTTCAGCATAGTACCATAAAATTAATTTACTTAGTTATCTCTCGCTTTAGTTGTACTTCTACTCCTATAAATATATTGTACATCAAGATAACAATTGTATGCATGGCATAATGTCATTAAGTTGATAATTTTTCATATACAACATGAATATAGTATAACATTGATAAAAATATTTGACCATAGCAAACCAGAAAAAAATATAAACAACTAATGTCTTGCATCACTTAAGCACAGGTTATTTTTTCCTATAATTTTCTATTATTATAGAATCGTATTTCAAATTCAAATTGTTCATGTTATAAGAACAAATATTTTAAAATTTTTGCTTACTTAAATTATGTCGTTATGTCTTATAGAGTGAATAATTAATATTCACATTTTTCTGAACACAATATAGTGACAAATATTAAGTTTCAAATTATCGACTATTACGTGTTAATATTACTGTCTAATAACAGATACAGGTACGTCCAGACACGCCCAAACACCGGGCGCATACTAAGAATATACCTCATTGCCTTTTAAGGACTTTGAAAGAAAAACTTACAACTAGTTTTGATTATAAGTTCTTTAACTGTATAGGATCACCCACGTGACATTCATTCACAAGTGTTCATCGAATATGTGTCATCATAACGATGTTTTCGGAAAACTGATAAACAAAGTTAGTACCAAAATAAATTGTTAATAAATAATGCGAACATAACAATTTGATAAGGTTATAAGTTTTTGTACATTATACATGTCAGTGTACTGCGAGATGAATACGAAAAAAGTAACGAAATATTGAATTTACGTGTAGGTTTCGTCCTTGATGCAATGCATGTAGGTTGGTAGGCAGTAGGCA